TCTTAATTTCAAACCCTTTGGACTCATGGTTGTTGAGGAGAATTGTGTTAAATGTGCTGCTATCGCGTTGTCATCCACTTGTTTAACACGGCTGTACATAGTGCAGAATTTACGTGTTGCGCCCCTAAGATATATGTGGTTAAATCCAAGCCACGTGGTCCGATTAGCACTCTCAGATGGGGCTGCGCGAAGAAGCCTAGATGCAAGGCTGATAATATTTTGAGAAATCCTTTCTTAGGGTCCTATGCGTATGCATTGACTGTATCCCTTTCGGATATATGGCCTTTAATCCATGATATATTGTAACTCCGAGATCGGAGATTGATTCTTAACTAGTGAATCGTGGTATTTGTAGACAGTATCTCCCAGCCAGGGAATTAAATGGTCTAAGGAAGTTTGAAAAGAGCTTGTTATGAGCAAATTGGCCAATATTTATTTATCGGGACACTGAGGACCTCATCCTCAGTGCCTGTACATGTAGTTTGTAGTAGATATCATGTAGCTGGCGGATACGATGTGCGTAGTCAAAGTACATGTACTCAAGTACTTAGTTAGAGGAAATCCTACTGATTACGCCTTATGTTCCTCGGCACAGCAAACCCCTGCTGTTGCCTTATCGGAGGTCAATACTGTATGTAATGCAGACCAGCCAACATATATATGTAACACCGGCGCTCGCGCGAAAAGCATAATACCATGCAAGGCTGCGGCTAGGCATATTCGCCGTTTCCCTTGGCAATGATCGATAAGGCCATTTTCCGAGGAAGACTCCTAAATCGAAAGATTCACTGCCCATGGAGATGACTACGATAGGGTGATCGCAGTGAATATGTGGAGCAATTAATTAGTCGTATGACGTCAACGCTGAGTGATTCTTTATGATTCGGAATACTGGTGATTCCAGGTTCCGAGTGATATTACATGATCCAACTTATTCCGTTTCTTCATCGTCTCGTTGTACGGGTGCCTCTTGCGCTCCGTTACTGGTTTGTAATACCAGGTCTCGTAACTTCCACGTACGGACACCACATGCGACCAAAATCTTCATCTCAGCAGTAATACCGAGACTTGACACACAGCCGTATTCTCCCTAGAATATCCAAAGAATCCACGATGAGCAAAAAGACAATATATGTCCCGTCTCGAATCGCTTTAGTTTACACTGCCCGAGTCGTTGAAGCTCAAGAGGCAAGCTTAGTCTCGCCAAGATGTAGGTACTAAGGAGGATAGGACCATCCCAGAAAGAACGCAAAGCTATTAGTACAGAGTCTGGTAGAATTATTGCGAAAGTGGGTTTCCGTGACCCGATAGTCCCATTGGCTCTTGAAACGATCTTTGCTGTGAGCACGGACCAAGAAATCCACTCCTTTAGCGCTGACTTTCGCAATAATTCTACCAGACTCTGTACAGCTCGCTACTTTTCGTAGAGCCAGAAGTTCACCAAGGGGGCCCAGTAGCGCAGACAGGATCCACAACAAAGATTGGTAAGAACCCCACCGCCTTTGTTCCTATGCCTCGCTAGCTCAATCGGTAGAGCGTGAGACTCTTAATCTCAAGGTTGCGGGTTCGACCCCCGCGTGGGGCTTTAACTATGTCTGTGGTTCAAGTCTACGTTTTTTTTTTGTGCCTCTTTGTGATATCTAGGTTTAAGTCTGTTCCTGGCTAGTTTCCACGGGTGACGGGGGCTGGCTGGCGGTGGGATAGCTAGGGTTATGGAATGCCCCGAATGTCGGAGACAGAGGGGGTCGCGGGTAGAATGGTACAAAGTTGCCTATATAAGTTTAGCTGGAAATTATTCAGCGAGCCAAATTCATTTTGCAAGCCTTGGATCTTTGTCCGGTATATATGTCATAGTCGCTGGTAGCCAGCCCTTGGCATATATCTGGATATAAGAACGCTCTACGCCTGCACCCAGCCTGAAGCTACACCCCCACATTATGGACCAAAGATGTACGCGAATTAAATACCCTGGAAACTGGAGAGATCGAGCGAACTTCTTCAATAACTTACATTAGGCCCATTGTTTGTATGTTATGTATATATCCAAAGAAGAGCAGGATTATTCGGGGCCGAGCCAGTCTGCTGGCAACCAGTAAGTTAGAGCACCGTTCTGTTGTTACCGCTTTGAGGTTCTAATTAAGTAATTGTAGCATTCACGAATGTGGAAGGGTTTTGTAGCCAGTAGATATGATCACTGCTAGTATCAATTGATGGTCTGATCTAGATATAGGTGTGGTTTTGTTTCTTATGGAGGTCAAGCTAGCCAAGCTGACGTTTGGTTAGTTAGGTGTAGTACACGTGTGGCTCTAAGCTTCTAACTTATCTGTACCTTTGCCTTTGGGCCATCTGTTCTCAACACCTGTCCGAGGAGCCCTTCTCTCCCTCTTTTTGTTCCAATCATCAGTTCTTACACACAACAGACGACCATCGATGCCCATCAGTTCTAGCTCCCCTTCTCTGAAGATCACCTCAACCAACAAGCTTCACCTAAGATGAAAAGTACGTGATAATATTATCATGGGAATCAGAATCTAATTATGTATAGTAAGTTATGTACCCGTCCGCATCTCCAAACATCTACATCACCAAAGAAGAAGAAAAAGGCTAATCCCATCAAGCCATAACACCCCAAGATCGAATATAAAAAAAGCACCCTCCCCTCAAAAAAGCAGTACCCTGCATCTAAGCCGTCGCTACCGGGGGCAACACATTCTTCTTGTAGTACTCCTCCGCCCTTATGTTTCCTCTCGCTGAGTACTCACACGCCACGAACCACCGGCCGTCGCACAGCTTGCGCGCACACCCAACCCGCTGCGTTCCCACCCATACAATCTGCGTAAAGTGGCCCATGCGGCTGTTGTATGACGGGTGCTCGTACTCAGCTGGTGTGTAGGACGCGCGCTCGGCCTCGCCCCATGCGTAGCAGGTGTCACGGACGGTCGGGTAGCCGAGTGCTATGTTTTCGCCGTAAGGACCGCCGTTGCGCGCTGCGTACTGCGGGATTGTTATTATGAGTTTTGGGGGGGTGGATTTGGAGGAATGGTTGGTACGTTACCGGGGCAGGGTGGGGTATCGTAGGGTAGGGGTTGGGATAATGATGTATAAAACCATGAATTAACTTACCGAATGCTCATAAACACACGTATTCGTCAACTCGGCCGCCACGCGTGCCAGCTCCGGATCCCAGACAAGCTGTCCGGCGGTGTGCTCACCACGGAGGTGGTTGTGGTGGGCGAGCAATTCGGACTGGAACTTTGCGTCGTCGGTGAAGGAGGGATCCGCGGCGTTCGCGCGGGGGAGGATGTTGTTCACCGCGGCGGTTGCTGGATTCTCCGCGAGAGGGGAGAGGACATAGGTGTGAACCGGTGCGGGGGTAGGGGCCGCGAGGGCCAAAGGAAGGGTAAGGATAGTGGCGAGGAGTGGGTGGAACTGCATATTGATAAGTGGTTTTGGGAGTTTTTGGGTGAGGGAGTGAGGGAGCGTATTGGGTGAGTAGAAGTAATAAGAGATTCACAGTAATGACAGTGGTGGTGAGAAGATCTACAGAAGAGGAAGGGCGGGAAGGAGAGTGAAAACGAGGAGGTCGGGGGGGTTATATACTCATAACTCCCCATGGTATGTAGACTCCTATAACCGCCACCTAGAGTACTGATCTGCTAACTAGATCTACCTACGTGTAGTGTCTGTGCTCCCCAAGAACCTCAGCCAGCTAAGGCCCCTTAGAGTTAACTCCCCGCACCAACAATAGAGGCCAAATTACGCACTGTTGTTCGCAATTTTGTTTCTTGATGTGCGGCGGCGATGCGATGGCCCATGCTTTCATGTCAGAACGATGATTTCCGTGCTGGAACATGGCCAATGGGCATGGGCTGCTGTGCTACCCGGCGGGGTTAGCCTGGGCTGGGCACAACTTTATGCAGTCAGGGCAGGGGGGGGGGGGGGGGGGAAGACCCGGGGAGAGCAGGGGCGAAATTAGAGAAGTGCAGTTGTTGTTGGGGGCACAGCTGGGATGGGAGAGTGGAGTAGAGTAGGGAAAGTGCTCTCTAGCTAGGCAAGAAATGGAGATCAAGCTCCGTTTCTGTATTCTAATCGCTGAGAACCTCTTCCTCTACTTGATCTGTTCCACCTGATATTTTCTCGTCTGCTGTATGTGCCTCTCTTATCTTCTCTTCTCTTCTTCTCTAATTAACCAACTAGCTCAGTTCCCACAAGATGCCACACGTGTCTTCCATCCCATCCGACTCAGATCCACGATCGCTGTCTCACGCGCGTTAGCTGTTATTGTTGCTGCTTGTGTACTCACTGCTTCTGTGCCTGTGCCTGTCGAGAAAAGAAGGGACAACCATCTTATCTTTGTTGTCACTCGTTCTTTTGCAGATGCACCATCCATCCCATCTTCATCCCGCCCAACAGAAAAAAGGGATGAAGTGTCTCACATGCGATGGTGCTCGAGGCTACTTCCGGGCTTGGCATGGAGCCCGCGGGATGTGATGTCATGCAGCGGATCGCGCGGACGTGGGGTAATGTTTGGTTGACAGGTTTTTGAGGATGGAGGAGAGCATGTGAAATTCCACGGAGCGGGTGAATAAACTGGGTAGAGCTGGCTTGCGACGGAAGAGAGGAATGGGGTGAAGGGGGTGAAGGTGGGGAAGGTGGGGGATATAAATGGCGGGGTGTTTGGTGGTCGAGGGTTGGGAGACATTGATCTGACCGACTTTGACAGCGAGATTGACTTTGGCATTGAACTTTGGCATTGACAGCTTGAGGCGCATTGGAGGATCGGGGAATCGCCAATTGAGGCATTGTTCTGGTTCTCACTTTGCTTTAATTTGAGATCAGTTCTCACTCGGCACACTCGATACCAATACTCACTCGGCTCAGCTCCTGTAATTCCCTACCTCAATTGTCACTCGAGTCCTAGCTCTCATTCGACCTCTATCACAGCCCATATATCCACCCGTACCCATCCCAACACCTTATCTCCTGCTATGATGCCCGCCATGTCCACCCTCCAACACGCCCTCCTCCACCCGCTCACAACCCTCTACACCCTCCTCCAGTACCTCCTTACCGCCCTCCTCCACCCGCTCACAACCTTCTACACTCTCCTCCAACACCTCCTCACCACCCTCTTCGCACCACCCCCCGTCCGCACCCCGCCCCCACCACCCACCGGCCCCCGCGTCGCCATCATCGGCGCCGGCATCACTGGCATCTCCGCCGCCGCCCACTGCGTCTCCCACAACTCGGACGTGCTCATCTTCGACAGCGCGCCCACCATCGGGGGCATCTGGGCGCGCGTCAACGGCACCTCGTCGCTGCAGATCCACAGCATCATGTACCGCTTCCACCCGTCCATCACCTTCCAGAATGCATACCCGAAGCGCACCGAGATCCTAGAGCAGCTCGAAGCCTTATGGCGGCGGTACAGGCTAGAGGAGAAGACGGTGCTGGAGATGAAGGTGGTGAGTATCGAGAGGACGGAGACGGGGAAGTGGAGGGTGAACGGGATCCCGGAGTGGGAATTTGATGGGGTTGTGGCGGCGGTGGGGACGTGTGGGGAGCCGATGCTGCCGATGCTGCCAGGTGTGGAGGGGCAGTGGAGGTTTCAAGGGCAGATGGTGCATTCGAGTGAGTTGGAGGGTGTGGAGATGGAGGGGAGGAAGGTGGTGGTGTTGGGGGGTGGGGCGAGCGCGGTGGAGGCGTTGGAGTGTGCGTTGAATAGGGGGGCGGAGAGTGTTAGTTTGTTGTCGAGGGTGAATAGCTTTTTTTTTCTTTTTTTCTTTTTTTCTTTTTGGTTGTAGATGGGTGATCTTTGCGGGTATGGCTGGCCGGTGGTACCTGTGGATATATATCCCCAATTGCAATAATCTCCAGTGGGATTACTGTGGGGGTCAAGTATCCCGATCATGGCCAATGACCGGCCCCCCAAGGCCCTGTCGGCTTCAGTTTTTGGTTGCATGACTGGCCCGCATCACCAGCGACCAATCATCCTCCCCCGAAATCCGGAGCCAGCCCTTCCTACCAAAGGGCAATGATCAACCCCCCCAGTTTCCCTCAATCCCCACCACCCCCCCTCAAAATTCATGCAAGTACTATACTAACGCCCCCCATCTCACAGTCCGACAAATGGATCATCCCCCGTAACCCCCTAATCGACATCCTCCTCTCCCTCAACCCCTTCAGCTCCGAACTCTACATCTCCTACATCCCCGAATTCCTCCGCCGCCGCCTCTTCTTATACCGCTCCCTCTCCCCTCTCGCGCCCCCGCCCCACACAACCGGCCTCTGGGAATCCACGCCCATAGTCAACTCCGATCTCCTCTCCAACATCCGCTCCGGCCGCGCGCGCTGGCTCCGCGCCGACATCCTCAATATCGAAGAATACGGCGTACGCTACAGCCACCGCTCCCCAGGCGTCCCCAAGGGCGGCCCCGGCGTCGAGAAGTTCGCCGACGCAGACATAATCGTGTTTGCGACGGGGTTCAAAAGACCGAGTCTAAGCTTCCTGCCGGAGGATTGTTTTGAAGAGGGCTATGAGCCGCCGAATTGGTATCTGCAGACGTTCCCGCCGGGCGCGGTGGACATATGTGCGTGTAACTGTACATATGTGAATGCGATTGGCACGGTGGGACATCTCCATGTCGGCGTGTATACGAGGTTGCTGTTGATGTTTTTGAATGATCCGTTGACGGCGCCGCCGGCGGAGGCGATGAGGTCTTGGGTGAAGTGGACGAAGTGGTTGAAGGCGAAGAGTCCGACCGGGGCGTTTGACTTTTTTACGTATGGGGAGCTGTGTTTGTGGTTTTTGGAGTGTGTGGTGGTGAATCCGTTTCGGTGGAAGTGGGCGTTCTTTGTGTTTACGGGGAGGGGGATGCCGATGGGAATTGTGAGGAAGGAGAGGGAGATTATTGAGGGGGGTTGGGGGATTGAAACGGGGAAGGAGGGGGTTGAGGGGAAGGAGTGGGAGATTGAGGGGGTTGGGGGATTGAAACGGGGCCGGAGGGGACTGAGGGGAAGGAGTGGGGGACTGAGGGGGGTGGGGGGATTGAAACGGGGCCAGAGGGGACTGAGGGGACTGAAGGGAAGGAGTGGGGGGGTGGGGGGATTGAAACGGAGCCGGAGGGGATTGAGGGGAAGGAATGGGAGATTGAGGGGGGTGGGGGGATTGAAACGGAGCCGACGGGGACTGAGGGGAAGGGGAAGGAGAGGGAGACCGAGGGGAAAGAGTGGGAGACCGAGGGGAGACCGAGGGGCATGAGGGGACCGAAACGGGGTCGACGGGTGACCACAAGGAAGGAGAGGGAGATTGAGACGGGGCCGATCTAGCGGGGGAGGCCCTGTGTTGTATGGGGACTATTTTTTTGACTTGACGATTTTGAGGACTTGGAAAGGCTTGGGATTGGTAGATATCATTGCTTAGAATAGCGAATGAAACATATACACTGATAAGACCGGGATCAAAAATAACGAGTGAGATTTGGATGGACAGATAGAGAATTCAAGCGAGTGAGATTTTGTGCACGAGTGTGCAAACAAGGATTTCCATTGAAGCGCACAGCGCAATTGAATATCTCGCTAATAATTGCAAATAAGCCAATCACACCGAAATAAGGCCTACCGCACTGTACATACAGACTCCAGTAGAATCATTGGAAACTCAGAACTAAGAGAGTGTGTTTCTTGGTCCGTGCTCACTGTAAAATCCTTTTAAGGGCCAATGGAATGGGACTATCGGATCAATGAAAACCCACTTTCTCATTAATTCTACCAGACTGTAAGCCACCTCGAGTTCCATCATGATCAAAACATCAATCACAACCTACTTGACATGCTTCAGAACCACCATCGATCAATTAGCGAATGCACCAATATATAGACAAACACAACAGACAACGGGGGTCAGGTAGATATAAAAAAAAAAGATCGAGTCAGGATAATTCTAGAGCAAATGTTTTTCTTTCCCCATAGAAAAATGTAGGAGTTGTAACCATGTTTACATCATTCGATTCTTTGAGTGTATTATGGGAACTGTGAGGGAGAGAGATTGGTTGGGTCACCGCTTACCATGATTGCGAGTTTCAATGGGTGCTACTGCCTGCGCTGCAGAACACATTAATGCTACCTAGACAACGAAGAGAGAAAGGCGGGGGAGGGGAGGGGAGTGGAGGGAGGATCCGCGTCACTTTATACTCGCTGCCAAGACTGTAACTGTTGCCTCCATCTCTAGGACAGAAGCCAGGATACTGTTATATTACGTAACTGCGGGTAGGTGGGCGGTCGGTTGAGATCAGAATTTGTCGAGCTAAAATAATAGTATGAAGGTGGGCATGAGGATGTGAAGAATAACGGTTTCGTGGTGTAGTTGGTTATCACACAAGTCTAACACACTTGTGGTCCCCGGTTCGAGCCCGGGCGAAATCAAGATTGATGTCTCGTTTCGGGCCTGTGTTGAAAGCATGGGTCTGGAACGGGGCGGACTTTTTTTCTTGGTGTGGTTTTGCTGTAAGCGTAGGTTAGAATGTACATACGGTACTGTATTGTAGTTTTGATAATGGCGTATTCTCGATAGTAGCATACCTTGGCCCAACGTCCCCCATTGATTGATTGATTGGTTCAATTGATAATCCATTTAGGGCCTGTTCGGAGAGCCATGATTTCTTCGGGCCATTAGACCAGAATATCAGATAGCGGAAACAATAATCACAATATTTTGATTGGACAACGTTGCAACAGGCATACCAGAGATGGTGTGTGTGCAGTTTGGTCCACGAGGACGCTCGAGGCGATGTTTGAGAGTGTCCTCGAGGCCCCTCGTCCTCATTGACCTCTGCCCATATCTGTCCTTGTCTGTCCTCGACGTTCGACACTCTACTGTTAATTGTCCTCGAAGTGTCTCGACGAACCTTGAGGATATATACGAAGCCGGCACTGTTGTTCTCGAGGATGATGTAATTAAGAAGTGATTCCGAAGGCAAGAGCCGTATTTACTTCAAATAAAAAGAACATTCTATCGTTGACCTCACCTTGATCGGACACATTAAGTGTAAATCGTAATCAAGAATTGTCCTCAGGGCTCTCGAGGCAAGGATACAAAGACGCTCGTCCTCGCGGACCACACTACGAGACAAGATGAGACAAGATTTGATAAATTCTCGTCTCGTCTTGCTAAATTAATTGTGCCTTGGAAATCTCGAGATAATTGTCTAATCCCGTCAATTGAAGTCCCGAGACTTGAAATTTCGTCATGTGGCCCCAGGGCGAGGAGAGCTTTGAAGTCATGCTGGTTGGTGCAAATAAAAAGTCTAGTTTCCCTTTTTGAAGCTAGGCCTGGTAATTTCTTTATCCTTTACGCACCTCGAGCTGGAGCTGGAGAGGATATTTATGTGGGGGGAAACGGTGAAAAAGTCTTGAGACTTGGCTCGAGATATCCAGAATTGGTCTTGTGTCGTCTTGTCTTGTCAGCCCCCCAGATCTCGTTTCGTTTTGCGAGACAACTTTTCTCGTTTCCATCACTAAATACAACCCATCCCTTTATACGTCGGTCTTCTCTCACATGGTCCTATCCAATCCCTAACTCCTTTGGTTCACTCCACTCAATGCCGCCACCTAAAAAATTGGGTCCAGATATTCAAAACTATCAAAATGCCCGTGCTAATCCATAACAGTTCTACAAGTTAATTTTAAACGAGTTGGCACCGGCAAACTGGTTCTTAGGAGGATTAACAACAAAACATTTCTCGGGACGGACAACATCTATACGAGTGATAATCAATGACGGAATTCCTGCAGCGAGTAAAGACTCAAAATGTATTGAGAACACAATTAATGATCAATTCCGAAGTCTAAAATGGCTGTGAATATTCTTATGAAAGCTAATTATCTCCAGTCAAGTTTTCTAGGATACGCTTTACAAGTAACCCCATTTTCTCTCGCCCCGGCCGAGGTTCTATTCTTTCATCCCACTGAGCATTAAACTTTAGTACAAACCACTGGGGCTGACTGAATACTAAAATTAAAGTTTCTTGTTAGTGGGTCATTCGTCTTAAGCTTTAACACGTGCGCAGAAAGGGGGGGGGGGGGTGTGTGCGCTTGTTCCTTTACACATACATATGCTGACATCACCACAGTCCCGATACTTTATCATCAGACTCTTGAGCAACGACACCCTACACATCCCATCCTCCAACGTACCAACCCTTCTCACACCATCTCTAACAATTTAATCACCAACTCTAAGACGAATACGATATATGTGTCCATGCAGGGATTCATATGGAGCGTGATACCAAGGGACACACACCAAAGAGCATGACGAGGGGTCATATTCCAGAAGGGCAATCGCCCATCTTCTCATCGTCACCACCTCTTCCTAAACCAACGCCGCCCTAAACAGCAACATCAATACACAACACACACACACGCACACACACACGGACATAGGATCATTCGTGCCTCCTTCAAGTCGTACGCCCCCTCCAGTACCACCTCCGCTGCTTATTTCAACTGATGGTTATTGCCCTTATGAATCGATATAGCATTAAGAATGTTCATCGAAGCCGAAATATATGGTGCTCTTAATTTATCATACCTGCATAAAAGTTACGCCTTACTGATGATGCAAGGCTCGAGTTTGTCCCAAGACCACACTAGCGAGAGATGCAACCAACCTGGCGGGAACACAAAACACATAATTCCCGCGCAGGTATGTAGGGGTGACCCTGAACACATGCTACCTATATCTGTTGCGGCATGCTTCTATGTGGGACGATTGTAATAGGGAGATCATAACACATCAAGAGCGGGAATTGCCGGCTGAAGGGGTTGAAATCACGATGTTGGAGACGTTGCTAGATGTGTGAGTGTTGAGCTTTCTCCCTTCGAGAGACTAATTTCTAAACGGTTTGAGATTGCGTTCCTGGGTTGTCGGAGGATAATCATAAAATGGCTACATGTGGGTCGGGAAGCATGCCGATACGTAGGGTAAGTATAATAGTCCTTTCTAATATGATTCCCCACTTGGAATTCAATAGAAAAATCAATGAAATAGGTTTATAAAATCTTGTACCCTCTATTACGTATATTTGAGTGGAATTCGGGTTCGTGTCACCTCCAGCTTCTGTGTGTGCTTGGTTACACCGATTCCGTAACGTTTTACTGAGCGCGCAAGGATAAGATTTCCTATTCTAGATATATACTTCAGCTGATAATTAATATAGTCCAACTTCTCTAATAACCGCTCTCCTTGGCACAGTTTGCGCCATAATTGTTGGATGGTTATCACTGGTTTCATTAGTCATGACTCGTACTTTCACGGAGCATTGGCGGACACTACTCCAGAGGGTGTGTACAGACAGGGGTTCAACCAATAGAAGATGAAACATGAGCTTGAGCTTGGCTGTTTCTCTTGTTTTTTGCTCGTCAATACCCCGAAAAACGGTTAAATGACCGCTAGATCCATTATCATATGGTACTACCCTTGAACTGACCCAACACTTGAACGACTTGGCACAAAGTTAGGTCATAGGTTGGCTACTAGTGAGTGGTAGGGGCCCACTTGTGAAATGAAATTTTTAGCAAGCTGTCGCTCTGATACACTGGGTTGAAGTTTCGGAACCAGAACTCGGATACCGTCAGGTTGGGTTGGGTCGTCGACCCAGAGAGAAAACGAGTGAGGATCCATGATTACGTCCATCACATCAACGCACAGGCACTGTGTTGGAAAAATCATCGCGAGCGGGACGGATGCTTCCATTCATCTGGAACTAGCTAAGAAACCCGGGAAATCGTTTTTTTTTTTCACCTTCCTTCTTCCTTTACATAGGGCTTCGCTTGTCACGTCACTCACGTCAGACAAAGCCGGGCAGCCGTCGAAGCGATGGGTCCCTGAATTGCTTACACGCGATGGCCACGATGACTGCTCGGATATGATGATGACGCTGATGATGCAATACTCATTTGAGGACTATGAGTAGCGTTCTACCCTTATTATTGTCAGCCACCCCATGGGTATATATATACTTTATATAATATTCAATCTATCCATCCGACAAAAAGGGATGAGGGCAACATGCAAAGCTCCGGATATCGGTGTTCCCGAGTTGCTGCTGCTGCCTTGCAATCTCTGGGAGGTAAATACATAGTCACGATTTTCGTGTTTAGTTCCTTCGCGTACTATTAATTCTCATCATGTCTAAAATGGCTGAACATCTTTCACAAGGGATGGACGATCGTGATGATAAAAATAGCGGATTTACATACCTACACACACATTCCATCAATTAGGCAAAACTGGCAAGGAGAACGGGCTCTCTTCCAATCCAGCGGGAAAAAGAATTTCAAATAGTACAGGGTCATCATCAACATAGCCATGACGCTCATGCCTCCCATAATTTACCAATTGCTGCGAGACAGTACCCAAACCAAATTACAAAAATCTAGGCGATCAAAATAGCGCCCGCAAAGCCATATCTTGGCTTCTAGAAGACCGTGGGTTGAGTGATATGATCACAAACATTTGCTCGAGAAATTAAATGTTTCATGCAGCGGTTCCAATTTCGGCGCAAAACAAATCTTTAAACTCACGGGACGTGCGATGCTCGAGCTCGGGAGTGGCACAGCCATCCACACCCACAACACTAGCAGTCCGATTCGACCTGTAGCCGCCGAAGCTATTAAAGGTGGTGTCTGAAAATAGTGCCACGACAGCCCATGTCATCCCGACACACTGGTTCTGGCGGCAGGAGCCTCAACTTGCTTAACTGCTTTGAGGTTTGCCCCCCCCCTGTTCTCTTTTTTAGGAGATGAGGGTGGGAGATTAAAGCGGCGGTTTGGAAAAAAAATATGTTGTATACCGGTACCCCGGACATGTGAATATGATATCAATATAAACAAAACGAAGAAGAAGGAAAAGATAATCTCGGTAGAGCCGATGAAGCACGAGATACCCAGGAGCGAACAGGCAATTGGAAAACGCCTCGATCAGAGATTGTACACAGGCCTCTGCCCCCTTGCAACTAGAAGAACAATATACATACAGAAGAGGGCGAAACAGAAAGATGTAAAACTACCACCATTCCAGTAAAATAAGGGTTTACCAGGGATCATTGTATGAAGGGAAATGATAAAGTCGATCGCGCAAACCCAGCTCAGCGGGAACAACCCCTCGCCCACCCGTCGCAATAAAAAGAAAAAAGGAATATACGCCATTGCAGAACCCATCGAAGGAAGGAAAAATAAAAGAGAATGGATAAAAGCTAAAAAAAGGACGGACGCCGTGCCTAACAAAGTAGCCAAAAAAAAAAAAAAAAAAGAAGGAAACATTTATTTCACCAAATCAAACAACCACTCAATTACTCAATCCGTCTCCTCTTCCCCTTGGGTGCAGGCATAAGGCTCATTCGAGGAGTGAAAGTAACTGTAGTCGTCACAACCTGTTTCACTGTCACTCGGGGCCCTGTTCGAGGACTTCTGGCTTCAACTTCGGTCTCCTCTTCCGAAGACCGCGAAGTTGCCGACGCCGGTGATTCAGTGGAAGGTGAGTAATTAGCCGCGGAAGCGGGAGATGAAGGAATTCGTAGGCGCCTGGCGGCCGATGTCGATGCTAGAGAGTATGGTGTCGTGGGCGTATAGTAGCCCTGTGTGTTTGCTAGCAATGACTTTGCTGAATTCGGGGGAAAGAATGCGCCAGGCGATTTGCAGAGAGCCGGACTATTGGCGGTATTCCTCAAGAAATCGGTATATGCCGCTGGTGGGGTTATAGGTGTTTTTAGGCACTCATCATGGCTCTTTAAAGAATCAAAATGGCCGACTATGGGGGTTCGTGGGAGTTCTGAGGGGAGAGGCGAGAATGGTCCTCTGGAGGTGTGGGTGGTCTTAATCTTGAGAGTTGGTGTCGACATCTTCGTGATATAGTTTGGTGGGGTTTTTAAATAACTGTGAGATCTTTTCGACATTGAATGGTTAGCATGAATGAAGGTGGGGGGAGGGGGGCATTATTAAAGGAAATTCCTTAGTGAGTACATACCTTGTCTGCAGAAAGACTTGCGATGAGAGAGATGCGCAGTGAATGAGGAAAGTAGGCGAGATGCTACACTAACGTTTCCAAAACCCGGACGAGCCTTTCTTATACAAGGGGAAAGGATGAGGAAGGGGGGGGGGGGTCTAGATGTTATGTGGGAGCGAAAATGGGGTTTGGAGGGCTCAGTGAATAAATGGTTGCAGCACCAACAGCGAGGATCGCGCGTAGGTGGTCTGCGGGGATGGCTATTCCAGGACACACCGTGCAGCTTTAAAAACGTGGTTGTCGGGGGGCTAGCAGCACGAATGGGGGGCGGCTGAACGATAGGGGGTATGAAGCGCAGGCAGGGATCAGAAAAGCAAATAGTAGGATGGTTAATTACGAAAACCCTCAATTCTTCTTTCCCCACGAACCCGTTGCTCGGTAACGTACGGAGCAAAGGACGAGACGATGTCCAAATAAAATTTACACTATTGGTATCTGTTTGGTTTATACAGGCGCTCTTGTTTCCCCTGAGCGGTTAGGTTAGAATTGCAAGGCAATCAAGAGCTTACGTGAAGGCGAGAACGGGAGACAAGGACAGCAGAGGTAAAGAAAGAGCGAGCGAATGAATGAGAGGGAGGGGCAAAAAAGAGGCAGGGAATATCCATTTACCTACCTACCCCAGAGAGAGGGGAAAAAAAAACGTATGTATGTATCTCCACAGTATGTATCTATTGGGTACACATATCTAACTAGCTATTGCTAGGAACATGGGGGGGCGCGACAGTATTTGTCGGCGCCAAAGTGTGTGAATACCAGCGCGCGGGAGCACTTCTTTGTGAATATATATGAATTGATCGACAACAGCTGATTGGCACTTTGTATCCAAGGAGACAGATCAGGTTAGACACAGGTTGTTGCTCATTGCGCAACCCTCGCTATCACTGGTTTTGTGAGCCACCACCGAATGAGCCGGGTATTTTTGTGGTGTGCTTACAATACCGCGCGCCTACACTAATAACGGTAACGAACCAATGCGCGCGGTGCTGGTACTGCATACATACATGCTTGATCTGGGCTCGCTTCCTCACTCTACTTGAATAATTAATTTCTTTTCTTTTTGCGAGTGCATGGGTTGGTGAATTTCAATAAACTGATGTTGTACTGAAGGGCGAGCAAAAAACCTTCTGCATGCCAGCACAAATGGGAGAGATATCATTACTCTAGGCGGAATTACTACCTGCCGGTCCGGTCACATTCGTCGTACAATATATTTGATTTGTACCACCGCGACAAGTAGGTACATACATGTACTCTACGTACTATCTATGGTGCCTAAGTGGGAAACAAAGAATTTGAGGATAGTAGTTCAAAGAGACCTATGTGGTGTGTACTTCGCATACGAAACTAGACAATACAGCTGTACCCGATTGATTATCCATTCTTTACTATACTAGGCTTTAATTTTCATGATCGCTTTCGCATCAACTAGCCAATATGCTCCAGTTTTTCGAGCCTCATACACCATCATCATATGGGCAGAGTAAGAGTAGTGATTCAAACCTTACTCCGGTCTTCACCAATAGCAGCGCCAGCCCGAGTGCGTAATATGCAATGGAAATCACATATAAGGATTCTTCGGAACCGAACATTGACTGAAACAAGCGACCGACCCGCTTGAATGGGTAGGAAGGGGCCAAACAAAACACGTGGGCATTGACTAGCTCATGCTACTAGCACGGATCTATCGTTCAAGCGTTCGAGAGCACGGTATGCGGTGATTCAAAGATACTTGACTTGATCAAGATCCACACGGTCTTCACGCGCTGATCATGATAGAGCGCGTATGCACTGGGGGGAACCACATGCACTAGGGGAAAAGTCAACAGCACTGCAACAACTGCGGTATGTGAATGCACTGGGGAAGTACTGCAACAACTATGGTTTCCTCATATCGCGCGGTATTTTATTTTTATTATTTATATTTTTTAAGGAATACATTTTTAGGCCTCCGTCGGCCTCATTCTCCGCTCAAACATTTAAGGATGGTAGCCTAGACCCGGGGCGGTTCCCAACAATTTTTTGCAGAAAACCCGGTGAGCAGATCTTCCTTTATCGGCAGGTTTACTCTAGCTATGTAGACTGCTGCCTTGGTTGGGCTTAGATATATCAGCTGTCAAACTTTGTTGTAACGTGCATTTATGTGTGTTAGTTAGCCTGTGACTTGTGGTCGCACAGGTTCACAGCCAAACAAAGACGCCTAATTTGTCAAATTGAGTACAGTGTTTAGTCGTTACTAGACGGAAGAGTCGGAATCAAGAGCTTCATTTTGCCCATGCTGCTCTGGATTACCTGGAGGAACAAGCACAGTGCGACTACTACTTTGAATTGTGTTCCTTGTCGGTAGTGTTGGAGCGGGGGTAAGAAGAAATACGTTGATCTACTGCGTTATCAGTTGGAATCGGGATATGACTTGCAATGCTTGATAGTGTAAGTCTTGAGCGTTTAAACCGCATGTAACCTGGGCCGCTACAGCTTGCGGTAGAAATATGGGAGGAGTCCTATTAGCTTGCCCAGCCACAGAAACCCTGTTTTTAGACCCCTGTTTCTACAATAATTTTACCTCTCGCTGTAGGTATGATCGAGTCGAAGGTATCTGGGGGCCCCCAGGGATTTCAATAGTAAGATTTCGAGAATTGATGCAGCAAAAGTCGGCTATGAACACTGATTTGTACGTGCAGCGGCAGTTCGCGATGTTTGATAGATGTTTTCACCTACCTCAACTTCCTTGGCTTCTAATAAAGGCCCGCGGCGCGAGACTAGGCCGTGATATGTCTGTCCCAATCTGTCAATAGTGGTCGTTTCTGGCACAGCAATTAAATATTAGGGAACTCTAGCACTGGCCACCATTTTGGCCCCCACGACAAACGGCCAGCATGTCTTGACGGATTAGGGGATAGCTAGCTTGGCGCTCATGCCCCTAACTTATGCAGGTAAATATATATAGGTTTTCTGAATCATTTCTTATGGAAATGATAATTGCACGCTAGAATGGGCGTTTATTTAGAGTACATACATGTATGTACCTTTGTGATCAACCGGGTACTTAGTCTTTAGACTAGCTCCCAACTGCGCAGTGATAAATGACTACCGGTATACAGGCCTGGAAGAAAGAACAAAAATCCATTTTCTAACTAAATCCCTTGCTGCTATTCAACAACCTGAGGATCTGAATATTAGCAGTGATCGATCAGTGGTTCGATACGGATTTCCTTGTCAGCGTGTGTATGACTTAGGTCAAGCGATGAAGCTGTTTATCTGAGGCTTTATGAAAATCCCTGGACCACACCCCCTGCTGCACTTCGTTAAGCATCAATGAGGTCAAGCTTTTGTCATTTCAAAAGAAAGGAAAACATTCACATACTAGATTCACTTAAGCATACCATTTGTCCCTTCAGGATGTTCACCAAACCTTCTCAAACTCAATATGGAATGGTCCTCTATACCAAGCAGTATTTCCTGGAAAATGGCCACCCGATCAAGCAGGCTAAATGCTTAAATTCATTTCAATGTAACCTATACGAATATTTCAATCAGGCCTAACGATTTCTCCTCATAGATCACCATTTCGTAGGAGGTTGATGGCATGAGGCACGTATATGCCTCCACCCGCTTAGAGGATGTAGTACATAATAGGCAGCCTACATACGCACATAACCTTTACGGCCACATTACACAAGCACACAACAGTTATTCTCGGCCCGGCTTTGTAACTATGGGCCCGATCACAGTATATCACTCGCCCGCAGCTCCAAAGCCAACGGCCAACGAAATTATCCGTGACTCCGCAGGAAAAAAAAAGAAATCATGTTAATGTCAAGCGGTTAGTTTAGCAAAAGCAATTCTGAATGCACTGGGCGATTCCACGGCGGGTAAATTTTTCACATGCTGTGCCGCTGCTCTACGTACGTAAGGGAGAAAAGGTACCAATAGAAATAATGTTCGGAACCGAACATTGATAGCCGATCTTCCATAGACCTCCCTTCGAGAGGTCCAGCCCTAACAATTGCGTCACGAATATTCCCACACCGGTTCTGGCTAGATAGCTAGCTAGCTGAGGGCAAGAACTTCTGATCTGATGAGCTGCATACTGCACTGGGCGGACCCGCGGGCGGGGTAGGGGCATTTCTGGTAGTTTTGGTAGAGGGTTGTCTTTTTTTTTTTTTTTTCCCTCCCTTCTCTCCCTAATACTGCCACATCATCATGGGTGGTTATTTTGAAATCGAGTGTGGGCAACACCTCTGGCTTTTGATCAATCATAATTATTGACGAGCCGCCGGGGCCCTCTTTTTTTTTTTTTTTTTTTTTTTTTCTTCCTTCGAAAAAAGGAGACGTCATGTGATCACGGCGGCACCGTGCATATGTGGTGATGCACTTTTCTTGAGGGCATCAGAATATGCAGCCTGACAATCTCTCGTGAGAAACATTTTCTTCAAATGTTGGGATGGTGTGCTGGGTATTGCATACTGATGGGATTGGGTATATAAAAATTGAGGGAATAAGGCTACTATAGGGATCAATATTTCCTGGGGTGATCGCATCTTGACTAAAGAGCTCTTATTACTTGAATTTAAACGAATGATTGCCTATGATTCACCCACTACTTGGTGTATACTTGAATAATTGGTATCTTTATTAAGTTTGCGCGAGTGTTGCCGTTGGGTTATTTACTATTTTGTCTAAAATAAAAACAAAATACCTATGTCGATAATACATATTAGGAGATGAGTACAGCCTCCCTGACCAAAGGTTCAAAAAGGAAAGAGAAGGCTCAGACATTACACCTGCACCTGCTTAGAATGATTTCGCCCGGGCTCGAACCGGGGACCACAAGTGAAACCAATGTTAGACTTGTGTGATAACCAACTACACCACGAAACCACTGACAAGGGTCTATTGCGAATTTTTTCGCCAAACACTCCCTTCTTTCCTTGTAGTCATGGGATTCACAATTGAGAACTTGAACCAGAAGAGTCTGGCCGATAACTGGAGACTAAGAAGTACTTTGTACCTAACCTCGACCCGATAGACGTGTAAAGAGCACCAGATATCACTCGGTCATGCGACAAAAAAAAAAAAAAAACAGTCGTCTGGGTTCAACCGATGATAGGTGCCAAGGCCAATTTCTTACACAAAATCTTGCCAAGAGAAACCTCGATAGATCCGAGTGATAGTTTATGTTTTGAGAATATCATTGAATTCCATTATTTTCTTCGACATTTCATGTGTTTATGCATTGAAATTCATTGTCACAACGAATTAGCATAGTATAAAAATTTAAAGGAGATCCGGAGGTAATCGTGATATTTATTTCGATTCGAGAGTTGATCTGGGGATAGTATAGTACATGTATCTGTCGCAAACGGCTATATATCGTTCTCAAATGACTTTGTATAAGTGGCCAGATAAAAGAGCTAAATCATAGACTTAGGCCTCCACTTAACATAAGGGTGCCCAGTAGAATCAGGGACAAAATGGTCAATCATTGCCGTATTGACAAATCCCGGATGAACCTGTGATAGGTTTGTTACCCCGCACATCCTCATTGTCGTCTCCAATTCATCATTCAAAACTATAAGATTATGACCGATTGCGGTTAGCTAATTACTAACTAAATATGATACGGAAAACTTACTTTGCGTTAAATGTGATATACCCTCAGCTCCGTAGTTGAGAGCGTAGAGGTAGGGTCTTCCAACGCCAACAGCCTTGGCTCCCAGACAAAGTGCCTTGAAGATATCGGTACCGCGACGAATACCACCATCGATATAAACTTCAAGATGGTCAAAGACCTCCGGGCAGACCTTATGAAGCTCCAAAAGAGTAAAAATGGAAGGTGGTGAGCTAAATTATTTGATCAGCTGCGTAAATACTTATCGGAGCTCTAATTGACTTACGTATCCAAAGACCTCCCGCCATGATTTGAGAGAACTATTCCTTGAACTCCATACTTGAGCGCTAACTGGGCATCTGCTGCCGTCTGAATACCTTTAAGAACAATAGGTAACCCTCCACATACGCTCTTAAGCCAAGGAATATCCTCCCAGTTGAGGGTTCTGTCAACGTACAGGCCCATAAGCCTTCCCATACCACCGCCTTTTTTATCATTATGGCTGACAGCGCCACTAACAGCACTCTTAACTGGGACATCGACTTTCAGTCTTTCATCTGCTTCCCGCTTACCAGCAAGGTGCGCATCAACAGTCACGAAAACAGCTTTTACACCCGCTTCTCTTGCAGTCTTTAGGAGGGCTATGGTTTTTGCGCGGTCTGTGTTCACATAAAGTTGCAGGAAGTGGGTTTGCTTTTCTGGACCTAGACCGGCTGATATGATATCTGCAATGGGGGCTGAGGAGTTGGTCGAAATCTGTATGAACCGGTTAACCACAACCCCACGGGTAACCTTCTTTCTTCAACATTGCTACTCACAATGTGAATAATCCCCTCTGCACCAGCACCATTCGATACCGCAATCTCACCGTCTTGATGGATCATCTTTGCCATAGCGGTGGGTGCTACAAAGAATGGCGACCTCGTCCTAACCCCCAATATGGTTGTAGTCGTATCTACCTCCTTGTTGTTCCTCATCACCCTTGGCCTCAACAGTACGCGATCAAATGCCTCCTTGTTCAACCTCATGGATATGAGATCTGTCGCTGCAGATGAAAAGAACGCCCATGCCTTTGCACTGCTCGTCTTCTCTGCGACGGTTTCAAAGTCATAGGTGTTAATTAGCGATTCTAAGGGTGGCTTTGTGCTGGAGGTGTCGTTGAGAGCGCCAAGGTCTACTGCCACACTCTGAGGGTCGATGGGGCCAAGACTCTTTATGCTCGCTGGTGCATCCTTCTCTAGAAGTTCGGGGGTGTGCACAGAGTCGTAGGCTCCCGTGGCGTCGGCGCCGGCATAATCTAGAAGCGCTGTGGGGTGGATTAGAGCTCCAATCATGAATCAACTAGGCCAGGGGTATAAGCTTGTTACCCCGAGGCCCTCCAGGATGTTGCTGTAAGAATTCAGTGACATCATATACAGTTCCGCGAACTGTCATCCAACAGTCGCTTTGAGTGTTATGTTTGGAAACATCATCGGTGGTAAGATTCTTTCTGGTCATGGTGGAGGGGTATTAAGTTGGTTGCGCGGCCTGTTAATTCTGCACACGTGTAGGAATTCAAAGGTATGGAGGAATAACAATTTAAAGGAGTACTCTATTGCTGCTACATACATGTCTTCTGGGTTTCGGTAATGCTTAATTGGTCTTCGGTTCAAAACCCGGTTATTGACACGGCGGGGATGTGATGCGGTCGGAAATCGGGGCAATAGGGTACGAAGGAAGGGTTCTAGCTGTGCCCTTGTAGATATGCGGTTCGTGGGTAGTGGTAGATCGCCCTCTGGACCCTAGGGCGTCAACTGTTCAATTAGCCAACCCCTGCAATCCATAGAGATATTCATGGTAATGGATAGGAAGTAGGTATGTGACTAAAGCACAAAGACTGTCCTAAAGACATTGTTCGAAATCACTGTCTTAACTTTGGAGAGCCCAGGTTGCAGCTGCTGGACCCTAGCTCTTGCGGGGTCAACGGTGTTCTTTCGGGAATATATTTTGTCAATCGTCCCTGTCAGTCGGTGACACTAGATACTAAAGTATGTGCCGGAAAGTGATGCAACGACTCAATTTACTACTCACGATTTCAACCACATGCAACCCAACCTTGACTTTAACGAAGCAGCGATATATAGTATGTAAAGTAAAGATATTATGAAGAATTCATCACTCACATCAAAATGAAAGAAATTACATGTAACGTGGTTGCGAATTCACTAAGACCTCACCCTATATTTCCAAGTCGTTGCAACCAAGTAGGCATGGCTGGCCCTAGCCCTAATGCACACCCCCGCAACAATGCGAAACCTACATGTACTTGACCCCCACAACCGGAACCAATCCTTGAATTCACATGTTTCAACACCACATAAAGTACTACACGTACCCTTTCGTATTTCGGGCACAAGTCTCAATATCTGAATATTCGGTCTAAAAACCTAACCAGGGACATGTGAGCGTTCTACTAGGTGAGGCACTGCTCCTTCGTCCTCTCTTCAGCTCGATATTTCACATTATGAGTTCAAATTCTAAAGTTCGATAGTTCTCCGCTCATTCCTAGCTGGTAAAAATGTTCCTGGGACCTGAGACAGGATTTCTCTGTTCGTTAAATCGCCACAGCGCTTCTTCTTCTTCTGCACAATTCGCGATACTCTTTGGGGCCCATGAAATCGTTCTTCAAGGATCAGTTTCCCCGGGGTTTTGTGAATAATGTTTTCGCCCTGTTACCGTGTCAGACTGGGAATCGGGTCGTTACCATACACAAACTTGGTTGTGGTTATTGCCGAGCCTTTTCGCCTCAAAAATTTATGTGAAGTTTTAGTGCTGTTGCCATACGACGACTTGAATCTAGGTCTGACACGGTACTCGGTCAAAAACGTTGCTCACGGTCTCAGCATGAGAAATAGTCTTAGGGGAGCGAGTGGCGATCTGCGATTAGTGTCGGAGTAGACTATTGTTTGAATCCAAAGATTGGATGTGAAGGCGATAAGAACCTACTGGACGGATGTTTGTAAGGAACTCCATACCATAAACCCTCCTTACACTGATGTCACGAACTAGGTAATACGGCTGATGTGCTGCAATCTGCATTATAAAATCGTCGAGGAAGAAATTCCTATTCTAGAAATCTCAGAAGCTTCTAGCTTCGAAACCCTGAGTCTATTTTTGGACAAGCTAATGCTCAGTCGGGCGGTTCTTGGCAGCCATTTATGTCCTCATCACCATGGCGCCTGGATGACCTCATTGTCTAAGAGGATCAAGTTATGAGGCTCGGGAGGCAATATTCACAATCAAAAGGAAGGAAAAACAAGTTAATTGGGTTTGGTGAATTGGAATAACCACCTCCTCACCGCTTATCCCCTCGGCGGTCAGGCCCAAATATTGAGATACTCCTAAAATCAGAGATACCCGCTAATACATTATCAAGATTTTATCAGATGTGAATGAATGTGCGTATTTATTCGTTCCCACGGTTTTTAATATCACGACTTCCATATGCGGTTAACCTGACAGATACTAATTGGCCTGACCGCTGTTGGCCGGTTTATTGTGTTCACTCTCTGTTTCTTTTCTTCTCAACGACGATTCGAGATGAAAATACGTAGAATGAATGAAACTTCTTTTTATTGTGAAAACCGAAAAGCAACAAGATGATTGGTTGATGAACAGGAAAGCTAGCTAATTATACTGATCTTCCTTTTCGGACACCTTTATCAAAGGGATTGTCCTTCCCTGCGCTTACAAATGCATGACAAATCGCTTGGCAACAATTGTGCCCAACACCGCTGAGGATATCCCTTAAACTGTACCAAGCCTCACTGCTTTTTAGGCCTGGCTATCGTACCAAGCAGGAAATCAGAACTCCCGGAAGAGTTTGATACAGGCCACAGCGCTTCACGGCGAGATCTAGAGAGGTGATAGTGATACCGAAAGTACTGTTAGCAATAACTCGAATCTTGATGCAGCAATACTGCTACCCACCATGGCTAAACATTCGTGCCTTGAAAAGAGAGGAAGTGATAAGATTTTCATTTGGAAGAATCCGCGAGGAGAAGTTCCACCTGGCAAACCAAACCTCTGACCGGCCTCAACAAAGGTATTGGAGATTGTATCCGGGAATTTATCGTTGGGGATTTATTTCAACGGTTCCAAAGCATCTATAGAGCTACCATGGCTTTACTGTGCGGGCCTCCTTTACCGCCTGGACATGCCGGTCTCATCAACCTTCGAGGCTTGAAACTCACGACATCGATCAACTCGATAAGCATCTCCAGTCTCTATTCTGGACCTTTTGCTCTACGCGCCACTGGGGCCCTAAGATTACTCGAACGATTTCCGGGGGATGGGCTATGGATATGGATTGAGTCTGGAACGAAACCTTGTGAAAATTCTACCAAAGTTTAGGAACGAGAAAGGCCCATCTGTTTCTATCACAAGAAACTAGGAGGAACGTTTCCCAATAGCTGGTCAACCATTTGCCCTCGGATTACCAATAAGGAGCTTTATCGTCACAGCTATGGAAAGTTTGCATCGAATGCTTACTATAGCCCCCTTAGAGTACTGATGTGGGCATACTAACTGGTAGTTTCTCCACACAAAGTATCTTGGTATCGAGGATCCTGAGAGGAAATGTGCCTAATCTTAAAGCTATGACAAACACTCAGGTTTAATCCGTATTTAAGCCCTCCTTCGCCCTCCCCCATAGCCAACTTCTAAAAATCCTCTTCTCTTTCTCACCTACCCACCTGTCGTTTCATCAATTCGTTCATCCTCTCCACTCGTTACAGCTTAAACGCCAACGTAAGACTGTCGCTCCCCGAATTTCCCATCATTCGATTGTGTTCTGACTTTATTAGGAAAAAAAAAAAAAAAGGCATTCAAAATGCAGATGAAAATCCCTCACAGTCTTGTTGTCTTGGTCGTATCCCTTGGCATCTTTGCCACGGCGAGCCCAACTGGCACCATTGCTCCTGTTGGATGTACCGAGCGGATTGAAGTTCCTGTTGAGGTCGTCAAGACATGCCCTCAGCCAGAAATCATCAGTATCAAGACTGTCTACCGGACCGTTAAGGAGATTGTTCCTGATTGCGCTTGCACTGATGATTTCACGGATTTTGCCAATGTCCAGCTCATTGCCGATACCGCATGCCGCAACGGACTTATCTTCTCCCCCGACGGAAAGACTAAGAAGAGGGGAATCTTTGAGCGTTCCCCAGCTTGCCAAAGCTTCTCTATTGTGGAGGACCCTAGCCTTGCTTTGAGAAAGCGATATGAAGGTAATGATTGCCAAGATGGATGTGACCGTGGAGATCTTACAGGTCACATCCACGACAAGTTCGATCAAGTCAAGAACACCTTCAAGCACAATCTTAACCAGAACATCAACAATAATGATAACACCGATCTAGATGATAGCCAAGTCACTGGTGGCGGCAATGGCGGGTTCGGTGGGTTCGGCGGATTCAAGGCGAAGCGTCAATTCGGCTTTGGTGGTTTCGGAGGCTTCGATGACGGCGGCGCCTTCGATAACAACGACAACCAGAACATCAACCAGAACGTCAATGCCAACCAGAACCTGATGGCCAACCTCGGAAGGTTCAACAGCTTCTTTGGTACCGGTGGTGATGGAGGTGCAATTGGAAGCGGCGGCGCTGCCGCTGCGGCTGGCCTCAGAGGGTTGGCCTTTGGCATCAACGACAACACCGACTTCAATGTCAACAACAATGTTGCTTTTGAAGACGATACCTTCTTCAAGAAGATGAAGCGTAATGCTCAGTTTGGGTTCGGGGGCTTTGGCGGTGGCGATGGCGATTTTGATGACAACGAGAACCAGAACATTAACCAAAACATCAACAACAACCAAAACCTAAACGAGGACTTCTTCAGTGGAGTCTTCGGAGGTGGAGATGATGGATTCGGGTTCGACGGTGTCGGTATTGTTCCTTTCTTCCCCGGCTTCATCGGAGGCTTTGGGGGATTCGGTGGATACGGCGGATTCGGCGACGGCTTTGGCGGGTTTGGCGGGTTCGAGGATGTAGCCATGAACGAGAACCTCAACTTCAATCCTGATACAAACATTGAGACGTTTGGCTCTGGAAATGGTGGTCTGTACAAGCGGTGCGACTCAGGAAACTGTGGTTATGGAAATAGCAACGTAAACTACAACTCCGTAAGTAACCAGATCTAGAGCATGCTTATCTGGTATCAAAAATTCTAATAGTTAACACTAGAACACCAACTACAACACCAATGAGGAGGTTGTGGCTGTTCCCCAGTTCGAGACAATCATTGAGACTGTCCCTGTAGTGGAGACCGTCCCAGTCGTCGAAACCGTCTATCAGCCCGTGGTTGAGTATCAGACTGTCGAGGTCATTGAAAAGGTGCCCGTCGTCGAGCAAGTCTACGAGCCAGTGACCGTTGTTGAGCAGATTGCTGTCCCTGCTTGCACCACCGTCGAGTGCGTCCAGGCTAGCAAGAAGACCGTCGTCACTGAGGTTTTCGAGACCGTTCCCCAGCCCGTTGTCGAGGTCGTCGAGGTTGCCCAACCCGTTGTAGAGGTCGTCGAGGTTGCCCAACCCGTTGTAGAGGTCGTTGAGGTTGCCCAGCCCGTTGTCGAGGTTGCCAAGCCTGTTGTTGAGTACTCTGTTGTCTTCTACCCTGTTGCAGGATGTGGTGTGCCCAACCGCCCATCTTACACATACGGAAGCTGCCACAAATAGAGGTGTTGATCGATGCTTCTCGGGCTTCTGCTGCTGACAGATTATGTGATGTATAATATTGGATATTAATCACATTCCCGACTTTCCTTTTCCTTTTTTCTTTCTCTTATTCGGTTTTTTGGTGTCGAGGTTAATCATCTTTTCCTATATTTCCTTTGATTCATGTGGGTTCAATCTGGCTTTTTCGAGCTGGAGGACGCAGATGGTGGAAAGGGGATGATTTAGATGAAATAAAAGCTGCATTAAATCCACCATTCTACGCTCTCTAATATCAATCATGTACTATGAATTAATGAATTATCAATTAATCAATCAATCCATCATGTACTATGACTTGATCATTAAATGTCACTCGGGTATCAATTGCGCTAGCCTCCTTTAAGATGCGTGATTCAACTAACCAGTCTCGAAGATTATACTTGTTCAAATACCGCAACGTATGTGAGCTTGGTGGCTGGTGGCTCTAGCTTGGTTGGTTCAATCCGCAGCTTTTATCTCAAGTTGTATGCACCATGATAATGATCACCGCCGCACTCTGCCGATATTATTCCCTGCTCCGAGCTTACCGCTACCGGTTGCATGACCATCTTCTTTTCTCCACTGTAGAGATCTGCTGCCCGAGGCTACAGATACCCTTTATATAATATAATACAAATGACCCATCGAATATAATACTATTAAGATGTACGTTCAAATATCTGGCGAGAAACCACTCTGATATATTACCGTTAAGTTTTCATGAGAGTTTTTTTTAATCCCAACTTCGAGTTTACGCAGTTTGTTCAGAATGACGGCCTAAAAAATACGGAGACCTAGTAGTTATCTTTTGGACTGGTGAGTTCCGAAAGAGTACTAATTTAGAACGTTATCGAACGGCCTGGCTTTAACCAATTCTCAGTTTAAACTCTGCTAGAGGTACAGCCACTCTACAAAAGTGTTCGTGATTCCGATTTCGGAGTGAGACATTTCTCTATATGTAACCGTGGCGGACCATCAAGAACCCCCCAAGAGGAGGCTTTCCCAGTGATCAATAGCGCATAAATTAATGAAGAATAAGATCAATGACCTACTTGTATCTTCTTTATATAGTCACGAACTATATTATATATTTTTCGTTGTTTTGAATCCCAACCTTAATAACATTAGTATTACGGGTGCGCCACACTGAGCACTGACATTAAAAACTATATCACGAACACTTTTGCTGAGTGGCTGTACCTCCGTCAAAATATGGTAATTATCGGCTTGTATCTGCTTAAAAGCCTCTGCCGCAGCACCTACCAATGAGACGGTTACCTAGGGGACGGGTGTGTAGGTGGTGGGTTTATAGAAGCCTGTGGACGGAAGCCAACACCGGAGCAACCGGCAGTTTATGGCGAACCGCGCTGGTGGTAGACGGGGGTAGATGGTTGGTGATATCTGTAGGTACACAAGCTCATGCAGGAAGACCTGCAGGGAAGTACGTCTATGAACAGGTAATTGGAATCGTGTATTGCCGGTGTTATAAGACTTCTCCTAAGCTGGGAATCCTCCTGCGGGAGGATCCTCATACATAACAATTATGTCGACCGCTAGGAACTGTGGTGTGGGCTCCAGTTGTTTCGTTTGCTGCACCGTCCCAGAGATTGGTGGGGTAAAGACGGCTGCCCTGGAGATCCCTTAACACCCACGTTGTACTTTAAACAATTGCAACCTACTGTGTTTCTATGGAAATATACGTGTCAGAAATGCGGGAACTCAAAATAAATGACGCAGTACGTAATATCGACATAGTGCCACTGAGATACATGCAGCCACACATATGAAACCATACTAGACCTTAAGCTAGGCCGGCTGGGAGGTCTAGAACACCGGAGAGCCTAATTCATCGGCATTGATAGGAGCGCTCAACTGGTAGGATACAGATCTGCAAAGTTACGTGCTGTACTAGCTTGCTCATAAAGATTCGTGGATACTATTGCCGAGGTTTCCGATGGTAGATCTGCATATGTCGCCGGCCCGATCGCGAATCATTCGTTCGATGCAAGTGCTATTCCTCCCGTGCCCCACACCGCACCACACATTGATAAGGAGCACAAAAAATTGTTCTCTCATTTCACCACTATGAAGATCAGCGTACCAAGCAGCTGGTCGCGCTGCCGTGTAGGGGCTGGTGTGCATGTGTGTATCGACCGAGTGACCGTCCGTGACGAGGACGTTCCGAATGATCGGGTAATACCGCTGATCATCCGTCTCAACGAATATATCTACGTATTTGCGACTGAGAAGAGTGAGAAAAGATCATACACCAGTGTGGTCATTTTGTAATGCCACTCCCGAGTCACCGATTATCACTCGTGTATCAATGATCATTACGACACAAATTTACATCGGCCCTTAAATGGTTCCGATTATGGAACCATGTTAATCACTGGGTGACCTGTTAGAAGCCGCTGATAGGTGAGGCTCTTTGTAAGCGATACTAGGGGTCGCATCTGCGGCGAGGTCTGGGGCATTGGGTCTCTTGGTACTTATAGATTCTGGGCCTGTGGCCCTCAGCGGGCGCCAACAAATCCTTGGTGGGCAGTAATCGTTGTATCGGCTGGATAGTGAGTAGATTGTTAGCAGGTAGTGCTCACTGGGGGGCGGAATGGTCTACCCAACTATTGAAAATACTTCTATAGTGGGGTTCACCAACCTTTGCCGGCGAACGACAAACAAATATAGAAAGAAATTCAATCCAGAGACGAAGAAGCTGTTCGTAGATAAAGAGTTATACTATCCAAATAAGGAAAGTGGCCGGCCTGTCACCAAGAAAAATCGGGTATGCGCAGGCCAGGTTAGTCATTCTAGTTTTAAGAGAGCTCTCACGCAAGCCATTACAGGTCGTCGTTTTTTTTTTTTTTTTTTTTTTTTTTTTTTTTAATTGCATGTAGCCTTAAAGCTATGGTAATATCGCGCTGCCACAGAACCTCCCATCTGCCTTGCAGGTCGTCGTTACGTTGCGGTATTATCGGAAATTTCTACCAGCTTGGGATGGATGTGCCAATCTTTGGATTTGTGGTGTAATGTCTCCAGCATATGATCGTATATGCTAATCAGGGATTCTGGAATCTTTTAACAACAATGGCTCTTTTTCCGACCGGAGGGGCGGAGGAGATGCTGATACTTGTTAGGATCTTTGGCTAATCAGGGGCTGGTGAGATACATACTTGACCACTCTAAATCCGTCAATTAAGGAATCCCTTTCGTGGTTATAGATCTAGAATTAATCTATGTTAGTTTAATACACTTTGTACCGCTTTGCAATTTGGGTCAAGATCAATATAGATTCGTATTCGCGGTGGTTTCTGAGTTTGGTGCAAGGTGGTCTTAGAAACGGTGTCCACAGTCGATCTGGCTTAACTGGACGTGTCACCATCATATGTATAAGCGGAGAGGCTCCTATCCTCTTCGGCAATAGAATCATCCATAATATTACCTTTTGAGTCTTCCTATGTCTTGCCCCGTTGAACCAATTTATTACCCAAGAGGCGGCGTGTGATTCGTGAACGGGTGGTTGGGTTTCTATAACTCTTCAGAGTTCTATCCAACATTATTTTCGAACCACACTATCCCATGGTCTATCAAGGCTGGCTGTTTTTTGTGAGGCCCAGAAACCACAGGAAATTTGCCCACAGGCGAGTGATAATTCATGAGTCTATCTGTTGACCGCTCGATAAAAAAAACGTGCGTGCGCTCTTCTCTAAGACCTTATTTTCGAATTTTTCTAAGCTAATTAAATAAGAGGTGGAATAGATTGAACGCTCTACTTCACCGACGGGGCCATTGGAGGTGATCTCGAGGGACGTCATGGTATGATTTGATCGCTTAGCCTGGCTCTGCCTGGTCTCCATGAGGTTAGGGCTTGGATCCAAGGGTAATTGAGATGAATGGTTAGTTTCCTTTTGAGCTCTTGCTTTCATCCATGCTCATGGAGCGCTCAATCCCGACTTTCTCATCCCCCTTATCTTCTTCCCTTCAACATCTGTTTGCGCAGCTCATGATCCTACTAATGTCGCCCGCTCGTGCGCCTCTCATCTAGGGTCTAGACTCATCTTTAAACCTCAAACTAGCTTGAGAAGGATACCCCTCTACAACCCGTAGTCACCTCTTTCCTGGCAGCTTGATGTTTACAATCCTGATACCTCACATTGTTTCACAGGACACAGGACGTTTCGGTTTCATCATATCAGCACCAAAACTACAACAGACCGCCCAAAGCTGTCCTGGTCGCCGGAACTATGAAAATCGCCGTGCCAGCACGTGGCACTAGATGGCCAGGATGGGCGATGGAATTAAACTTGCCGATCTGCAAGTTGCTGGTTAAAAGTGGGCCAGCATGGGCTCTATTTTGATAGAGATCAGGGGTAGATTATATTACATTGGGGGAGCTAATTAGGATACTCTAAATGACTCGGGAGTTACCGGCTGCGGGTGGCGTAAGATCGAGCTTGGATCAAGGGGATCGGACGGTAAGTACCGAAGGGAAATAAACGGTTGTGCATTAGATGAACTAACTAGAAGATGTTTTAGTTCATTATAATTCGAGAGACTGTCCCTGGAGTATGAGTTGATGGGTATGGACCACTCATTCTCCTGCGGCGGCAAAATGGTATGGATATGGATGCCTTTGACTTATATCAGATGTCGAGAAGAAATGTGAGAGTTTCACAACAAATCCAGGAAGCAAGATTTTATTTTATTGCATGTGCAGCATGTGGTATACTTTCAAGAGAGTGATCGCTAATATCAGCTAGCTAGTAGAAACCATGGGAATAACTGTCGGGCCACTTAGCTCCGATAGTACAATATCCCATCCACCCCGCCACCTTCATCACAAGCCTTCGTTTCATCGCATCACACGATTTGTTTACAAACAATGATAATCCGTTTTACAATTTAATGCTGGGCAGCGGGTGTTTCATAATTCATGGATCGTCACTCGGTGTTAGAGTTTGCCAATCGCCGAGGAGCCAGAAACCGGGATTCGTGGGAAGGGGGAGAAATAGAGATCTTGGGAGCCATGGTTCGGGGGGCGGCTTTGGATGGTGGTGGGGGGTATGGGGTGATTGGTGATTGGTGATGGGTGGTGGGGATCCTTGGCTGGTTGGGTGCAGGGATGGCCGTGACGGGAAGAGTGGAGGGATGTGTGGTGGGTGGGTGGGTCATGGGGAATCACTCGGCTGGCGTGACGGACAGCGGGAATGATATGAAGTTTGAGATGAAGATATGCAGGTATTTACAGTATTATCATTATTATTTAGTTTTTGCCTATGCTAATATGCATCTAGTCCTATCGCTCTAGCTATAGACCAGCTAGGTGAGTAGGTATGATATGTGATTTATGCACCGAACACCAGTGTTCTCGCTATGAAATGCATACCGACGAAATTTAAAGACTGAAGCTGGCCATGCTACGACACCGAGATCCAGTCCCGATACAACCTTGCATAATAACTCGACTTAAAATCAATACTCCCCACCTCTTCTTCCTCCGGCCGCCCCCGCTTCACAACCACCAGCGGCGGCATCGGCTGCGATCCAATCGTGAAAAAGCGCTCATATGGCAGCGTCGGCGAGTCTAGCCCCCCCTCTACCCCCATCTCTCCTTGCTCCTCCTCCTCCTCCTCTAGCCCCCACGTTCCGGGCCCGCAAAACGAATCCCTCTCATCTATCTCGTATAACGAGCCGCGCGTCTCGCAGAACGAGTCCCGCTCATACGCTGATATCGTCCACGCCTCGCTCACCGGCCGCGGGTGGGATTTAGCTGTCTGATCACAGTGCTTACACAGCCCGCTGCTATCCGTAAGCGCGGGGAACAGCTCACACTTGCGGCACAACACCGTACTCCCCTGTACGGGTAACCAGTTTCCGAAGCCGCTGTCGGGGCGTTCGAAGAACGCGGCGGAGACTTGGTCTTGTTCGGCGGTGGAGGTTGTCGAGGCGTGATAGGAGGTGGGGGGCAGGCTGGCGCAGGTGAAGCTGAGGGTAGAGCAGCGGTGCGTGAGGTGGATGGAGGGGTATGTGGAGAATTTGGTGTGGGGGTGCGGGGCTGGGTGGGTTGTTGGGTGAATTGGGCGGAGGCAGAGTGACGGCGGGTGAAGCGGGTAGGCCGCCGGCGCGGCGGAGTGGCACGGCGGTAGGAGGAGAGGGGGGCGGCGTGCGCGTTGTAGGGGTGGCTTATGGTGTGGGGGTCCGTTTTTGGTGGGGATCGGGGCGGTAGGGGGATGCAGAGGAGGCGGTGGAGGAGGTGTGTGAATTGAGGCATGGCCGGCATGTGATGTGGTGTGTTTGGATGTAATGTATGTAGGGTAGGGATCGTCTGTTATGTATTAGATAAAAAAAAATACAGCATGTACCGTGTTAGTCTGGGGGTGGTTGTATATGTTGGAGCGGAGACAGGCGTGGACTCGGAGCGCGTTTAGTAGACATTGTGAATGGTGGTCTTGAATGTGTTTTTTGGGGAGGATCGTTTTCAAGGTGGTGGGTTTTTCAAGGCCGGGGGTGTTGCTTATTATAGATTGGTTGGAAACGTGGAACAGGATGGAGTCGGTGCTTGGGATGATCGAGGTGAGACATTGGGTAGTAGTTAACAAAGAAGGGCCGTGATGGGAGATACACACTATACGTATGTTTTTGATGTGTTTGTGAATGGTTTTCAAGAACTGTCGTGGAGTCGACCACGTGATTTTTGGGGAGGGTTTTCAAGTGGATGCGGTGGCCTTAGTTGGAAATGACGACGTTAGTGTTAAATCCAGATGTCGGAAGGTGGTCATTCGGCCAACAGGTGAGATTCGAGATGAATGCTCTCCCGCTGTCAGGAATTTCTCCGTGGCGGGTCCTTTCGTCTCTTTTCATGGTTCACAGCCTTTGCCAGAAAAAAAAAAAAAAAAGAGAAAAAAAACGGCATTGTGATAGATACAATTCTTCATGATAAGGGTACTTCCAGCTACATGTCTCCGAATTTTGTACGGTAGGCCATGCATGGATGAATTGCCACACGTTCAGAACATAAACGAAGGCATGCATGGACGCATCTTGAAAGCATGGCCCCGATACCGGCGCGCAAAACACATCTTACAAAACATGTCGGGGATCGGTCCATAAGCTCGGCCCGGGTAGACTGGTAAACTGCTTGTTAGATTGTCACGCGTTACGTTTGTCGTGCTCGCGAAGTCGGAGGATTGCGGCGATCTGATATGATTGTAATTGATCTCTCGGCGCGGTTCAACTATTTCTCGGCATGGGCTACATAACTAATTAGCTACCGACAACTCAATTGAGATTAGCGGCAACCCATATATTTGTGCGCTCGACCAATCAGACCCGCGGATCTTTATTGGACCCTTGCCCCCGCCCTAACCGCAATCCTCCAAATATATATATATTATCTCTGGTGCTTCTTCTCACGACAATAATCGGACAGGACATCCGTGATCGAGAGCTTTGAGCGACAAGGCGGAAGGGTACTCTACTTTTATCATGCGTACCTAGGACTCTTGACCTGGTAATTGCAATTTTCGGCCAAGGGCTTACTACATCATACATGCCCCACGTTTTGAGCGAGTAGAGTAAATAACCATTACACGGATTATTAGGGGCCCTGTCCTCCCGACGACACACCACCCCACAATCTGGCAGGGCAACGGATCTCTCCCATTGGCCCAAGAGGAATGTCCCCAATGTCTCTAATATCCCCACCCCATCCAACTACCGAAACCCAACATCCCGGCAGATGCGATGCGAATAATTAATTCTTGCTATGTACCGAAATACCTCATAACCGAGGGGGGGACCACCAGGTGAACCACTCGCTCGCTCTGGCTGGTGGAATATTCGGTAGGTCTGCAGGATCATACATACATACATTTGTCTTTCCCCGGATGGTGTTTGAGAATACTCGACCTCCCCTTGGTTTGGGTTATCTCGTGTCGTTGCACGAGTCGATAAGTTTGGGTTCCCCAGCATGAGCATCATTTCAGGTAGGTACATATGTGATTGTCAATTACATGTACTTTTCTACGCCGTAGATAAACTATGTATCCTATCTGCTGATTACTACATGTAGCTAGCTATCTATGCTCGGGGAGAGCCGATCGAAATCACACATAAAACAAAACAAAAGTTGCCGTAATCCCGCCGAGCAGTCGTGTACCTGACATATCAGCTTGATAATTACATCTTGGAATGCTGATCGACATCGAAATCACGTACTTGTTTCTCGGCTAATGATGTTCTGTGCTACCGTCGGTAGCAGCATAAACCTTCACTAGATTCGTATGTACGTGCGCCAAGGCCGTCTTCGCCGCAACATGGGACGGATACACTCGTGCCAGAAGCATCAAATTTATCATCTGCAGGGACCTGGAGGAGAGATAGCTCTTGAGTCAGGCTCTCGTCAGCACAACGGGGAGGGGGGCAGGAATGCGTCTTTGCAAACTATCACGGATATTGAGTGATTGATCGGGGAGGAAGAGTATGGGGCGCGGGAAGAGAGAGGGGGATTCATGGTTTCTCTCTGCGGTGCAGTGCACTCGTATTCCAGTATAATGCGATAGGTGACTTTCTGTGTCGAGCTAGCTGACTGGCTGGTTGGTCATTGATGGCTACCGACATGAGCTCAAACCCAAACCTCAAAGGCCTGGGAGGTCCCAGTGCAGGTATAATTTCCTAGTATGTATAATACCCAGGAAAGGCTACGCACAGCAAGCAGCAGCGCAGTAGGCGCAAAGTGGACCCCACCTGCCTGAGTCGCACCCGCGGGAGGTGGCCGTACACAATGTGGTGTAACATGCCCCCCTCCCACCTCAGGGAGGGAGAACAGAGGATCGGTACAATACGCCCACTCGAGCTTCCAATTGCGGGCGTGAGTCTGTCCTGCACGCCCGGAAGCGACATTTCCGGTACCGTTTCTGTAGGGCTAGCACACGTGGTTCTGGAGCCTCCTCCGTTCCCTGCCCCGCATGGGAACTGGAGGTGGTCGTGGTGGGGGAAGGGAAGGCACTGGGAGTGGGTGAGCAGCTTGAGATTCTTTATAAAGTGCGCTCTGGGGCGTCGTGGTCTGGAGGAATATCTATCAGGCTCTATAGTAACAGCGCAAAGATGCTTCTACACTTGGTTATCAGTCTATCGATTACGGGCAGCGCTTTTGCGGCACCTTTCTTGGGGCAGCTCCTGGAGCGGCAGGAACAGGTCAATGGCACTTACGACTATATCATTGCCGGTGGAGGAACAGCCGTATGTTGAGCCCTCCAGTCAAGATTTCTACCCAATTGAATCTTAGCTAACTCGTTCAAACGTTTAGGGTCTGGCCGTCGCAAACCGTCTCACCGAAGACCCCAAAAGTAATACTATCTATCCCCCTACCCCAAAAGAACCAATTCGCCTTTTCTCCCATACGTACAGGATCACTGACAAGCAAGCGCGTACATAGTCAGCGTTCTCGTGCTCGAGGCCGGTATTCCAGACCAGAAGGAGTGTGCAGCCATCCTGCAGCGATGCCTGGGCGACACAATGCGCTCAAAGTACGACTGGAACGTGACGACCGAGCCACAGATGTTCCTTTCCGGGCGTCCCCAGAACTTGGCCATTGGCCGCGCGTTGGGCGGGAGCTCCATGCTCAACGGGATGATGTTTGATAGGGGCTCGCCGAGCGATTATGATATGTGGGAACAGCTGGGTAATCCGGGATGGGGGTGGAAGGGCATGCTGCCGTATTTCAAGAAGGTTTGTTTGGCTGGTGATTTGAGTTGAGATGTAGCTAACAGAGGGGTACGGTGTTGTAGAGCGAGACATTCACGCCCCCGAATGCGGACCATGTGCAGGAGTTTGGCATTACCTATGATCCGGAGGTGCATGGTGATAGCGGATACATCCAGTCCGGATATCCGAATTTCATATTCCCACAAATGAGTATGTTCCCCTCCTAGGCCTCTCCGCGCCTCTACAATTGGCCCCCGCTTATTCAAATTGCGATACAGAGAACTTCCAGGACGCCCTCATGAGTCTCGGGATTGTTCAGTCCAAAGACCAGGCCGGCAGAGCCATCGGTACCTTCTGGTCACCAAACACTATTGATCCGAAGAACATGACGCGGTCGTACTCGCGCAGCGCATACTACGACAACTTCACAAACAGGACAAATCTCCACGTCATCACCTCACGACATGTGACGAAGCTGCTCCTCGACAAGGATCGGGTTACTGGTGTTGAGGTAAGTCGGTCTGGGCGGCCATCGCGCCGGGTGTTGAGACGGATTTGTACTGATTCCGACGACGTTGGTAATATGTAGTACATCGAGGTTGGCAAGAATACCACATACACGGTTGCAGCGAAGAGAGAGTACATTGTTTCAGCTGGCACAATTCACACGCCGCAGCTCCTGCAGCTTTCTGGTAATTGTTACCCGAGTTTTATACGCGCCTAGACATTCGCCATGCATGCCCGGATTCTAACATGATGTATTGTACAGGAATCGGACAAAAGAGCCTGCTAGAAGGTCTCGGAATCCCAGTGGTGGTTGACCTGCCTGGAGTGTAAGTCTAAGTCGCCCTGCGCATAATATAAGACGTGTCACTGATGGTAGTAAACCGAATGTTTAGTGGTCAGAACTTCCAAGATCATCCATGTAAGTCATAACCCTAACCCTGGTAATGATCGGAAGACTGGTACTGATTTCTGCGTGTGAATAGTTGCCACTTTGTCACTCAAGCGTATGCTCAACTCTCCCACCATGAAGAAGGGGCCCCGACTAACGTAGAGAAATATTAGTCGATAATGTTGAGCACTCACTGTGGGATCTTGACCGCAATGCCACTTATGACGCTGAGCAAAAGGCACTTTTCTATGCCGACCGCGAAGGTAAATACCTCCTACCAATGACCACTAAGACCGCACAGTACTGACTCCACCCAGGCGCCTGGACCACTGGTGGCCCCAACTCTGTCGCCTTCCTCCCCCTTTCCTCCTACACCAACCAGACCACGCCGCTGCTCACATCCTACGCCAACGCCGCCGCCGCCGCCCACCTACGCAACGACACGCCCGCCGCCGTCATCGCCGGCTTCACCGCCCAGCGTTCCATCCTCCTCTCGCACCTTGCCACGCCCAACACCGCAGCAATGGAGTTCATCTGGCAGAGCGGCGCCGCCCGCCGCTACCAGATGCCCTTCTCCGTCTCCGTCCAGCACCCCTTCTCGCGCGGCCACGTCGAAATAAACAGCACCAACCCGCTCCTCCGCCCCATCGTTGACCTCCGTACCGGATCCAACCCGGTAGACCTGACGCTCCTGGTCGAGGCGTTCCGTTATGCAAGGAGGGTCGTGGCTACGGATGCGATACAGGAGCTGGTGCCGACAGAGTTGCTGCCGGGTGCGAATGTGACGAGTGATGAGGATATCTTGGCGTATGCTAAAAGTAGTGCGTCGACGATGTTTCATCCGTCGGGCACGTCGGCGATGATGCCGAGGGAGTTGGGCGGTGTGGTGGATTCGAGTTTGAGGGTGTATGGCGTGAAGAATTTGAGGGTCGTGGATGCGAGTATTATTCCGTTGATTCCGGCGACGCATATTGTGTCGACGGTTTATGCGATTGCGGAGAAGGTATGTTGAAATTGGGTCCTTTATTCCCCCCCCCCCCCCGGTTTTGTGTGGGCTTTTGCTAATGAGGTGGTGTGGCTTTTAGGCGGCGGATTTGATTAAGGCTGCGCAGAAATAAGTGACTTTTTCTCTTCCTTGTAGTGTTTTCTTTCTATTCCTCATTTTTCACTATTCTTTTCACATTTTTTCTTCGTGGTCATTTTTCCCCTTCACGTGTATTTTAGGCAGGTTTTCATAAACGAATTCAATTTTTTTTTAAAAAGTCCTCAGAAATAGTCCAGCTAGCTACAGTACAGTATACATATATGGCCGTGAATAATTGACAAACGGCCGGATCATCTCTGTTTAAATAGAGATACCAACAGAGATGGTAGCAATGACACCATCGGCAATAGTGCTTCCGATAAGCTCGGTGTTGGCGATAGCTATTATCATATACTTATTAGCACCATTCATCCGCACTCCCCTATCTATAGCGGAAGGAAAGACAAACCATCATATCCAGTGTTCTGCTGGTTGAAGATACCGTCGGCAGTATTAGTGGTCAACTGGTTGCGGTTCGTAGTATACGGGGAAACAGTTCCAACGCTGCTGATGAGACTCTGTTCATAGAAGATCTGTCCAATGTGCGGGCGTGAGCCTCCGACATACTTGGTACCACTGACGGTACCGCCATAGTGCGCAAGGATGTGCGTGTGCACCGCACGTCCTTGGTACCAGCCGGGGAAGATCGTGGTGATGTGGGCAATGCTGTTGGAATATGCGTGTTAGTACTGGATAATTGGCGTCATGGGGGTATCACCCGGTGTGGAGTTTGGGGGGGTGGGGGGTTACCCGTCGGAGTCGGTGGGCTGAAGGCCACGGAGTTGGGTTTCGCCCTGGTGGAAGTTAGTTTTAGTTTGCGTTTGCGTTTGTTGTTTGTTGTTTGTGTTTCTGTTTGTGTAGATTGGAGGAGAGGGAATGGATGGATAGAGTGGGGCTTACGAGGGTTCCTTCGGCCTGGAAACCGGAGTAGACGCCGGTAGCGTTTGCGTGCCAGGCGTCAATGTAGAGGTTAGGAATAACCGTGCAGGTTTTCGTCTGTGTATTGCCAGTCGTGGTCAGTATATAGTAGACATGAGGAAAAGAGAAAGAAAAAAGGATATGAGTTAATTCGGGATACATACGTTGACGAACTCGATCTCGAGAAGCATCTCAACACCGGGCTCACCCTCGCGGTTGTCGACACGGATGGGCATGCCGTCGAGGTAGTAAGGACCAATGGTGACCTCCGGCGCAAGAATGCCTAGTGGTTCCTATGGTTAGCCTATATCTTTTGCGGCCAAATATCTTGACAACGGCTATTCAATTGAACTGCAAATCCGGGCAGGGACTTACAAGAAACCGCTGCAGAGGAAGTCTGCCTCTTTGTGAATGGGGCGCTGCGGCGGGTGATGCCACGCTTCTCGACAAACTCGTTGATCCAGGCCTCACGCTTCTGCATCTTGCGGGAGTTCATGTCGTCTCGGGCACGGAGCTTGTGGGCGCAGCTCTCGAGGTCGCGGCGGGCAGCCTCGACATGCTTCTCGCGGGCAACGAGCTGCTCAAAGGTCTCGTCGTGGCCGAGGGTGGCACTGAAGAAGAGAGAGCCGAGGAGGAGGAAAGTGGGCTTGAGGAAGAGCATGTTTGCGGGTTTGTTTTTGTTTTTCCTTGTTCTTGGTGAAGAAGCTGTGATCTGAGTTGCTCGAGATGCTGCTGGCTGGCTGGCTGATGAGGAGAGAATGGAGGAAATGGTCGCCCTTTTTAAATATTTTTTCTTCCATATATGAGAAGCTCGAGGTCTCCACTTTCTGGATATCGTTGTTTGTGAAAGCTACATTGCGATCATCTTGGCATGTTTGTAAATGTCGGCGCTCTCGGAGTAGAGATCCTGTACTGCCAGACTACTCCGCAGGGGGGTGTTCCTAGTACTTTTGTGTGGTCAGTACTAGATTAAGCTTAATACCTTAATACTATTACTAGATCTGCGCTCTATACACAGATTACAGGCTGTTGCCGGATTTGCAATGGCACATGGAGTTGCACTTACTGGGCTGGTTGTGCTCAGGGTACTATCCAGTACATACATGGAGTTGATTTTGTTTGTAATATAACTATGCCTATCTGGTAGCAGTAGAGTATAGTACCAGCTGCAGGCATGCAGCGAATAAAGGTACGCCGAGCTCCAGCGATGCCAAGGAAAAGAGCTTAAATCCATGTCTCAAGGACACGCGTCGGTTAGATCCGAAAATGCTGTCAAAAGTTTCCAATCGAGATTCGGGACGTAGTAGCAGGGGTCTGTACTCAGGTACACTCCATGGTAGTTGCAGTTGCAGGGGGTCGTAGGGGGCAATTCGCATGCTCTGCACATAGCACTTTACCATGGGAGAACTGCATGCAATACTCTTGACACTCGCAAAAAACGCGGGGTAGACCCAAGGTGGCTATAGAGCCGTTAATTGGGGTACGTTGGCGGGTAAAAGGGGGGGGGGGGGGCGGGGGCAAGACGTCGTAAGCTTGTTTGATTGCAATCTAATTGGCAGGAGCTGGCATATCATGTAGCCAGCTTCATTCACCGTGATATTGGAGTATGCATCTTTGAGTAAATATGCCAATCAGCTATACCCTTATAATATATTACCTACCGATTCGTGGAGAAAAGCAAGTTTGTTTTTTCGGATAAACTATAAGGGTACCTGCTTACCAGCTTGTTGAAACCTCCCCGCCCCTAATTCCTGACTTTGTAATAAAGCCAACCTGGAACCAAAGCAATATATGGGCTCAACTATCGCGCGCGGAGTGTCGATCATCACCCTAGTCGTCAGCGGGAGTGCTTCTATACAACCACTTGAGAGAGTTCTTGGCAAACGTGTTTGACATGATATGACCCTGGACGTCGTAGGTTCTTGACCGCCGGTGCTTTCGGCGAGGCCACCGAAATAATGTGCCCCATTTCACTCGAAATTCGGTAAATATTTTTTGCGCGCCCGCAGAACCGCTCGTGTTGTCTTCTCGAAATAACCGCCATTGAGAAAATTTTCTGTCCCAAGATCTGTTATATAGGGAACAACGACTATTGTGGCTGCGATGGCGCGTGCCAACGGATGCACCGAGTGATCGCTAGTGACCGAAGTAGACCGCCACAAGTAATATCGCTCTTCTGATAAAGATTAAAGCGATGATTTTCACCTAGCTTGCGAGATCGACAAGATTTGCCGAGATTCTTGGCGGCAGGCCGGCCGGAACAAGCTTTAGGCTTAGAGTTCGGATGGCCAAACCGAAACTCTGATAGTGTGGCTGGACTTTTGCTGGTTCTCGCAACAAATAAGAACCGGTTACATTATAGATCAAACCAAGGGGCTCTCTGGCTATTATGCGCTTCCTGTCCTTTGAGCTGAAAGATGTCCGGAACGGCCTCTGGGCATCCGGAATTCATGGTGGGGTTGGTCGTCAGTTGTAACAGCAGCATGCATTGACCCCATCATCAACAGTAGAAACGCTGAGTCTACCGGCATATCCCGGTGCCACATACGCACTTTCATCTGTTAGAGGTTGTGAGTATGTAGGGTGCAAGGATAAATTTAAGCTTGGCGAATATGTGGAGTTTATTCCCATGTCAATCTGCATGATTGGTGGCCAATAATCTAGACCCTAGGAATTATTCAACTGGAATTCCAACCTGCCTTGACTCTTTAATTTCCTGAGTGGTTATTAGCCGACGAATCTCTAATTCGATCTCTGTGATTGGATAGTTATCAAATACTACTGTTAGCACCCTGATACTTTGTCGTCTCAGCGGCCTGAAAAGCTGAATAAAGATATTTCTTGATGGATATGCTGGCCTTTGTGAGCCAAATGGAGTAATCTACTTCCACACCTCCTGTATCTAGGGTTGAATTTTTCTCCGATTAGATATCCACAATTGATTCAGATATGAAAGTGTGAAATAAACGCGCGGTCAATATTATTCCCCTCCCACGCTTGAGATTGAAATCCTTTGTCTTTATCCTGGTACTCAATTCATACCTCTCAATTATTTCAAGGTGTATATATTGAAAGACGGTCTTTACCAGCTCTAATCGCGGTGGTATTTTTTTAATTTGGTTATTCCGCTGAGATAGTGTTCCTGCTGGAAAATTAAAGAAAATCTGCTCATATAGCACAATTCGACATCAATATAAGACTAGCAGATTGTGATTGTACTTATTGCTGCTGCAAGACGCACATGAAGCTGTGATCGGAAATGTCCATCTGCCGGCTCCAAAACCGGATTGGAATCATAGGTTAGACAGTCCTGAATGGTCTCTTGACGTGAAGAATGATTTTAGACTACCAAATCAGCTGATTCTAGTCGCATCAACCAGTTTGAGGCATTCATGCTTAGTTTGATCATATTGGCTTCGTTGAAACCATCCCTACAAATACAAAGACTGAGGATGTATTCGCAGGAAACCGTCAGACTAGGAAATCAATATTCTCCAATCTGCATGCGAAATCGACTTTGCCTGCTTCAAGGAATAATGGATTTTGGGCGTGTCAATTCAACCTTGGATACAATTATAATGACAACCCCAATCTTTTCTGTATTCACCATTTGGAACCGTCTTCACGTCATGGTTGGTGATATGTGCGTGCTTTCAACTATACGGCCACGACTCCGCAATTGACGTGTCGTGATTCCTAATTGATATTGAATTTTGCATTTTTCCCTATGGGAAGTTATCCTAGAAAGCTCATGTCGGTACTTGCCGCTTTCAAAACATTTATTGTTAAATGTGCCTCTGGAAGCAGGGGTGGTCGGAACCCGTCCCTGGGACTGGGGTTTGCTAGAAAAATTCTTGGCATCAATAGGAAGTTGATCCTGTGGCCGGCCGGCCCCGGTAAGATTGATGAACATGTACATAGGTACTCGCCTTAACTAATGCCGAGATATCACAAGCTGGAAACTACAGCAATGTCGGCGAACAATGACTCCGATGAGGTTTGCAATCCATGAATTCTGTTGTAGGTCAGCATGCTTATATTAACCGCAAAATATATCGGACACACATTAGGAAGAGATCAATTTGAACAAGCAGGAAGTTGCTGGGATGCATATCGAGAGAAAGATAAGTCTGGTTGGTTGCCACGCCGAGGAATCCACTTAACACGTATCGACTGTAGCCGGTGTACATCCAGGACACAGAGATTTCTTTCAACCTAGAATCTTAAAGTAAACTCGTTTGAAGGATTTAACCATGTAGGATATCTAGAAACACGGGGAAGCTCTGTGAGTGAATAATATAAGCTAGAATTCTGAACCTGGAGTTCATGAGAGTCGGAACATACCATATGGATATGGCTTTAAACCATTCTCCCAACATCTGAATAGATTTTCTCGCTCTACACGATCATAAATTTTTGCCTCTGTATTTGGGTAGAAATGAGTTTGAACTAATCGTTTTATACCAGGCCGCTGTACCTCCACTCATAAGACTGGATCAAAAGTCTACTTGAACTAAATTTGTGAGTCGTTTCGGTAGCAGTACGGAAAAACATCAAGGTAGCATTTATACCAACTACTATTGAATGGTATACTTGAAAGATCCACATTGGAGTGAAGTTGAATAACTCTTAATGAAAGTTGCTGCATGAAATGGCGCATATGTAACTTCTGTTTTTTTCCATCCTCCACCGGTGTCGAGGCCTAGCTAGGAGATGGAAAATTCTGTCCCTTCGTGTGTTTTCACGGCTGGGACTAGTTAGTAAGCAACTTTTATTCGCTAGCTAGCAAACCTAACACCCACCCCGTGAACCTCTTTTGCTGTGAAGCCACCTTCTGTGACCCCTCATATACCTCTTCTGGTGTCTCCATAGTCTGTAGGTAGATTTCCTGAATATCACGACGTCGTCGTGGGCCTAATATCTCTCCCTTTGCTCTGACGAACGAAGGGGTGTCCTATTTTTTTGGTGACAAATTCGGATTGCCTACAAGGATCTGAGAAACGCAGAGAATGAGGTTATTGTTTTGGGGGACCCCGCTCTTAGCTAGTAGTTCAGACCCGCTCTTGGTAGTTCAGCGGACTACGTTCGCTGCGTTCTTCCGATCCCGAACCTGCAGGCTATCTGAACCTGCCATCAAAAGGGCAGTACTTGCCGGGTTTTTTGTCTGTCCAGTGATTTTACCTGCGGATCATGCGCCCCCCAGGGGGGGATATCGCAACGGCTTCGCCTCACCTCAATTCACGAAATATTTAGAGGTTGATACAGGTCATAGCGCTCCACGGCGAGCTCTAGAGAGGTGGTAGTGATACCGAAAGTGGTGTTAGCAACAACCCGACCAAACATATGCCCGTGCCTTGAAAATAGAGGAATCCGAAGGGCGATTAGCTACTGGCCATATATATATATGGACCAACATTAATCCTAACCAAAAATAACATATCAAGATTCCAAACCGCAAATATTATAATCAGACCAGTAATATGAGGTTGCATAGCTGCTTACGACCGTCGTGGAGCTAGAGTCTATATATATATGCCCTAAAGTTCACTTCAGGCCAGTTATAGCATCTACTTAGTCATCCCCTGATCAGAGTTATCATGCTGAGCGGTTCAAGCTTAGTGTTGACCGTTGTTGGCTGCTCCTGTGTTCTAATCCGTCTCAGACTAGAAGGCTCAGACCAGTTAAGGTGATAGGAGGCTAAATCATGCTACATTACAGTTCTCGATATGGACTAGCGTTCTTCAGCCACACTCCAGTTTACAGCTTCCAGTAGGCGTTCGAGAATCGCCCTCTTCTCGTTGTCCCTGTTTTCCGCAATAATTCTACCGGAAGCTGTACATACGTGTCTCTCTCTACTCTAGCTAATCGTCCGATACGCCCCACACCGTCAAGTATGCAGTATAAAGTGTGATTTTTGATGATTGACACTTCAAAATTGACACTTCCCCTCCATAGGGATATGAAACGCGCAAGCCGCAAGAACAGGATGATAACTACTATGGTGTCCTCCAAGTGTACCTACAATCCCTTTAACGTATTTCACCGCCTGGCAAGCGACCCCACCCAAAGATGACACTTGCAGATGCCACTTTGGGGAGTGGCGAAGTGTCAATTGTCAGAATGATACAGCACGTAATCTCTTTCGTTAATTACTACACTGGGGTGGGAAGTAGTACTTGACTGCGGGAAGCAGTAAAAAAATAATCGTTAGGGTAGACTCAAATAAGGCAAATATCACCGTTTTGGGAGTATATTTCTTATTCTAATTTTAAGTCTCTAACAGCGAACTCCAGCGATTAAACATTATTGATTTTTCAGACTTATTTAAGACTTATTTAATTCAAGGCTTATTTAAGACTTATTTTATTTAAGGCTTATGTAAGCCTTGATTGATTTTAGGCTGATTCAATCTTAAGACTTATTCTAAGTTTAAGACAAAACAAAAAGGGAAGGGATTGAACCCAGAGCATTACAGGTATACTATAACCAAAGCTCTCAATCTACCCATTAGGCTATGGGAGAATTAAGATTTTGATATTAGAACTATTATATAGCTAAGATAATCGATAAAATTCAAATTTATAAGCCTTAAATAAGTCTTATCTACCAGAGAGTCTTGATTGATGAAAAAGACAGATCTGCTATAAAGACTTATTTAAGAATTATCTGTATATAATGTATATGTATAGCTAAAGGCATATATGTGCCTTATTCTGGAGAGAGTCTTAGAAAAAATAGAGCCTCATACTAAAATAATGCTAAAATCACGAAAAAACGCTTATATATGCCTTTTTCGCTAGTAAATCGTGATTGGAGGCTTATTTTTTTACCCGTTGCCACAGTCAAGTACTGTGGCGAAGTAAAACCACCCCGAAATCAGCACTTTCCTAATAGCCCCAGAACCGGACATTTTAAGATATAACTTGTACCAATCGGTTAAATACAAATTAATTATTAGAAGAATTACTTGACAGTTTTGAATTTCAAAAATATCCATTGTAGAATTGATGGTAAAGAATTTAGTCCAGTTGTTCCCAGAAAATGCGCCAAGACCGCGAATTTGTAAGGGTCTTGGCAAAATTCGGCCACATCCTAAGATTTGTCATTTTTTGAACAGAACTACGTCTAGTTGAAATATATGCTATTCTATATATAGTGTATCTCCCTATTCTCTGTGGTAATGGATAAAGAATTGAAGGTTAGGGGGCTGCCCATTCTGGCTAATTTTTGTTTGTTTTGGCGCGAGGATCGACGTCCAAGATCAATTAACTACTTATGTATGTATGTACATATATACAAGGCTCTGGGATTATATAAGTGAGTGAACGGATATATCCTCACTAGTCAACACCCCATTTAGTTCACTCACTTAATGCCAGAGCCTTGTACATGTAGTTATACTCTATCCCTTCGAGCGTTCCCACGACCGGGGGCTAGTAGGCAACTTTTACTCAGTAGTACTAGGGTGTAGCGAAAAGTGATCAGAATCTGATAAGACGAAACACACGTATTCACCGCAACACTCACTTATCAGATTCTGATCACTTACCCTCAGCACCCGGTACACCTAACCCTCGCTCCGTGAACCTCTTTTGCTGTGAAGTCACCTTCTGTGACCCCTCCGATACCTACTCTGGTGTTTCCACGGTCTATAGGTAGCTAGATTTTCGGAATATCACCACGCCGCCGTGGGCCTAATATGTCTCCCTTTTTGCTCTGATGAACGAAGGGATATACGTACATGGAGGTGGGAGAGCTTCTCAAGAAGTAGGACGAGGTGCAAGTACTTATACCCTTAGTAGTTTTGTGTGCCCACCATACAAGTACCTACCTCCATACCCGGCCTCCAATTGGCCCAGGAATACCTTAAGGCCAAGATTTCTCCAGGTGTGAACTAGGCTGACATGGCGCATTTCTCCTCTACCATCAGTAACCTTCAAGTACTCCAGCCCTTTAATCCCAACGCCGTTAATAGAAACCTTACATCAGCACCACGAGCGAAGATGATGCGTTCTTACTTGATTTTACAAAGACTTACAAATTCGATACAAAATTTAGTAAAAACGGCGTAGAGCATGCGTATACCTATGCTGGGGAGGATGTGGTCATGGGAAATTCGGATGTAGAGGAGGATTAGAGGACTGAACTGTGGATAGATATTAGACGCATCGGCGTTGGAGCATTTGGAAGCGTTTGGATGCAAGGAGAAACACAATCTGGAAGGATGAGAGCTGTCAAGAAAAATACTCTGGGAAAGAACGGCGGGGCAAAGTCTTTCACGCGAACTTCGTTCTTTAGTCATGGTTAGGGATGTAAGTATAGAACTTGCCTAGTGATCATATCTTATTACGTCTAGAGGCTAATGAATAATTCCAAGATTAGTACGAACACATTGTCAGACTTTTTGGTTGGTATGAAAGTCCTGATTTCTATTTCATCGCGATGGAATATGCCGAACATGGAGATTTGAACCAACATCTCATGAATTCAAAACCAACGCTAGAGCAGATCAAGGAAATCACCTATCAGATTCTCAAAGGGCTCGTGGTTCTTCGCGGCAAAGATATATGCCACCAGGATTTAAAGCCGCAGGTATATACTCTATGGTTTCGGGAAGCAATGAGTCTAGAATGGTGGGCTGACACACCCGCAGAATGTCCTTATTACCTCATTAGAGCCCATCCACATCAAACTTGCCGATTTTGGAGTATCCAAGTGTCTTGAGGGCACAGAGTTAAGAACCAGGGTAGGGACGTCAGGCTTTCTCGCCCCTGAGCTTCTAGGAGCTCTGCCCAGAAAATATCGATTCTCTTCGAATGGATCAAACTCGTATACCAAGACAGTCGATATATGGGCTTTAGGATTTCTCGTTTATAATATACTTACTCTAGAGGCTCCATTCCTTGCCACTGCGTCTGTCGTGGGAGGATCGATCACCTCAGGAACTATTTCTCAGGGATATTGTCGAAGAGACTTTGATTATAACCTCTTTTATCAATACTGTAATCACGGCGAAAATCATGTTTCTAGCTCTTTGAAAATATTTAACGTGGCTGAGGGCGAGATTGAGTTCGTAGGTCGGCTCCTAGTCGTTGATCCTAGGTCCAGAATTTCTGCTGCAGCCGCACTCATAGACCCGTGGCTTTTTCCGCCCTTATACGTCCTTAGTCCATCTCCGATAAAGAATAGAACTACCGGTCCTCGAGACGATATATTTTTATTTGAAGCAGCAAATAACGGGCGTATGGATCTTGTTCATACCCTCTTGACAGCCGGAGCCGATGTCCGATGGACCAATGACAATGGAGACACCGCCCTGCATGTCGCTGCTAAGAATGGCCACCATGATGCTGTAAAGGTCCTGCTAGAAAAGGGTGCGGTTTTGGACGCAGTAGACGATGAGGGAATGACCGCACTTCATTACGCTGCTTATCGGGGCCATGAAGCCGTTGTTCGGTTTTTGCTAGGAAAGGGTGCGGATTTGGACGCAGTAGACAACAATGGAATGACCGCGCTTCATCGAGCTGCTGATGGGGGCCATGAAGCCGTTGTTCGGCTTTTGCTAGAAAATAGTGCGGATCCGAGAGCGATAGACGAAGAGGGAATGGCCGCGCTTCATCACGCTGCTTATGAGGGCCGTGAAGCCGTTGTTCGGATTTTGCTAGGAAAGGGTGCGGATCCGAGAGCGATTGCCTTCCGGACACGACGTACCACACTACATGCGGCTGCCCGCGGAAATTGTGAGAGTGTTGTTCGACTTCTACTAAAAAATGGTGCGGATGCGAGCGCAGTAGACATATTTGGAAAAGTCCCACGAGATCTCACTCAAAATTTTGCATGTAAAAAGTTATTGAGTTAAGAGGATATTATTTCTTGATGTAAACAAATTGGGATGAGCATAATTAACTACATGTACTTATCCCTTGGAGGAATGAGACATTGGAAAATCTCTCTCATGCATATATATCATGTGATCTCCGTATTTTTGTGAGCCAGTCTTTATATTATGCTGGTATGCCATATTTCGTAGGATTCTGCCTAAAGTTCAGTCAATCACTTCCTGTATAGAGCACGCTAATATAATGCATGAGAGAGATATTCCAATGTCTCATTCGTCCAGGGGATAGGGGCGCACACATATATGCGCCATCATTCGAGATAAATCGTCTATTGCATAAGTATCTATGTTACATACATGTTTAATTAAGTCCAGAATCCAATCAAAGCAATGAGTTACAAGAAGTACTTATGTACATACTTAATAACTCATCCCTTCGTCGATCGTCTGGTTTCAAGACTTGTGGCAATTCGCGGCGCGCCACACAAAACCTGCTGCCTAGCTGGAAGCGGCTGTCGGCGGTGCAAAGTCGTCAAATTTCCATCCATCGCCACGCCGTCCACAGTCCGGCAAGTTGGGAAAACCGGGAACAGATGAAGGGACGTTGCCCACTTGTCACGCTAAACCTAATCGGGCGACCAATGATCATCCTGCCTGAAAAAGCTTACATAGCAACCGAGCCAACATGAACAGCTTACCCCACCCACACCTAAACCCCACTGCCCCTGCTTCTACCATCTTTCCTCCCTCCTTCGCCGGCCCCTAGCTTGGGTGACACCCGACCTAGCAAGGCAGCTATAGGTCGCTTCACTCATGCTATGGAACTGTTCATCCGAACGATGTCCTGGGTGTCGGGAGAGGTTCTGGGAAGTAACATGGAGCTCAGCTTATGGGGTCTTGGCGTTTGAGCGTATTGCTGAAAGGGCCAGCGCCCTAGACGCTGATGGTGGGTAGCTGACTAGCTGTGGGTTGGCGAATGGAAGAAAGCTCGAGGATACGGGATCTATTACTTATATCTTATTCACCGGTAACTACTAAACTCTGTCAAGGCATGGCTTGAGAGAAACTAAACATCTAACCTCTAGCAGGCCACATTACAAACTATATATTTCCACACCCAGGAAAACGAACAGCTCCAATACAGATAGACAGACAACATGTATATACGACACAGCCTCCCATCAACCTCTTCCCAGTCCGTGTACCCACACAGTTACTACACGACATCAGTCCCCACGGATCATACGTCTTCTTCAGCACATACAACGCCAGATAGTGCTCTCCATAGAAGGTGTTTACCTTATCCAGCTCATTCACATCACACACTACAATACAAAATCACTCTTCATCAGCCGCCCTCTCCAGCAATCAATGAATTAAACGAAAAAAGAAGAAAAAAAGCCGCCCTCTCCACCACAGATTAAAAGCAGCCAGCATCGGCGCAGGGGGGAGGGGGTCAGTCACCCCACATCAACCCACGCCCGCCTCCTCTCCTCCTTCCCACTAGGGTCAGACACCTCGTGGTAAATTACCATATGCGCCAGCTGAAAGTGATACTTAAGCTTGGCACACTGCCAAAGATGAAGCAGAACCCCTAACCCTTTTAATTTCCGTTTACTCTACATATTTTAACGAAAACACACATAGAATTCCATACAAATAGCCAACAAACACCAGCACCCCCATTACCTCATCTTCACCTTCAACCCCTGCCCAGGCACCATAATAATCTTAACCGCATACCTGACCTCCTCCCCCGGAACCCCATTATCCCTCACCTCCGCAAACGCCTGCAGCACCCTCGCCAACACATACCCCGCCATCGTCAGCGCCATCTGCTGCCCCAAACACACCCTCGGTCCCCCGTTAAACGGAAGCCATGCCCACCCGACCTTTCTCATCGCCTCCTCTCCCCATCTCTCGGGCCGGAACGTCCCAGCATCGGGGCCCTACACGTCTTCCCGCCGATGCACCGCAAAGACAGAGTACATGGCCCCCTCGCCCTTCCGCACGACAATGGGCGCGTTCCCGTCGGCGCCGCCGCCGTAGGGGAGGGTTGTGGTGCGTAGCGCGCTGCGGGAGTTGATCCCGACGGGGGGATACATGCGGAGTTCTTCGTGCAGAAAGCAACGCAGGTAGACCATCTCGCGGAGATCAGACTGAGTGGGGGGTTGTAGGCCGACAGTGTCTAGTATCTCTTTACGCAGCTTCTGGAGTACTTCCGGGTGGCGGGAGAGGATGTGAAAGGCCCATGTGGAGTTGAGGCGGTGGTGTCTCGGCCGGCCATCATGACGCTGAGGATCTGGTCTTGGAGGACTTGTGGGTTTTGCGTCTTTTGGGAGAGGGCTTCGAGGAAGATGTATTTTCCGGAGGTGGAGGTGTCTTTGGTGTATGGCTTGTCTGCGCTGCTGTTGGAATTGTGCTTTTGGAGGGCGCGGGTGACGTAGTGTCCGACGAGCTTGTGGACGACGGTGATGGCGATGCGGAAGCGTTTGGGGTTCACGAGCCAGTACAGGTCGTTCAGTGTGAAGCGGATCGAGACCACATCTTGAGATACGTCGAAAGATTCTGAGAACGACATCTGGCCTTCGGCGGAGACCCTGCCTTCCTGTGCGCCAATGGGGGAGCCGAAAAGGAAGTCGGTAGAAGCGTCCATTGTCAGTTCGAGAAGCAAGGCCTGGAGATCAACTTCATGGTAGCCGTCGCTGCCGGGTGAGGCATTGATCTTCGCAATCGTCCGGGTGACGAAGGTTTCGAGGGCGCTGAGGTCCGCAACGCTCGCCCGGTCGAAAGAGGGCCGGAGAAGCGCGCGGGACTCTTTCCACTCGGGGCCGTCTTTGGTGAAGATGCCCCGGGTGCCGAGAATGGCCTGGTGCGCGCGGCGCTCGTGGGCGAGGCCGAAATCTGCGGTTTGTGAGCTTGAGTGTCTGGAACGCCTGTAGGGAGGTCAGCTAGGTACCGTTGAACTGCGTGGCTAGCATGGCTTGGATGTTGCGGTGGTCGCGGGTCATGATGGAGCGGACGCCGAAACGCTTCACGCCAAAGGTGTGCCCGAGATCATTGAAGAGGTCGATGAATGAGAGGTAGACGGCCGGCGACGTTTGACTTTATGGCACGTACTATGCCGTGAATTCCGAGGATATAGGGGTCCTTTCTGAGCTTGAGGGGCTCGCAGGGACGGCCGTTGAAGGAGGTTGGAATAGGCTATTGTGGGTTCGTTACTTTTTATAATGGTTAGTGGAGTATGGTATCGCAGCTTACCTCTTGTTTTTTAAGTAGAGTCTTTAGAAAGAGTAGTGTAGCTAGAGATACTCCTACCCAGAGGAGAACCATTTTTGCTGTGCTATTAGTGAATACCTAAGCTTTTGTTGAAGTTGCCGTTCGAGTTTATATCCCACAAGCTACTATATATTAAAAAAGACAACTTTAACTGAGTCGTCTCATGTAGTATATGTACTAGTTAAAGAATGGCATTCCAAGCTCCCAGCACCGCCGGCCTCCTTCAGCAAAGAAAAAAAAGGGTCAGCTAGTGCTGAATTTCTCCGATCTATAGGCTGAGATAGAAAACCACTCTACAGCAATGTCCTACCTTGCCTTGCTTGTCGTGAACCAATCAATCCTCCTCATTCTCGACCATGACCACGCATATATAGACACCCCCGGATCAGTTGCCGCAGACGGGCTTCGGCGGGATTTCGATTGGGCGCTTAATCAAGCGGGCAACAGGCGCAGTTGACCTGCTGCTAGCTGTTATACCGTTAGGTGAGGTGGTCGGCGCATAAATGCAGGCATGCATCCCGGCCCATGCTGGCTAGCCCGTCTACTCCACGACCTTGCATGCGCTTATTCTAATCTGTGACTCGATTATATTACGAAACGCACGAACCAGGTCATGATATGCTAGCTATATTTTGGGAATCTAGCTAGATCGATATCTGCCTTGTTGGTGTGTCAGTTAATTGCGCTTAAGGTCGGATATGAAGTAGATAGGTACATGTAGACGTTTTAATTTAGAGCGAACCAGGGGTTAGTATAGCCCAATGTGAACCACGGAAGAATTGAAAGCTCACAAAGTAAATCAGCTCGAGTGATATATTATGATGGTGATCAGAATAGAAAAAGAAACGAAAGCAAGGCAAGAGTTGCAAATGAAACAGCCGAATCAATGTGACCTGTCCTTTGACCCTTTGACGATTTGTCCTCGCGCTACTCGTATACGTAACTGAGTTTGTCAGTCTGCTCGAGCCATGGCGGGTCACGTCATCAATTACCGAAATTGACAACAGTAGGTTAACAACGAACGTCGATACGTGATTAACAACATGCAGCACATAATGGTATTTAAGGAGCGAACGCCCCCCCCCCCCCCCGATTTCAAACAAGCACTAAACAAGCCCCGCGTCTTTGGAACAACATGCAGTCCACTTGACTGCTATCCAAACTTATTCAGCTCGTCCTCCACGTCGAAGGTTAAACACCACACAGGTAAGCCTTCATTATTTGATGGCATCTTATTTGGCCATACTGACTAGGTGGCCTAGACAAACAACATCGACACCGAAATCTGCCACCAGATCCTGCCATGTCAGGTGGTGTTCTCCATGAGACGAGATATCTTGAAGTGCCGCTTGTCTCGAGACTATCGTCTCAAATGGCGTCGGAGCATCCGGTCTCGAGACCGGCTTGAGATGCCAGAATACTAGTACCATAGATGTTAGTGTTAGAATGGTTAGTAGAATTTCCCCCCGGGCAGCGCCTAAACTTCAACCCTTTGCTGCATGTTCATCAGGTGGCATTTTAACAACTGAATTATGAAATAGGGGACATCTGAACAACAATACGCTGAGTGGGATCATTGTGCGAAACCTTTTTCTGGGTCTTCTTGTCTCACAACTGCTTACTCGGTTTCTCGGGAGTCGGGACGGATAAGGCAAGACCAGTGCGAGGCGGGACAAGCTATCATCATAATTGCATTGGTTCATCTCGAGAAGAACCGCGCGAGACGTTGTGGCGCAGGCAAAGTGGTTATGGAACTAAGGCGGGGCTTCGGGTCAGGACAAGTCACAAGTGGTAACCGTGTCGTAACTAGCTATTCTTGTACTCCACAGTCTCGTCTCTTTTGTTTCCTCCTAGTCATCATCATCTACCTATCATCACAGACAATTCGAGCTTCGTTTCTGGTATCAGAGCCTGAGCCTGTGTAGTCTGTGAATCACGTAGGATTCAAACAAAATCTATTGAACTCCTGTTTCGCTCCAAAACGTGACACGGAGAGTAGCCAACAATACTCGAGATAAGTCTCGAGACTTTTTTCCGAGATACGAGACAAAATAAGTCAGCTAGAATGAATGGGAGAAGACAAAGGAGAGAAATTCAAAAGTTCTAGTCTCGAGACTTTTCGGAACACACGAGCTGTGATCTTTTGTGACTTAGATATCAGCCTGTAAAAAGCCTCCATTGTGTAAAAAAAACCCATCATTTAAGAAAACGGAAAAAGTCTAAATAGCTATAAGGAGTGCTCTGCAATAATACATGTCGATGCATGATGACACAGTTTGCTATGAACAAGTGCTTTTATGGATGGCTAAGAAGGGCTAGGGACTCCGCTTCATCTTGCCACAATTATCACTCCAGCGCAGAATTCAACATGGGCGAGTGGTCTAGTGGTAGACTGCTCGTCCGGTTAGACACCGAGCGTTTATCCAGGACACACACAAGGTCCTGGGTTCAAACCAGGGGTGGGGGTAGCAACGCACAATCAGCAATAAGTCGTTGCAGTACCTTTTGTTCTGTTTTGTTTTGTTTTTTAATTTGGAGTGCACATGAAATAATTTAGGAGGCTATTTTGATTTTCAATTTTTCTAGAGGATGATAGAGAGGGGTAGACTTTCTATTTTGATCATAGGGAACTGTGTCATTTTACATCATGTGTTATTGCAGAGCACGTATACCAAAAACTGTGTCATTTTAGACCTTTTCCATTAAGAAAGGCATCAATCGTGTAATCCATAAAGTGGTGATATTAAGAATTAACCTGATGGTCCTAACACTTAACCCAGAATACATTGCTCGAGTATTGGTAATCCCGAGACCTCATTCTATACTTCACGAATAAGATAACATATCTACAAGTATCGTCTTGTATTGTATTTCCCCACTATCTTTCTCGTCTAGAAATGTTGCAGCGTAGAAGATGCCGTCCGAGTGATATTCCGAGATCCAAATACATATGTCGATGGTTTTCCCCCGTGATCTTTCACTTGCACTCGGGGGCCTTTCTCTATGCATGAGAAGGCTTCTCATAGTAGATCTAAAACTGCGGCACATCGATTTTTCTTCCTCTACATATGCATATATACATTTCCTTCATCCACTTCCCCTCCATCCTTTCTCTCTAGCTCTGAACACTGAAGCCAGACTCAGCGCAAAAGTACTAAACTTCACACCCGCCCCAAAAGATTGCTGCAACCTCATGATCCGCCGCACAAATATACACAGCTAGGCCAGTCATAGGTAGTCCGATCGATCATCGACCTATCTATAATAGCAATACGACTAACAACGCTCAAGTACCCGAACCAATACCCCCCGGTCTCTCCAGCCCACCCGCCTCCCCTCGCGGCGTGAATAAAGCCCTTCCCACTACGCCGGGTATCCCGACCAGACACCCTCACCCTCACTCTCACCCGCATCGCGCAACACATCCCGCGACCAAACGCGAGGAGCGCAGCGAGCACAGCAACTAGACCTTGAGGGCTCGGTCAACGTCTCCCAGAACTACTCTACCTAGCGCAATGTTAGGTTGCGACCGAACCCGGTCAGCCGACCTTGCAATCGTAAGTCGCACCCGACTCCTAGCGCCCGGGCTAGGAGCATACATGTAGTGACCACTTCATAAAACACCGCACGCGCGCGTTGACTGTCACCACCTGCCATCACTACGACACGCTCGCATCACCGGGCTAGAGTCACGTACACCGGTGCCTCCGGGTCCGACTGCCCTGGCAGATGTGCGAGCGCCGGTCGATCCGACGAGGGATGATGCCGAGTGATATATCATGATTCCCAGGCCCGGGGAGGACTTGAACATCTATCCCTTCGTTTGTTCCCGGTCTTACGGCCCCTTAGCTTAGAGGCGGCGCAGTGTGAGGAAAAAAAGCGTTGAAAGCACGGCTTGAGTAATTAGGGCCGCCACGGCGGGGCAGTCAGTCATACACCGCGCACCGCCAGCCGACAGACGTCGCCAGGCCCACGCGGAACCACCAATGCTGAAAACAGACGAAATAATAACACTCTCCTACTCCCAGCCCTCCAGTGCGGGTACATGTCTCAGAAATCAACACCTTTGTACCGTCGCGATCGTTCCAGAACCCAGCCTAGTACAGACCGATGCCTATTCTGGACGCGGTACTAATCCGGGATGCGGTACTAATTCTTGGCATCTGTGGTGGGGTGTGTTGCCAAGAGCGTTGTGAGCGCGGAGTGGGAAAAGTGAAAATCGGAGGCGGGTATGAGGTTCGGGAGGGCAGTTGTCTCCGTTTTCGGAACAGTGCATGTGTTTAGCTGAAGTACTCGCCGGTGTGTGTCGGCCCCGGCTTCGCTGCGGTTCTCGGAGGTTAATATGTAGCTAGAACTCGAGACTCTGGAGAAATGTGGGGGGCCGTACATATGGATGCCTGTCCTGGTCCTCTGGCCAACTGTCTATGCGTTTTTCGGTAGGTCATTTAATTTGTGTTTGCGGAAGTGTCGCCTACAAGTAGGGCGGGGAGAAAGGGACTGTTGTGTGGAAGGGATACAGATGTATCGATTATCTGCAGCTGTTCTCTGCTACTTGTCGGACTAGAGTACAATGTGTAAATATACGTGTTATTTCTGAGGCGAGAACGCTGTGTTTGTATATTAACTAGAGAGAACAGACTAACTACCATATCTTCTCGGTTCGGGGGCTCTTCCCCGACATCAATTCATTCAACTCTGACAAAGGAACCGTTCTTGGCCCGTATCATACGAAGGACAGTCTCCCCCACCTGCCATTTAACGTATCAAGAGTTCTCCCCTTCTTCATGATCACATTTTTCCTCTGACAGAAGGCCCAACTCGTTCAGGCAATACCGAGCTCGGCCCCGACACTACCCACCATATCGATAAACGAACAGACCAATTCAGACCTCCGTCACCCCCCAGATACGCACATGCACCGTCGCCCCGAGGAGATATACCCAGGGTTAGGGTTATTTACCACCCTACCAAAAAGCATCCCTTACCGGGCAGCATGCAACCGGGAGATGAACATCAATCTACACGGCTGTTTGGGATTGAGAAGCCAAATAGTCCAAGGTCGAGTAATCATCTATCATCCATTATCTATCTTGCAGCGTGACCAGGGGAAGTTTAATTACAGGTGCACGTTACGGCACGGCCCAATATACTCTACTTTGCCCCTCCCTCTACTATGCACGCGGGTGTATCGTGATCGATGAGCATTGAGGGGAGCAGACAAAAAGCACGTCGTCGGTTAGTTCTCCGGCTTGCTCTGTCTGTCATCCCATCCCATTCCATCCTTTCCCATCCCGAGAGTCAAAACTGTCCATCATCCATCAACCCCGCACGCTATCCCGCCAAGACACAGACCCGACCGGAGCAAACAAGCTTTAAACTGAAAGCGCCCGAAACCAGAAACCAGCGATAGTGAAGGGAGCATTCTTCATTGGCTCTGGACTGGAGTCATAGTGCAGGTACTGAGCTAGTAGCAGAGTGGTGCACAAGACACGCGCGCCGCGTGAGCCTGCACTGCTTAAATTTGGGTTGTATTAAACATGTCTCCCGCCTGGTACCGAGAGTGCGCGAGACATGGAATGGTGTCTCTTTGATCATTACCGCCCTCTCACCTCCCCCACTAACAAATTGTTGAAGACAGTCGAGCCATGATGTGAGCGATTTTACATACACACCTCTGCTACAGACCTATGTACCGCTACGTATCCCAGAACCTAGATTCTCTAGTGCAAAAACCAAGTTTCCATCTCACCCACGCGGCTGGCCAGGCCGCCCGTTGAATCGACCCACCGCAAGCCACCACGATCTGATCAGAATACCAGACGAACTGCTACGGCTCTATGTATGTTGCCTCAAAATCGCCACCACAACCACCACCACAACCACCACCACCGACCAACCCGCCGGGAAAAATACCTCCCCAAGGAACTGGAAACTGGGTTTTTGCCCACATGCGGTGACATACTCTAGAGCACTACATACACACTCTACCAACCAGAGACACAGACATGTAGAAAAGGCTTCTAGACTTGATGTAGGGAAAAACTGTCTTTGATACCTGTCATATCGCTTGGAAGTGCTTCCGTGTGTCCGAATGCACTCTGGGTATCTGACGGGGTTCCCCGGGAACTGGGTTTGTGTGGATGTGGAGGCAGAGAGCCACACGCCGGAAGTCTACATGCAGATGGTGGAGGAGGCACTGCGGCGGTGCTGCTGGCCAAAATATCTACATATGTACATGGAATCGAAGCCACCACCATCTCCCGCTGTGAACACCGACAATCGTACCCTACTAACCGCCAGGAAACCGGACGAAAGCTTATTCCTACTCAGTTGGTGTGCGCCTGCGTGCATATGTACTGATATCTAGTTACCGGTGAGGTTTGGGTTTTACATGCCTACCCTATGTACTCGCGAGAATGCGGGGTCCGTCCCTAGTACCTAGGTTAACTAGAGTACAGGGATGGGCGAGGAGAGTATTTGGAAGATCTCTAGGTAGATACATGTAAGTAAGATGGGGTCTGGATTGCGCTACCGCCGTGGGGGCGGGAAAGAGGAGAGATGCGGATGAGGGTGGGTATTGTATCATAAGCGCGCGGGTTTTCATACTGCGCCTAATTGGGGTGATAAGCGCGCGAAGAGTGGAAACCACCTTGCTCTATTCTAGAAATGAAATTTAAATATATACTACCACAAGTATGCGATGCATGCTATCGCACAAATTGTATGTAGCCCCTGGGATTGAAACATTTTCTTCCCGGGTTTTTTCCAGAATTGAAGGTTTGACAACAAGGTTTTTTTTCCCCCCCTTGCGTTCATTTCCGCGATGCTACTGTAGGCAGAGTAGATGAGGGCTGCTACCGACCAGCCTACTGCACCTAAAATAAAAAGCGCTCGCGTCTGCAGCGGAATAAACAATCGGATGGTGTGTAGAGCATTAGCCTCAGGTGGTGATGGTCGTGATGTAGCACACCTTATCTGGCGCGGGAAGGGAAGGCAGATCTTGATCCTTTTTTTCTTCGCGTCGTCGTTCGAGGTGGGGTTTTTTTTCTCGCGGGGTGTACCTAGGTGGCTAGCGCTATGCCAGATTCTTACTACTCAGGCAAGTTTGTTTCAGCGCTATCGTGGCGTTGTCCGAGGGATGTTCCGTTCAATTGGGCTGGTTGGCTGGGGGTTGGGCGTGCGTTGAGCTGCATGACAGAGGATGTAGAGTAGAGTATCGGGGGGGGGGGGCGCGATGGGAGAGGTTTTAGAGTATGTAGGTAGAGGGTTATTCTGGGTGTCGATATGTCTGCGATTCTACATACATGGGGGGTGCGCTCTATGTCTAAGATAGAGAGAGGAGCTACTCTACCTAGGCTCTAGAGAGAGTAACACGTTCTGAGAGGGTAGAGATAGAGATGGATATATGCGACATTCAGCCAGCGAGATAACGAACAGAACCTCTTCCTCCGATGTCGTAGCCTAGGTAGACACAGTCTAGAGCACTTTTCCACATCTAGGTAGAGTACATGTACTTTCGCATGTAAGCAAGCAAGATCGAAATCACCCCGGAGGCCCGACCCGTCGCTGTGGGCACGGATTTCCGAAAGCGGCAGTCGACGCGCCCGAAACGGGCTAGCGGAACGCGTAAATAACCTTAACCGTGGGGCCAAGCAAGGGAAATTTGGGGAGCAGGGGTGGGTGGGCAGACGACCGTGACAGGGTATGGACGTCCGAAGGGGGATAAGGGCGTGGTTGTCTTTCGACGACGCCCACTTGTACTCTACCCCTTTTGAGAGGGAGCGATTGGAGGAAAAGGAACCGTGTGCATGTCAGGTCTGGCTGAAGAGGTGGATGGGGAAGGATGGGGGATGGGTGGAAGAAGGTGAGGACGTGGATGGATGGATGGGTGGATGGAAGTGAGGGAGTGAGGAAGTGAGTGAGGTCGGGCTTCTTTCCCCTGGGCGACGGCGGCGGAGGAGAGGGTGTGCCGTTTATTTTTACTTTTTGATCTTTTCCTTCTTTTTTCTTTCCTATTCTACCTTCTCCAAGCCCCAAGGGCTAGAAAGGAAGAATTGGGGAGAGGAAAGGTGGTGGTGGTGGTGGGTGAGTGCATATTCGAGGTATGTAGGGACTTATTTGTGTCTGGATGTCTGTTCCCTTTTCCCTTGGATGATGTTGACGTCCTACTCTTCGATCCTCCTACGTACACTACACTAGACGCGCCATAGGGTTTCTGGTAGCGCCAGCTTCTCCAGTTCATTTGGTTTGGATGAACCCCGGCTCTTGTTAACGTAGTCAGTTGTAGTGAAAGTGTCTAGAGATTATCATACGCAGCATCCGCGGTGTGCGTAACTGCAGGCAGTCCGTGCAGTGCATCAGGTGGAATAAGGAGTCTAGCTACTCGCAGCCCCCCCCCCAATCCCGGTCACTCTCTCTGTCCCAGCAGTTTTAGACTCCCAGCAATACCCTTGGCTACCTTCTGCAGTAGTAGGTAGAGTAGTAGGTAGTAGTAGTAGTAGGTCGACAGTCAGTCTCCCCTTCTGCTGTTGCTGCTCCTCCTCCTCCTCCTCCTCCTCCTTCTGTTCCACCCCCCTCCCTCATAATCTTCGACTGCCCCTTCAACCTTCATAATCAACCATCATCCCATCTGCGTGGACCCGTCTTTTTTTTTTGTTCGGCTTCGCGCGTGTTTGTTGTGTCCCAATTGGGCGTGCACGGAGAGAAAAAAGAAGGCCATTCTTTGATCAACGGTACGGTACTGGTACTAGTATTGGATCTGTATGTATATCATTCCCCTTGGAAATTTAAAATGGCTACTACTCTTACATATGTACGCTGTGTCCCCTTCCCTACATACCTACAAACCTCCTCCCCCCATCCCATTGTATCTGCCGAATCCCCCACACACCACACACACACATACTCCTACATACATACATACTCTTGTAATTCCCCCTGCTGATAACTCTGCTCATGAACAAAAAGCCCACCGTTTAACGACTGTCATCCTCCTACCCTACACCCCCGGTCCGATACTACATACGTAAAGCTTGAACGGGACAAGGCCACATTCCATCCACCACAAACACCACAGCAAGGAAGGGTTCCCTATTGGCCGTGAAACAATAAACAGCACACAATGGTAGTAGAGGTACAATCCAACAACCCCTACAGACGCAGCATGTCCCCGCAGCTTCCCCTCCCGCAGCTGGCCAGCAGCAACCGCACCACTACCAGCAACAATACCATCTCTCCTCCTACAGCACCACCGACAGCGGCAGCACCTCACCATCACCCCCTCCCCATCCGCACTCGCACTCGCCCTCGCCGCCCCCGCTCGTCAAGTTCCCCTCGTCGACCACGACGATCGCCGAGGAGCCCGAGAACGAGCTCGACGCACAGCACCACCATGTGCGCTCGCCCACGCCAACCATTGTGGTCAAGGCGTGTGAGGACAAGGAGCGGGACGCCTCGGACAAGGTCGTCATCACGATCCATCCAACGGACTCGACGAATAGCGTGCCGCAGCATAAGGAGTATCCCATGCCGATAAGGACAAACACGCACCCGCACCCACGGCAGTCGATGAATGAGCTCGAGGCGTGCTCGGTGTGGCCCGCGAGGAGGTTTATGCAGAAGAAGGTGATGCAGAAGAAGACAAAGTGGATCATCATCAAGGTGCTTTGCGCGCTCATTTTTGTGGTGGGCGCCGTGGCGATTGGGCTTGGCATCTCGAAGGCGGCGGGGAGCAAGTAATGTGGATACCGATGGAGTTTTTTTTTCTGTTTTTTTTTTGTGTGTTTTATAGGTGATGGCATAGTGGTGGTGGTGGTGGTGGTGGTATGTCTGTCTGTCTATAAGTATACTTTTACGCGTTGTGTATGGGTGACACCTTCTTTTTCGACTTTTCTTTCTTCTTTTTAGAGGCAGGGGAAAATTATGGGGGGGGCACGGATTCCTGACTGTCCTTTTTATCTGCTTTCTTTGAGTAATGGCATTTTGTACATTTTTTTCTTCTTCTTCTCCTTCTTCTAACCACACCACACACAGGGCTATTTTCTTAAGGTATGTTTGTGCGTGGGTTTCTAACATTACAGTTTTATATCCCTTCTTCTTGGTCATGTCCTGGGTTTTTTCTTTCTTGTTTTCTTGGTCGATGGTTTTTATTGTACGGGGTGAGGTGAAAGGCCCCAGGAATGGGGGATGGTGGTGGAAAAGCTGTTTACTTCATTTTTCTTTTTTTGTTTTCTTCTTCTCTTGCTTTAGTACTGGTATCTCTTACTGTTGGCGGACGGCGTTTATTTCTTCTTCTTTCTTTTTTTTATTCCGAAGGTGTCTTGACTTGTTACAACTAACTAACTAACTACATCGATGGGCGGTTTGGTTTCTCTATCTCTCTCTCTTTATCTCCTTTTTTTTTTCTCACTCATTATCATCCCGCCCTCTCTTGGTGGTGGGTGTATTATGTTTGATAACCAAAGTACATTACCGTACTATACGAGTTGCGTTGCGACACGACACGCGTACGTCGGGGAAGCTAGCTACAAAGCTAGCTGTGATTCGCTGTGATGTGTGCCAGACCGGGTCCCTGGGTTTGATGTAGTGGATGTGTAGGAGATCATGTATGTAATGTGTCCTGTCTGTCTGCCTAGCTGCCAGACGCAATGCAGGGCGATTTTATGAACGAAAAAAATTTATTTCCGGGACAGATCAGCCAGGGGGTGGCCAGGGCGCGCGAGCTTGGGTGGGGGTGGGGGGGGGGGGTTGGTATCGACGATCTCAAGATGTACTGTGCATATACAGCACCTACGTCCCCTCGGAACATGTCAGGAACCCAATTTTTTTTTTTTTATCATGTTCTAGGTCGATCTGATTGATTGATTGATTACTACATATCGCGTCGTCTCGATCCCAAGTAGCTAGCTGAAGATTTCGAGATTCAAAGCACAGAGTTTTCTCCTCCAGTGGTCTCAGCCCTCTGGCCGTCTTTTTTTACGTACGCCATTTCCCCCACACTCTTGCCCAGCTAGCTGTCCACCTAGCTAGGTACATTTAGTTAGCTTTACAGATTGTCTGTTCACGGGCGATGTAATTTAGATAACCCTATATCTGCCACCGCACGCGCCTACTCCGTGACGTATGTACGTGCACATCATCATCATCATCCGAGCCCTCCACCCACTCACGCAGGAGTAATTTGACGGCCGAGTGACACGGCGTGATTCTTACCGCACGGGTTTTTACGCGCCCGCAGCTGGCGAAGCGTGCATACTTCTGGGTTCCTTCTACACTTCTTTTGGAAAGAATTGCCTTACGGGGGGAGCCGCCAGCGGCTGGATGGAAAATCATTTATCCGCAGCTATATATGTATGTACGTGCAGTTCCGATTGTTCCGTGGCCAGCTAGCTAGGGTAATTAATGGAGATAGAGCCTCCGCCGGCTGGAATTGGACGCTATTGGTCGGGGTAAAAGCTTAGAGCGTAGATTTAGTGTTGATCTTCATCTTGATCTTCGACGTCCATGGGCTGGGCCGTCCGGTCCGAGTTGGGGGGGCTGATCGATTGTCGATTTCCGCCTGATTGCCCCGCCGTTTACTATTCCGGATTATAACGGCGAAAAGACACCTCCCCCTTCCCTCCCACCAGGTGGGTGATCTTATCCGCTCATTAACCGATTTGGTTTTTGGTATCCTCTTTTTCCAGTGTTTTTCCGTCTCTTGATTTCCTGGGCCCTCTTTTGCACATTCCCGCCAATTTATTCTCAGCTCCCTCTACCCAGGCCTTCAAAGTGCTGCCGTCCCCTCCTCCACCCCAAGAATTTCTGCCTTCTTTCCCTTCCCCTTAGGTCTTATTTATCTTCATCCTTTTTTTCCCTTCTCCCTTCTGTCATATCCTCGCTGGCAATCCTCCTCCTCCTCCTCCTCGTCCACATTGTATTTGCCCACTGTTCGTCATTGTTGCGTCTTCCTCTCCATGTACCCCTTCGCGGCATACATGTCAGTCTCTCTCGTGGATGAGTGTATAGTCCTAAACCTTTCCTCATTATCCGTGTGCTTGGTTCTCTCACTGCCGGCTCCTGGTTTGGTAAGTGAAGATTTCCAGATAGTTGCTATAGATAGGCTAGGTTGCTAGGTTGGTATCAGTTTCCTTCTCGGGGAAGGATACTTGATATACAGCCGGTGTGGTTTCATGGATCGACGTCATGATGCTAAGAGAATACCATAAGGAAGAGGGTATCAAAGGAGTTCTTAGAGAGAAGTGACGATGGTGATAATTGGAGCAAAACAAATATTATATCGTCCCCCTGTATGTCGATATTCGATCCTAGAATGTATATTTGGGGGAGTAAAGGTTCTTTTGATGGTTGATAATGCATCAAGGAAGGGGAAAAGGCCAGATTGTCGAATATCCCCACAGGGAAGAATTTTGTACGACATGAAGTACATCATGTGTAATCTGAGCACTGGTGCTCTTGGTCCTTGGGTAGCATAACTTTAAACATTAAGTATGTAGCTAAAACAGTTGATTTACCAGGGGATGAGGAAGAGGCCGGAGGATCAAGGTCGGGGCAGTAGCAGAATGTCTCAATAAATGGAAGAGGAGGAGGGGGAGGAGGAGGAGGAGGGAAAAAAAGACGTTGAGTCACTGTTAAGTATGATTTGAAATCCGGGCATCAAGCGGGGAACCCTATGGTCCATAAGTAGTAGCCCATTGTCGTTTTTTTCTCGGATCACTCGGAACAGTGGCATCCGTCCAACCCCAACCAACCCCTGCAGATTAACCAATTCTCACTCGCTGACCCCACCCAACCAATGCCATCCGTACTTTATTCAACGAAACATTCCTTTTTATGGGCCAAGTGACACGTTTTGATCTCCATGGAGTTTATGCTTACACACAGTAGAGTATCTGTAGGTATCTTTAACTTCACTACGCAGGCGGGAGGAGTGAAAAGGTTGAGTTTTTTTTCTTAGAGCCGGAACCAGTGTGATCCGGGCCGCTGGTTGGTGGGGGTGCCAAGCCATAGCCCTACAGATTCATAGAGTGTCACTCGGGGTTGGGGATCAGCCGAAAGCTTCAAGCACAGCTTCCAAGCCGGGCTTATATCAGCACGACTTTGAAGAATCCGAGAAATCTGAATGCCCTCTAGTACCAATCTTAATATGTCGAGTGATTCCTTTAGTGAGTTCCTTAATCACCGTGTCTCTCAATATACCCCAGGCAAAGGTTGATGAAATTATGAATTCGGCTTTGAGAGACCGATGTATGATCGAGCTGGGCACTTATTCTCGTGTCTGCGCGTAAGTCTAGATATCGGCTGCGACGCATGTAGTTTCTAAACCGTCTGAAGAGCTTATCTTCTTACCAACCACCCTTCTTCTATCGTTCCATTCCTGGCTGAAAATGCCTTTTTGTTCTAGCTGGGATCCGCGGCTGTGGGTTTTGCGGCTGTTGTCGATACGTATACACCACCAGACCGGTCCCCTTTCGCAACTTTTTAAACTTCACAGATTATCATTTTTCGCTGATATGCGGATAATATACACCCAACGAGCCCCGTAACTTGGTCAACACAACCCTAGTAAGCGCCTGCTGTAGTCAAACGATCACCGGCATCAACTCATAGGATTCACAATTCAACTGGATACAGGTATAAATCCTGTGTAGATGATTAGTACCAATCGACGTCCGACGTCAATAAATGAAGCTATCCGCTGACAGGCCTAGCACGCACTTTAGCCTTTCCGCCTGACCGGCATACTTACCGAGAACTAGCGCTAGTACTTAACTTCACGTTGCAAAATCTTGAGGTAGGTGAAGGTATTGACAAACATTATGATCCGCCTTCTCACATAATGGGTTTTTATTCAGCATGATTTCTCCCCACATCTACCTAGGCCTAGAGAAACATACATCGGTGGGTGGTAAGGTGGGAAGGGGTTGTGGTTTGTCGGTGAGAAATGAAGGCTCTCTGGTTAGAGTCCACCTGCGGAACAAACTACGCGAAAACCTAACACATCGTCTTCATGTCAACACATCACACAGTTCATTCAATCAATTGCACACCTCACCACCCTTCAGATCATACCTCCGAATAGCAGTTGGAATATCTGTCTTTGCACAATCAAAATGCGAGTAGCACGCACGTACTCGTAATGTATACCTCATAGATAATTCTATCTTAATCTCACTGCAGACTGGTTATTGAGTTTCTGGCGCATACGACTAATTCTCGAATAAACTGCCCACCAGCGGGCAAGTTGATCCATGGTTCATAAAAACCTAGGCGTGCTCGAAGAGGCGTCACCTATAACAGCTTAGATAATAATTCTTGGACAAATTTCTACTCGCTGCAAAAATCTTTTTTTTTATTGACATGTCTAGATCTATAGAATCGATCATAAATCATCGAATACGATAGCTATATCCGTCATTCAATCATACCGTCCTCGAGCTCTCGCCGGCATTCTCTAACTGCTCCTCTCTATCTTCTCTAGCCTCTATGATTGCTCTCTCTGTTTCTGTCATTTTGTGCCTCCACTTCGCTAGTAAGATCGGCATCAGAGCCGCCAGAACCGTACCGGCTCCCAGGAAACTTGCTGTGCATCCAAAGCCTACTGAATAGCTCGGTGCATTCCATGACGGCCAGATACGGGATCCATATACCGATGAGAAGTTACCGCAGGCGTTGACGATTGCGAGGACGACTGCTCGTTTTTCGGCCGGGAGCTCAACGGTGTTGGAAGTCCAGGCGAGAAGCAGAGGGAGAGCAGACCAGATCCCAGAGGCTGTGAAACAGATCATGACGTAGCGGACAGTATTGGAAGGGATTGTTGCTGTCAATACACAGGAGATAAATCCCACAAAAAGAGCAGCGGTTACGTGCCATCGACGCTCAGCAAAGCGGTCGGCGGAATAGGCTAGAACGTTGCAGGATACTGTGGCAACTGCATAGATACTATATCATGGAGCAAAGGCATCAGTGATTATCCAAGTGGTGGGGATTGTATGGTTGGGGGCACTTACGGAACAGTCATGTACTGCGCCATTACAGTATCATATCCCAAGCTCTTGGTCAGCGTCGGAATAAAATACGAAATTGTTCCACTTCCGGCAACCATCATAAACAAGAATGTAAACACCCATGTCCGCCAATCCACAGCGGCAGACACTAATGCCTCTTTATGGGACATCCTCTTCAACGTTCGGCCAGAATCCATTCCATCATGAAGCAGCCGGATAACCGCAAGGTTCCGCTCGGCTTCAGTGAATTTCTTGGTAGTAGCTGGGAAGTCGAGGAGAACGAAGAAGGCAATGCAGGAAATTCCGACGGTGGCGGCTCCCTCAATTATGAAAAGCCAGCGCCAGCCATGGATACCATGAACGTTATCCAGATGGCCAGTGATTGCACCCGCAAATAGTCCTCCGAATGCACCACTCAGAATGGCAGCGGAATAGAAGATTGCGAAGCGTTTCCCAAGCTCGCCTTTCTTGTACCAACAACTGAGCAGATACAATACTCCTGGGAAGAAACCAGACTCAATGCATCTATTCGCCACCAGCACCAACATCAGTATCGATAAATAGGGAGCAAAAGAAATTCCAATAAGCGGGCATACCCAAGGATAAATCTAAAGCCCAATAGAGCACCATAAGTATGACTGACGGCCATAACGGCACTGAGCGCACCCCAGACCAGCATAATTCCCGGTAAAAATATAGATGGCTGCGATCGCGACAAAATCATATTTGATGGCACCTCGCAGAGAAGATAACCAAAGAAGAATATACTATCATCAAATTAGCCTCTCCCTATCTCTCTGGATACATGTGGAGGGCATACCTTAGCACCCACGCATATTCTTGGTCGTCAAGCGATAAATCATCACCCATTCCCGCGATTCGTGCATTCCCGATGTTGGTACGATCAATGTAGTTCATGATGTACATGATCCACAACATCGGCATTAGATAGAAGTCAATCTTGCGAACCAGCCTCTTTTCTTCATCTGTATCAGGGACATAGCTCGCAAGCGCCGCCATGCGCGCCGCATCCTCTTCCGATATACCTGTGTCTTTGCCTTTGACATCCATTTTGCGTTGATAGTGGTGGTTGTGGGAATTAAAGGATGGTGGGAAAGAGAGCAGGCGAGCGCGTTGATATACGTATACGGTTATTTACCTGTTTCACCTACCCAGCTTTATCTAACCCGTAATGGTCGCAGACTCGCCTTGTTTTGTCTTACTAGTTGCGGGTATCTAGCAGAGTGCGGAGAACTCTGCGGGTGCGGGGAAATCTCCACATGAATGAAATCAGGGGGCAGGGTGGATGATCAGTTGAATCCGGAGGTCGGTGCGCCGTAGGTGCTTCTGCCGGTGGTTGTTGAGTATTCGTATGTACCTGGTAGTAGGAATGGCGCTTTAGTCGATGGAGTCATGCTGCATTAAGTAGTTAAGTAGGTACATATTCACAGAAGAAACCTTAACTACAGAGTACCAGCTCTAGACATCTAATAGTTTACCCCGGTCATTTCTACCTATCAAATACAAAAAAAGCAATCACGGCCACCTTCTTGGCATGGTAATGATTGAGTGCCACGATTACCGAGCTAGTTAACCGTGGCTGCGGCACGGATTAACTTCGGCGAAATGATTACATACTTCCGGGAGAATCAACGATGCTAAACGCGCGATAACATAACTATCGGTCTTTTTATTTTTCCGGGTTACAGCATTGGAGCATCTTGTTCCAGGCAAAGCGCCGAGGTTTGATCGGACAGCGCCACAAATAAATTATATGTACGCATTACAAGGTATCCAACAAAAACAGGCAACAAGTCATTATATATGAGGGAATACAGGAAAATCATATAAAGAACCCTCCGACAATATGATAGGCTAACGATCCAGAGCCTGTGCCTGACACTATTTCACGTTCAAATATCTGTTAGTAATTCCAGAATTTGAGGTGGGGGTTACGAATACTCTTACCATTTCAAAATACATTCCCCTCTTGCGGATCAACGTATCATGGGTTCCTTTCTCCACCACCCTCCCCTCATTGAGAACGAATATTACATCCGCGTTCTTGATAGAAGAGATTCTCTATACGTTTTCCGCGGATTAGTCAATTGTCTAAAATGGACGATAACTTCGAAGAGAGGAGACAAACATGAGCTACAGCGATCATTGTCATTTGACGACTTTCTCTATCAACTCCTTCTAACGCGCTCTGCACAATCTATTGTTTCACGCTAAGTTAGTTTTCCAGCAAGCTAAGAATGCGGGTTCGGTCCTACCCTTTCAGAATCCGAGTCTAAGCTAGCGGTTGCTTCATCAAGAAGCAAAATCCGGGGTTTTCGAATGAGTGCACGTGCAATGGACAGTCTTTGCTTCTGTCCTCCAGAGAGGCCAATTCCCCTGTTTCCGCAGAGAGTATTATAGCCATCTGGGAGTGATGATACAAAATCGTGGAGATAGGCATCTCGTGCGGCTTGAATTATCTCTTCCTCACTAACATTTGGTGTAGCGCCAATGCAAATGTTTTCGCGAATTGTTCCTGAGTGATAAGTTTATATTAGCACCTGTTGATCGGGAGGTGTCTAGGTTATGGGGATACCTTGGTAAATAGTCGGCTCTTGTGCAACAAGCGAGACTACGTTGCGATATACCCCCACGTCCATTGGCGCCAAACTCTGCCCATCAATGAGAATATCTCCCCTACTAACATCGTAGAATCTGTATTTCATTAGACTCGCCAAATCGGAAATTCCTTCGGGTCTTAAGGATATACCTTTCTAGTAGACTGATGATTGTACTTTTCCCACATCCAGAAGGTCCAACAAGCGCCACAAACTGCCCTTTCTCTATCTTTAGGTTGAGGCCATTAAAGACGTTAAGGTTTCTATCATTATATCCGAAATCAACATCCTTAAACTCAATCGTGCAACCCCCCCTTTCCTGCAGATTTAACCGCTTACCCAACGGTTTAAAACCTTGAGCTTGTCGAATTTCAAACATTTTGTTTGCCGAAAGAATGGCTAGGGCCATCTTATTCGCGATAGTGAACATGTTCCCTATCGCATCACCTCCTTGGAGCACTGTTAGATATACCACATAGAACTGAAAAATGCTGATCTCTTTTCGTATGATCAAGTTTCCACCCCACCAGAACGTAAAAGCCGAAGCCAGAATTGTCGATGACTCCGTGGCCGAATAAAAGACGGAGGACCACAAGACCCTGAAGGATTGCTTCTTGACATGGCCGCTCAGAAGTTTCCTAAAACGTTGTACAATTGGTCTTTCTAAGCAGAGGGATGATACGGTCCTATAGGCTCCGACCGCCTCCGTTGCAAATTGCGAGCTCTCCGCAAACACTTCCATAGAGTCGCTGACGAATCGTCGCTCGATCCAAATTTTTGCCCAGCCCGCAAGGAGGTTCAATGGAACACAGGCCAGGAGGACGGCGCCCGCAAGCTTCGGGCAGATATAGATAGAGATTGCACAAGAGGAGACAAAAGTTGCAAATGAGGAGACCACGAGACCGGCGGGAGTGCCGATGAGCTCCTGGACGGCGCCGGGGTAAATGTTGAGCTTGGAGGTGAGTTCGCCGGAAGAGTTGGAAGACTTGTCAAAGAAGGGGATCTTTTGTGATAGGATATTTCGGAAGTACTCTGAACGGTAATGGCTGCCCGAGATCTGATGAATGTTAGAAATAGTTAAATGAAATCGAAATGCGTCTTCATACAAAGGAGGATTTTGTGAGCATGTAGCCCATGAGGAAACACATTAGACCAGTACCGACAGCTAAAACCATGAACATATATGCCCAAAAGGTGCTGGCCTTGTCGAATAGGGTCATCTCTCCAGCTTGTGCAAGATCAAAGGTTATCAAGAAACTCGCCAACAGAAGTCCTGACATTGGGAGAGCAATTCCTAGATAAATCAGTACTTTATATTCGCGGGTACAAGCACGACCTGAATTCGAATACTTACCAGACCCAAGAGATCCAGCTACGCCGGCCGTATAAATCGGCCATAGTTTCGACTGCTCCCTCAAAATTAGCCAGAGGAGCGAAAAAATACCCAACTTCTTCCATTTAGTGGTGACAGGTTCCCCTGTAGCCAGAAGGCGCGCCCCCTCCGCCGGGATCACAATTATGTCTTCCTCTTCATCTTCTGGATCCCTGAATGGATCATCCTCATCTGGAATATCAATCATTAAAGACTGCAAACCAACTGATGCCCGGTACACTCCAGCTGCGTTCTCCATAAGCTCTGTATGAGTGCCGCTCTCAACTATATTTCCCTTTTCGAGGACAATAATCTTGTCTGCGTTCTTAAGGGTTGACAAACGATGTGCAATCATGATCGTTGTCCGACCCTTCGAGATTGTCTCAAGAGCCCTGTGGATTATTTGCTCGTTAATTGGGTCAAGGGCACTGGTTGCCTCGTCCAATACCAGGATTGGTGGCTTAGAGATGATGCTCCTCGCAATTGCAATTCGCTGCTTCTGGCCCCCGGAGAGCTTGATACCACCCTCCCCGACCAGTGAATCATACCTGTCCGGAAGTTCATTGATAAACTCGGCCGCGTTCGCTTCGACGCAGGCCTCGTGCACCATTTGCCTTTTCCCGCTCTCGGACACGCCTTCATACATTGTTCCCTGCAATCCGTATGCCACATTCTGATAAATCGTGTCGTTGAACAGAAATGGCTCCTGCGTCACAAACCCAATTTTTCCTCTCCAGTACCGTAGGTTGAGATCCGCGATATCTATATTCCCTATAGAGATGCTGCCCACCTGCGGCTCATACCATCTCTCAAGCAGTGCCACAATCGTGGATTTACCCGCGCCTGAAGGGCCTACTATCGCAGTTGTCTTGTTGCGTGGGAAGCTCAAGGTTAACCCCTCAGCATCCCAACCTGAGCTTCCATCTTCATTTTCTAAATATGGGCTATCTAGTGACGGTGAACCGATTTTGCCCCCAAGGACCACAGATTTATCGCGGTTCCCGCCACCGGGGTATGCGAACTGGATGCCCCGAAATTCAATGTCACCTGCCGGGAGTTCAAGGGGAGACTCCCCTTCATCAGAGAGAGAGTCGACTAGCGGGGGGCGATCAATCACTTGGAATATGATTGAAGCTGCAGCTGAGGCTTTAGCCATGGCCTGAATCGGGCTTGCGAGAGCCGCAAAAGACCCTATTCCGAACAGCGCCGCATAGAAAACACTGTAGGTGTCAATGATCAATCTACCAATAAATTCATACAAAAAAGGCCAGGATCCTTACACTATTATTTCACCGGGACTATCAATTCTACCGCTCATGAACAGGCTGGCCCCGTAGCGGAAACATATTGTGTATGCCGAAAACATTATGAATGAACCTAGGAAGCACTGTAATCCGGATAGTGGCGCCTTTCTTACACCTTGTGTTTTGGCACGAGTCAGAAGTTCATCATATTTTTTAGCATGTGTCCATTCTGCGTTGAAGCTTTGAATCGTGCGGATACTAGATAGCACCTCTTCTGCTAGGTCTGCAGCCTTGGTATATGCCATGATGATCCTCTTGTCGTGCTTGACCTGGATCGGGATCGTGATTCCATAAATAATAATCGCCACAGGAACGACAGCCGACGACGCAAGAGTCAGGCGCCAGTTAATCGTAAGTGCAATGGAGAAACCTGCGAGGAGCATGGCGAAGGATTGAACCACTGAACTGATGCGCTCGCCAATGCCCATTTGAACAGTGCTTGTGACCGATGTGATTGAGACCGCTACGGAGCCAGGAGTGCCGGGCTTGTGGACGGCCGGATTAGTGTGGTCGGTACTGAGATGGGTTCCGGTGCCAGTGTCGACGACGGGGTTAAGGGCGAGCGTGTCAAAGTAGGTGAGGTCCTGGCGGAAGATTGAGGTAATATAAGCTAGCCGAAGAGTAGACGAGATACGCATTGAGGAGATGCGAAAACAGCTCTGAGGAGTAACCTGTTAGTGAGGTTTAGGGTGAGGGCGGAGGGAGGGAACTTTACCATTGAGATGAATCCTGTAATCCATCTTGCCAGGAAGATATATACGAATTTGAGGCTATGGAGTTCGTAGGTCAGAGCTTGTTGATTGGATAAAATATATTGGAGGTAAGTAAGAGGCTGGCGTACCATAAACTAGATGTCTCTTTCACAAAAGTTTCGGAATTCCCCGCGGTTGCGTAGTAAAAGAATTGATTGATAAAGCCGCCCAAAACTAAGATCATGATAGGGCTAAAATACCGGGTCAGCATCTTTCATAATTTAACCACATAGGATTGATCTGCCAGACTTACAATGCAATGCCGGTAATCAGTGCAGCAGCAGCTCCAATACTCATTAGAGTATAGTCAAAAGCTGTCCCATACCTCAAAATCCTCTTCTCATAGTCAGCACCTTGAACACACCATTAACAGGTTTAACATACAAAATAGTTCCCAGACCCACCACCTACACCGTCTCCAACTCTTCGTTCAATTTTGGCGCGATTTAGCTTGTCACGTTTATCTTTTATCGTAGCGCGAATGCCCTGGAGCGGAGCTCTGCTGTGGCAGCGTGAGAGGTCGGTGAGCTCTATAGAGACTTCCTCACGCTGAGCGGGCCTACTACGAGGCCGCATCATCTTCTTTTTTTATTTATATATCGAATGAAGAATTCTTTCTGAAATTGAGTGGAAAACGGATGGGAAACAGATGGGAAGTGAATGAGAAGTGGTGCCTGGGACCTTTTTATACTGATGCGGAAGCTACCTGAACCCTAGAAGTGCGGGCAATTCTTTTTTAGATGTGACTACTATAGCGAATAAGGGACTACATTATCCCTTAGTCAATGGGATTCGTCGAGATGGTGTGATCGAAGAGTTTTCACAGATGTCAGCATGAGATTCCCTGATATAAGGACTGATTACGCGATAAATTGAAGATGCACCTACGTTTTTACCCACTTTTCCATGGTTAAGATTATGATTTGAGGCCGCTGTTGGACCCCGTCCGGCAGATGGTTGCTGGTCCAGCTCTCTACCATAGTTACGCATCAGACGGGATTCGACAATCTCAAGTATAGCGATAGAAATGACCAAAGAATGAGTGAGGCACCTCAACCGGCTAGAGGCTGGCTATAAATACATGCCAAAAATAGCATCTCAGTCTACTCCTATACTGCTGGTGGCTTGGATCCTATTCCGAGAGCTTTTGAATCTTCCCACCGATTTATTTCATAGGCGACATGAAAGTTCAAAGTGACGTTGATTAGAGATTAAATTAGGGCGGCCGTGATAACTACGGGTTAGAGTGCTGGTGAGGTAAATTTGTCGTGGGGTGTCATCACATCAATAATAAATCAAAAGGGCGTTATTACGTTGGTAACTTCTCTCGAAGCCCAATGTCGCACCGATTTTAGCGCTACGAGTGCTTCTCAATGCTCACCTGGTGACGGCGGATCCTGTCTGACGACCGTGTTTACAGTAGTTTGGCCTTGGTGTCACTGAGTAAACTTTATCATTGACCTAAAATATCTACAAGTAACCACCATCAGACAGGATCCGTGTTCACACCTCAAGTGAGTGTCCTTTCGCAGCACTTGCAAGGCCTAAATGAAGCCTATGTATGCGCGGAAAGACAGAAAAAAGATATCTCAAGATCATTTCCCACCGCCTACCCATCTCAGTCCCCCGCTAATATGAAATCCTATGCCAAGGGTATTCCAAAATATGGATGAAAATCGCAGCTTATAATGTCTTCATGGCTTAGTTGGTTAAAGCGTCGGTCTCATAGGAAATATGACCAATTCGTCAGAGTTGGATATCCGAAGGTCGCGAGTTCGACTCTCGCTGAGGACATAGTTCTGTGGTTCGCCTCATAAGTGAGTTTTTTCTTAAAGGAGAGGGTGGATAACGAGAATGCCTAGTAGTATCATATGTCATCACTCGATAATATATCCAATATCTTTTATGGTTGAATCTATTTTAATCATTTAACACCATATACAAAGTACAAATCTCCAATTGGAATGGGGGATGCCTTTGTAGTAACGGTGGGACTAGGGTTGTTGCCTCGCTCGTACGTAGTAAACCGAGTACAAAAATTTCTCCCTTACTGATCTGCTGCTGATCACGGTATTATGATGCCTTTGTGATGTAGTAGTTACGTACGTTTTATCCGAAATGATACATAGAGCCCTATGTAGAGGCTTCGGCACTGCTTCTGAGGTAGGCTTTTGTAATTGTTTACTGTTATTACAAGTTATATACCGTTAATTCCTGATAGATTCACTATACTCGCTTCATTATATCTTAATTCCGGGTGAGAAAAAGTGTGTATCTGCACGAATCCGTGAAGTTTGATACGCCAATTCGCCTTGATCCGGACTTACCACATACAAATACGAGGATAGTGGGTTATTTGAGAATCGACGGTATACAGTTTGGCCTAAATAAAAACTTCTTACGTCGTATTTAGGTCCTGCCTGAGCGTATTAATGTCGTCACTAACCGAATCACACACCATCACTCGCCCCCAGACTACGGAAAGCTCCTCACGTGATGTGCGCCAAGCCGTGGGCCACATGGCGCCAAGATCACAACGTCAACCGCACGCCGCACCTCAACAACCCCCCCAAACACTAACCCCCACCCCACCCCACCCCACAAACCTACCACCATGGCCGGCCACCACCACGACGGTAAACCATTGCCTCTGCTCTCCCAGTTTGCGCAGCTTTCTTGCTAACACATTGATGCAGTTCTCCACAAGGACCCGGCGCTGACAAAGTACGCCGGTAAGCATTCATCATCGACGACAGGAGGAGAGGGCGTGACATACTGACGGGGGCAGCACTCAATACCAACCGCTTCAGATACTTCCGCTGGAATAACCGTACGGCGAAGTTGTCGTTCATCTACGTGGTTGCGATTCCGGTCGCGTTAGGCGTGTTGGCATTTAAAACCGATGTAGGTAGCAGCAGGCTTGTGGAGTGAGCGGTGTGGCGTGGAATTATAAGTGCTGACCACGGCGTGTGTATAGGGTAAATATGAGTTTAGAGGAAAGAGGAGAGGAGATATCATCTCTGAGTACTAGACTAGGGACTGGATCTTCTTTGCGCCTAGACTGCTAGGACTGTTCATAGCACATAAATTTGAGACCATCCTTGCAAGGATCTGAATATCAATGGTTTGATTGTAGATTTTCAAGCACTTTTTCAATGGGTACGGGCAAGAAGTTATTATCGAGCTATCTCTGAAAGCTAAACTGAAAGTCTTGGAATTCAAACTATGGTATCAAAACAACAAAAGAAACCCCCTAAAGTTCCCTATCGGCAAAGCTTTTCACCACACCCTCCGGTGTTGCTTCGTACTCCCTCAGCTCCACCGTTCCATCCTCGCCCATAACCGTGTTCGCCTGGACAAACATCTTTCTTGGCTGCTTCATGCTCATGACCACATCCCTGTAACTCTTCATCTCCTCTGAGACGGTCGTCATCTCAGCGTAGAGCTTTGTTCCTGCCTTAACATCCGCTGTGCTCTTGTATACATGCAGCTTTGTGAGATACTCGCTTACGGCCGGAACACCATGGCTCAGGATTTTGGTCCTGTCAATCTTGACTACTAGGTCGCTTTTATCTGGGCGTGAGTGCTCGAAGGACACAAAGCCATCGCCGGCAGACCGGAAGCATTGCAAAATAGAGTAGCGCGCTTGCATGTGGGGTTGCCCCCACTTTGATGTCTTCGGATCCCACATTTCGAGGGCAAGAAGACCCGCACGTGCCATCTGTAGGTATTCAATATAGAGGACATCCTCTGCATCCTCGTCCGCGTGCCCAAAGATTGAGAGAATATCTTTATCAACACCCAGTACCATAGCCACACACTCGGCTCTACACTCTTCGTAGGATCCAGCAACACCGCCGAACACGCCGCCCCACGTTTCGCCGGGCTTATACCATGTTGATATAGGCTTTCCGGTAACAGGAGAAACTGGTGGGGAGTCATGGGGGAAGTTGAAGACGCCTTTGGAGGTCTCTTGGAGGAGCTTGCCTGTGCCGTGGCCGAGCAGTTCGTGCACGCCAACTTGCACCTCAAATGCCTTGCCGCGGAGCCTCTCGTAGAGCGGGAGGTCGACACCAGAGAGGAAGGTGATTTTTTCACTAGGAGCTTTGGCATTAAGAACATTGGCAAGGGAGACGTTCTTGAAACCAATGTTTTGACGGATATCGTCGTAGTTGGGGATGTTGATGCCTGCTGGGATACTACCACCGGCAAAGGAGAGAACTTCCAGACTTGTAAAATCAGGCTTGATGAAGGTGTCCTTTTCGAAATCGATGCCCCAGGGGAGGCGTTTGATGAACTCCTCAGCCCGCCGTACTAGCTCTCCAAATTTCTTCGTCTGCTCTTGATTGACAACTGCTACGAAACCCTCCCATTCTCCACGGACACCATGTGGGTCTCGGTAAGTCTCGATGAATCCAATGTTAGACTCGACAACTGGTCCTTGATCCTGCACCCAGAGCTTCTGGCTCTCTTTGTGGGCTTCGATGGAACCGTCTGCGAAGGAGCGGGCGTACTCGAGCCACATGTTCTTCTGTACTTCATTCTCGGCAGATTCGGAGGCATCCTTACAGGCTGCAGCGATCTTCTTCATCTCAGCTGCATGGTCGCCATATTCGAGTTTCAGTTTCTTCCCATCCGGAAGTGTAAACTCTTTATTATCGTTGGCATGTGCAGACGCAATGAGCAGATGAAACTCGGTATCACTGACTTTCCGCAACCGAGTGTTCTCAGAAAGAAGCGAGTTTTCATTCATAAAGTCCTGCACAGCTTCAATCTCGGCCTTTGTGATATCTGGCGAGTCAGGGTAGTATGTAGAAACATGGCCAGCATCTGGGTATCCCAGGAAGTTCCTTGCCTCTGGCTGCGTAGCGTAGATCGCCTCCTTCACCTTCTCAAAGCTTGCTTTAGCATCCGCATCATACTCTGCCAGCTTCGCGAGCTCCTCTTCCGGGATGCGAGGGATAAACTTCGCGTCTCCGAAGCTCTTGTAGTTTCCACATGATGTTAGGACCATGGCCGCGTACTCGAGAAAGTATTTGACATTTTCATCGCTGACCCCCGTGGCAGAGGAGAGCTTTTTGTAGTCCCCAGAGACGGCCTTGTGGAGGCTCAAGATGAGATCACAGATGTGCTCTGATTCGGGGGAGCATTGGCGTGCACAAACGCGTGTACCGAGGTATGCAGCATGGGAGATGTGGTGAGCGTAAAGTTTCTGCTTAGGCGTGAGGGAAGCAAAGTGGGGAGCAATCTCGAGGACACAGATTGTTGGAGGGGAATCGACGTAGACTGCATGTGTTTAGCTCTGACGAAACGTCTGGGGATCTGGCCGGTGAGGCGGGGTAGGAGGGCTTACGGTGTGATTGAACGGTGATTGGGGAGGACATTTTTGCGTTGATATGTCTAGGAGTGATTGATGAGTTCCCTTTGGTTATAGTTATTGTGCTGGAATTGCGGGGAAGGAATGGGGTGGTGGTTGGTGCGCCAAGACGGGTACCTAAAGCTTGACATCTCTTCGGGTAACACAACCGAAGCGAGTGAGGGTTTATGACGCCCGAGCTTACTTTCCTAGCACTGCTTGACAGCCATCGGATGGAGGTGAGCGCCAAGAATGCCATTTTTCTTGATATTTTTGCGGGATGTTGAATTTTAGTCGGCACACATGCTAGGGAGTAGCAGGGATGCATGTTCCTTCTGCCAAGTAAATGTATTTTTCACGACCTCGCATGGGGCATAATTTTAACAGCTTTAGTGGTGTAAATGTTTCAGAATATTACCATTACTGGTGACATAATTCGATGCCTTCTTGTGATGCATTAATGTTTATCCATGCATGCAACCTCGAGATTAATTAAATGTATTTTCAATTTGCCAACTGAGTAGGCCTAAAGAGCCGGATAAATACGGGTTGTTTCAACTCTACTACGGCGGTCTATGCATCAATTGATGCATTACCCATATTAAGTAGGCGAGTAAATACATCAGTTGACGTATAAACTGTCGTGAGTTGTGTAAACTCGTAGGATATTTTCGAGGTCTTGAGCATGAGCTGAGGTGTAGTGAGAAATGTGAAGGGCGTATACTGGAATTCTAAACTCATAAACCTGAGGGGAAATTCTCTTATAACGATTTATGGGAGCATACTTCATTGCAACCACAATCAAATATGGGTAAATACAGGAGCTTCCCAAGGTTTGATCGATTCTATAACTACATGTACTGCTTTACATGTATCTATACATCTACCATATTTGAACAACATCCCCCGTTAATAGATCCAGAAGGTTCAACCAAAATCCGCTCTTAAACCAGACTACTAAGAGTAGGATACCACTTATTCGCCACCTTTATAATCCCGGCGTCATTCGGGTGCACCCCATCGCTCGTATCAGTGCTTGTGACGAACCCGGTCCACTGATCGACCACATATATCGGGCTTGCGCTCGTGCTTAACCCTGACGCCCAGCTCGGGATCGCGTTGTTAAGCGCCACAACGCCCGCCGCACAAGTTGAGCATCCCGATGGGTTCATTGGCAGGATTTGCGCCACCTATATATATGCCATAGATTAGCCCGCCATGCCATACATATAAACGAGAAGAAAAGGCTTACGAGGATCTTCATGTTCGGGTTCTGGGCCCGAATTTGTCTTACGAGCGTCGTGTAGGCGGCGAGGATGGTGGTGGTCGCAATGTTGTTCCATACGTCGTTGGTGCCGAAATGCATCATGACAATGTCAGGACTGGTGGCGGAGAGCCATGCGGGAAGGAGGTTTTGGTTGGCAACATTGGTTACGAGGTAGCCTCCATGACCTAAGGGGGTTATCGGGTTAGTGATGGAGTACAAAGATGGAGGGTGAAATGGAGACAAACCTTCATTCTCGCCGTCATAAGTGAAGCCGCAGCCTTGTGCGGGAAGGGTCCCGACAAAGTCGATATTGGTCTTGCCGGCGGCGATAAGGCTTTGCCAGAGGAGAGCACGCCAACAACCCTAGATTCCCGTTTGTGAGTACTTAGTGCAGCGAGAAGGAACTACGGTGCTTACAGGCGATCCTGTGATGCTGTCACCCAAAGGCATAATCTTTGTCGCTGCCATTGCAGGCTCAACAAAGGTGCTCAAGGCTCCGAAGAGGCCAAGGAGAACGGCGGATGTACGGCTGGGGAAGATCATTATGGAGGCGCGCTTACTTGTGTACTGGTTAGTCGGACTGGAATATGATGGGTTTAGTCCAGCCTCTTATAACAATTAATCCACCATGTAAGTCGGTATGCAATTGAGGGGATTTTCCCTTCAATTTGCTGCACCGCAACTTTTCAGGAGAAGATAACATATATCTAACCAAATAATGCAGGGTGTTATGACATGACATATGTAGGATATAGTTTACTACTTATTTTTCCTGGGGAAACCCTGCTGAAGAGAAAGGGCCAGTTCGTCCCTGACCCCTAAGAAACACTTCCAAACGAGCTCTACAACTAAACTAGGTACCAGATCGACATACACTCACGTCATCCCACCCACATCTACATGTATCTACCATACACTTACATGCCACCAATCATTAACTTCACCCGGCAGCTACCAATTAGCCAACCCGCAAAGATCGCTCATGTGCAACCTGAGGCTGAGTGAATGATCGTAAATTATCAGCGATTCGGCGGAAGGGATGGGAGCGCTCCGATCTCCACGTGTGGGAAAATAAAGGTTTAAGAAAAAAAGGAGCTGCCTAAATGACTATCTCCCAGGGTCCGGGGAGAAGATTTTCGTTCCCGGAGCTCCGGGATGGTTTCAGGGCTTTCCTTTGGTTGCTGGAGGGAGGTGTTACAGTTTGACTGGCCAGGTACTCCGCAGTTTGGCATTTCGGCCCGGGTGAGCCGGTTTCGGCTGGGGATCGCGGGGGTGCGGATAGGCGGATAAGAACTCTCTTGTTTGAGAGACAGAAGTTTTTAACGACCTTTAGGCCATTTCACTAGTGGATAATCGATAGTGTGATCAAGATGTATATGTAGTCCACATCGCCGCGTCATAGTCCCTCACTCGATATGGTCTTATCAGAATTGGTACAACATATTAGATACAAATGGTTACAGGGCTGGGTCTACGCATTGGATCAATTAGCTGCCAGGACAAAATTCATTAATAGAGAGAATATGTGATACGCAAGTCACGTGTTTCTAGTGAGAAGACGCCCTTCTGTGTGTGATACCCTGCACTCATAGCCTCCGGGGCATGAAAGGAAAGTTTACATTCAATGACAAAAGTTTTCAATGACAAAAGCTTCTAACCACAAAAACTCCCAGCGAAAATGACTTCCATGACAACAGTTTCGACGACAAATATTCCTAACGACGCTCTACCTTGTAGCTCATGATCCAAACCTCCACGATTCATAAACTCACTTCTAAACCCCCAAAAGAAATGAAACCAGAAGAAACAAAAGGTTCAGGTACCAAAGTAGCGCTTAAAAAAGAAATAAAAAGACCTTCACCAGTCTTTCGTAAAATATAGAGAAAACCATATCCACCATACCCTCCGGCGATACAAGTCCTATACGAGAATGGCAAGCCGGATCTGTTATGCGCAGAACTGTTAATACGAGTGATCCGGTTTAGCGTCAAAGTGTCTGGGTGGGTTTCAACTTACGATAGATGTGTGCGCAGCGATAATAATTAACTCGAGAGATGGTATTTTGTCCTCCAGAACCGAAGCTTGGTTGAGAAGGGGAGGATAGATGCATCAGCTCCGTTCTCGAGAAGTAGCTTGGTTAGTCCCCTATTCCCTACCCTATTTCTACCTTTGGCTACCCTGTGCAATGCAGTCTCGTTCGATTGGTCAACAGCGTTTACATCGGCTCCTTTTTCGAGAAGAAGCTTGACCATTGCCTCGTTTCCATCTCTAGCTGCCTTGTGTAATGCAGTCTCGTTCGATTGGTCAACAGCGTTTACATCGGCTCCTTTTTCGGAGAGAAGCTTGACCATTGCCTCTTTTCCATCTCTAGCTGCCTTGTGTAATGCAGTCTTGTTCGATTGGTCAACAGCGTTTACATCGGCTCCTTTTTCGGGGGGGGGCCTGACTATATGTACTGTCTGTGTTCCAAACCAAGCTGCCTTGTGTAATGCAGTCTCGTTCGATTGGTCAACAGCGTTTACATCGGCTCCTTTTTCGAGAAGAAGCTCGACTACTGCTTGTCTTCCAAACCAAGCTGCCTTGTGTAATGCAGTCTCGTTCGATTGGTTAACGGCGTTTATATCGGCTCCTTTTTCGAGAAGAAGCTTGGCTACATGTACTGTCTGTGCTCCAAACCAAGCTGCCCTGTGCAATGCAGTCTCGTTCGATTGGTTAACGGCGTCTATATCGGCTCCTTTTTCGAGAAGAAGCTTGACCATTGCCTCTTTTCCATCTCTAGCTGCCTTGTGTAATGCAGTCTTGTTCGATTGGTCAACAGCGTTTACATCGGCTCCTTTTTCGGGGGGGGGCCTGACTATATGTACTGTCTGTGTTCCAAACCAAGCTGCCTTGTGTAATGCAGTCTCGTTCGATTGGTCAACAGCGTTTACATCGGCTCCTTTTTCGAGAAGAAGCTCGACTACTGCTTGTCTTCCAAACCAAGCTGCCTTGTGTAATGCAGTCTCGTTCGATTGGTCAACAGCGTTTACATCGGCTCCTTTTTCGAGAAGAAGCTTGACTACTGCCTCGTTTCCATATCTAGCTGCCTTGTGTAATGCAGTCTTGTTCGATTGGTCAACAGCGTTTACATCGGCTCCTTTTTCGAGAAGAAGCTTGACCATTGCCTCGTTTCCATCTCTAGCTGCCTTGTGTAATGCAGTCTCGTTCGATTGGTCAACAGCGTTTACATCGGCTCCTTTTTCGAGAAGAAGCTTGACCATTGCCTCTTTTCCATCTCTAGCTGCCTTGTGTAATGCAGTCTTGTTCGATTGGTCAACAGCGTTTACATCGGCTCCTTTTTCGAGAAGAAGCTTGACCATTGCCTCGTTTCCATCTCTAGCTGCCTTGTGTAATGCAGTCTCGTTCGATTGGTTAACGGCGTTTATATCGGCTCCTTTTTCGAGAAGAAGCTTGGCTACATGTACTGTCTGTGCTCCAAACCAAGCTGCCCTGTGCAATGCAGTCTCGTTCGATTGGTTAATGGCGTCTATATCGGCTCCTTTTTCGAGAAGAAGCTTGACCATTGACTCTTTTCCATCTCTAGCTGCCTTGTGTAATGCAGTCTTGTTCGATTGGTCAACAGCGCTTACATCGGCTCCTCTGTCGAGAAGCAGCTTGACTATTGCCTCGCGACCCATTTCTACTGCCTTGTGCAGTAAGGTCTGTTTTAGTTCGTAAATAGCGTTTACATCAGCTCCGTTGTCGAGAAGAAGCTTGACTATTGCCTCATGACCCATTTCTGCTGCCATGTGCAATAATATCCCTTTCTGTTCGTAAGCAGCGTTTATATCAGCTCCGTTGTCGAGAAGTAACCTAGCCACTGCTTCATGTCCATTCGAAACAGCGCAATACAGCGCAGTATTTTGATACATGTTTACTAGCTTATGTATCTTTCTAATCCATGGGGGATACAGATGTTTGTTGAGAAGTAGCATGACTACCCGCTCATGACCTCCCGAAGATGCCTCATGCAATGCAGTATTTCCATGATATCCTTTAATAGTGGCTACCCAATGTTGTCGTCTATGTTTGGTTCGAAGAAAATAGCTCACTACTGCCTCACGGCCCTCCAAAGCAGCAATATGTAATGGAAGTCTTGAGAGCGGGTCCGCAACCAAAACATCCTCGCCTTTTTCGACCAACCGTTTTACGACTTCTAGGTGACCTGCAGCGGATGCGATGTGTAATGGTGATGGGTATAGGAAGGTATGATTACCCATTCTGACGAAAAGGGACATATTATGTGTTTTCCCAAGAAAGTGCAGAAAAGGCTCGAATGTCGATTCCATATCGCTGGATCTCATATGAAAGATCGCCATTTCGCTTGAATATGTAACGAATGGGTACTGGTGTATGAGCCTTCTTTTGACTCTCTTCATGCCCAATGTATAATTATCAGGTAATTCGACTGAGAAAGCATCGAACGAGAGATAGGTAACACATGCGATAGCAAGTTCGGCGTCGGGCTTCAATATCAAGGAAGCTTTCTCAAGAAGATACTCCTGGACCGTGTAATGAGCAAGTCGGATTGAGCCGGTTTGATTGTCAGTTACTACTAGTCCACCGCATACCTCAATCAACGTCCTTCTCTCCGGCAAATCCATTTCGTCCATTTCATATCGGTTTGGGACAATCGATACTGCTTCTCTAATCTCGTTCATTGCAAGAACTCTCCTGGCTTTAACTAACCAGGTGAGAATTTTGATTGCGAGCTCTCTTTCAGGTGGGTGCTGGCCATTGATACGCTCAATCGCGCTATCGTACGTAGGATACAATGATGTCTCTCCCATGGCTGTACTTTCGAGTTTCTCGAGTGCATTTAGGATTTGATTTGTTGTCGTCTGTTGACACAAATAGTTGATATGTAGGTGTACAAGCAAAAACCTGATCGTCATTTAGCGCAACTACTCAGGAACAATTGTAAAATCGGTAAATATGGAGAGAAAAGAGAGGGGAGAGGGGGGCTGAAATCGTTTTTAATTAACTTACATCCCATTCGCACAAGCTTCAAGCTTGGAAATGATTTTCCCACTGTAATTTCCCTGGCGGATAAGGTCCCTCGCCCGGGGGTTTTCCGCAATTCTTGCCTGTATATAGACAGTAATATCGTCTTTCTGTGCTGATAGCTCGATTTTTACAGCCTCTTGAAGACTATCTTCTATATCACGAGGGTGTGGACGACTGGTTGCAAAAATATTGATACCACTTCTTCCCATACGTACGAATAAGGGAAGGAGCTCTCTCCGCTGCTTTTGGGGGTCACATTCATCCAAAGCGTCAAAGACAAAAAATATTTTGTCGAATAGCATCGAGATTGAGATAAGGGTATTGTATAACTCGTCCAAAGTCGGTTTTCTTTTTTCCTTTTCTGATTTTGTATATACTTCATCCAATGCAGCAGGGACATCTTGGATTTGGTTAGAGAGTTGCCTGATCAGACTAGATATAACCTCAATCGGTGTTTGCCTTCCTTGATCCTTATAATCAAAATAAATATGCGCTAACCCGCGTTTTGTCGAAGATGTATTTCCTAGGTGATCGATAACAGTGGAACTTGAGGAAACCTGTTAGAACGACTCATTAAATAGTAACTCGTGTAACCAAAAGGATGATGCACCTCAAAAAAGTCTTGCCAGCTCCAGCTGTATCCACGAGTTATAATCAGTATATAAAACCAGTATAGGCACTTTTTTTTTTTTACATACGAATGCCATGACCCCAGAGTAAGCGGGATTTTAGTCTCCCTTCAACCCAACCGATAAATTCTGGCGATTTCAGAAGCCAATCGCCTGTACCTTTTTGTCTCCTATTGCCGATTTCGTAGTGTTTGGCGTTGAAATCCCCCGGGTATAGCCAATCAAGTATAGCTTTGCGTGCTGCAGTTTATTACCCGATAATGAGCACTAAAAATTCTAGAGGCGATGAGGTTTAAAACTTACACGAGGCGTCTGCTTGAGATGGCTCAGAATTTTGAGTCGCAAGGTTCATCATTGATTTCGTCTCAGCCCTGGTGCAAAAATCAGCGATCGGTAGGATCGGCAAGTCATAGGCATGTGAATCTCGCGTACCTGAAATCCTGAACCAAAAGGGTTGCAGATTTCACGTTCTCTTCGAGCCGTCTCATGCTCGCGCTGATATAGATTCAAGGTCAATGATATCCAGTTCAGTATTTGAGGTCCAGAATGCTCACCGATTGTCCAAACCCAAAGCTATATCAACCGTCGATTTAAACCTCTCAATCTTTTCTACGTATTCCTTGGTTTCGCCCGCTTGTAATGGCCATTTCAGGCGGCTTAGGAATCGATTCTTATGCTTGAACCGGTCCTCCAACCTTTTCAACTCTACAGCACACTCTAGAGCACACCCCTGAAGCACCCCATCCCTGGAGCACAATGCTTGCAGTGCTGGTGACCCTTCCCAGTTTTCTCTAACTTCGTCTTGCAAGTGAACAACAAGAAGGCTGAGTGTCTTGAGCTCTTCCAGTAATTCCTGGCGGTCTTTATCTGCTCGATTGACGCCCCCAGCGTAGGTATGAATTAGACCATATACCGTAGCAATGACTTGGACAAGGCCGGCAATGCTTGCAGCAACACCAATTGCCTCCGCCATATTCCAAGTGACTGATGTGTCCGTAAGTGCGAAAGTGAGGTCTAGTATGGGTTATGTGAATGCACTTTGACTAGCGGGTGAAATCTTGATGTCGAGAAGGACGATCAACTATGTAGAAATAGAAAAATGCCCCTTGATGGTGTTTGTATGTCTATGTGTTGTTTAAAGAGACTCTGCCCGGCGCCTAATACCTACAACACGCATGATAGTAGGTTATAATCGATCCAATCATGGAGGCGTGACTAATATATGCCATAATACGCTTCCTATTGGCCGCCTTCTGGCTGGGGGACCGTTAAAAAAAAATCCTGAAGAACCTCATATATCAAGATAAATACTATCAGAAAGAATGCTGGACGTATTTAGGGCGGCTTACCTTGTTTGACTATGAGCACTCACCACGCATCATAGCCAATTAACCCAAACTTTCTCGAGCCAGCTCACACACAGCACCACGAGATATGCAAATAATAAAGTAACAAAATACCCAGCTTTTATTTATATACACGTACACAAGATGCACAAACCACCACAACCACTAAAGAAAGGAAAAATAAAGAAGGAAGGGGGGGAAAAAGCAAAACAAAGTTTAATCCAACATAACATCATCATCGGCAACCTTAGCGCCCTCCTCCTCGCCTCTCCCCCGTCCCTCCAACAATTCTCTCCTGATCTCCGGCGCAATACCCGGGTGCCCCTTGACAAGCAACACATCCAGCAGCACATCCCTCTGATCCTCTGTCACATCGTTGCGATACCTCTGTGCGAAGCTTAAGAAGCTCTGGTGCCATAGCAGCGGCAGAGCCCCTTCAGCACTCTTGAACCTCATGAAGTGGAACACTAGCGCGTCAACAACCTTGTATGGGAGCGCGTACTTCTTATCGATAAGCACCTTTATAAAGACGCTCGTAGGACCCGTGTATTCCATTTCGCACAGCCTCAGTAGCGCAGCGGCTGAGTGGAGCACGGGGACGGAAATGCGGGTAAGCACAGATCCAATGATCTGGGCCTCCTTGAGTGTGCAGGTCCCGCTTTGCGCTAGGGGAAATAGAAACCCTTTGAAGAAAGCGGCGGGCTTGTAGAGGGACTTCTTGATCGCGTTGTAGAGGTGGACATTGAGCTTTTTGTTTTCTGCGATGTCGTCGCGAACACGGTCAAGGAGAATTGTGTTGAGGAACTTTTGGCATTGGGAGGACTTTGTGGCGGCGAATAGGCGGGTGGCCTCGAGACAGGCGTTGGCAGACCAGGTGTCGGGGCGGGTTAGGTAAAGGATTTCTTCCCAGTTCTTGAGAGACGGTATGATTTTGAAAGCTTTGGGGAGCTTTCCGGATTTGTAGCGGGAGAGAAGGAGACCAACTCTGGTGGGTTGTTAGTTTAGATCTCAAGCTCAAATAATATAACTGGGCTTCAATAGGAGTTTATTACTTTGTGTAGACCTCGATAACCTTTTCTGGTAATGAAGGGACGGGTTCCTGTTCGACCAGGGTGCCTGCAAGGCGTGCCTCGTGCTCCGCAATCTTCTCCAAGATTTTATCGGCGAGTGATATTCGCTGGGTAGGTTCTTCGCCGTTTGATGGCATAAAACGATTGAACATCTCTATATCTGCTTCGTCGATTTCCTACACAACCTTAAAATCAACCCCCAAAACCCACTTTGAATTTCCCATCCCATTGAATTGTCAAGAGAATCGCATTCCACATACCACTTCCTCAACAATCTCCTCCTCACCAAAATCAGCGTCCTCATATTCCCCCTCGCTATCCTCCTCCGCATCCTGATCAAACCTCATCTGTGCCGCAGCACCCATAAAGTTCCCGTTCATAGCAGCGCTGACAGCTGCCTCGTCCTGAAGCTCATCCTGCTGTTCCCTCGCAATCTGGAGAATTTTCTTTGACATGCTGGAATCGACATATTCCTCTGGCTTTGACTGACGCTCCTTTCGCTTCGCGCGGGAAACTTTTCGGAGGTTTCCAGGCGCATCTTCAAGGAGTTCCTCGTGGAGAGGATTATGGCGGCGGTGTGGGCGCGGGCCGGAGGTGCTTTCTTTCGGCATAGTGTTGGATCAGTTCACGGTGTCCGATATCTTGCGTATTTATTTTTGTAGCCGAAAGCCAATTGGACGTGGTGGTATTTTTGGTGTGAAGATGATGCGAAAAATCGAAAATTCAATAAAAAAAGAAACTATGAGGGGTTAGGCCTGCAGATCCAGATTAGATAAGATGTTACCTACAGCGATAAGTGGGGCTAGCAAAAAAAAAAAAAAAAAAAAGACAAATGCCCCAACAGAGCCTCATGAAATCCCCCACAACTTCTCATCAACCCACGAATCCATAATCATAGGCTCCTAGAGATCAATAAAATGTCGAAGCGCCCCGCAGAACCCACCTCGCCTAGCAGCGGCGGTCTCAAGAACCGCTCGCGCGAAACCCCCGAGACTCAGCCCCCGGAGATGGGCGACTTCGAGGACAACTTTGAAGACGAATTCGAGTCCGATGACGAGGTCATTGAAGCCGGCGCCGACGGAGAAGACCCTGGTGAAGATGAGGGAAAGGCTGTGGAAGAAATGCAATTGGACCAACAGGTCTATATGCCTTCCCGACGACAGCTTGCAAAGGATGAAATACTAGAGCCGGACCCAAGCGCATACCACATGCTGCATAGCATGAATGTCAATTGGCCCTGTTTGAGCTTTGATATTCTGCAGGATGGGCTTGGAGATGAACGGAGAGGGTACCCGGCGACTGTGTACCTGGTGACCGGGACCCAGGCGGCGAGACCGAAGGATAATGAGATCACAGTCATGAAGTTGAGTGGATTACAGAAGATGCGTCAAAGTAAGATTCTCCACTGATATCTTGTTTTCTCTAAGCCTTGGGGTATCCCTTCCTTTCTCCGGGGTTTGAGAATCTATGCTGATGCCCACACAGCAAAGACAGAAGAAGACGAAGATTCGGACTCCGATGATGAAGCTGAAGACGATCCTATTCTCGAGTCCCGCTCACTACCCCTCCCCACAACTACAAATCGTATCCGCGTATCACCTCACTCTTCACATGCTGCTTCTCTCGCAGAAACCGGCGATGTCCATATCTGGGATCTGTCCACACACCTCGCCTCCTTCGACACTCCCGGGACTACAATTACCCCAGCCGCCAACAAGTCCACAACCCTGCGCATGCACAAGCACGTTGAAGGCTACGCTATCGACTGGTCTCCACACCTACGCGAGTCGATGGGCAAGATTGTCACTGGTGACAACGACGGCAAGATCTTCGTCAGCACCCGGAAAGAAGACGGAACCTGGGCAACCGGCAAAGATCCCCTCAGAGGACACACCGGCAGTATCGAGGAGCTCCAGTGGAGCCCTACTGAGCGTCATGTATTTGCGAGCGCATCAAGCGACGGGACTGTCAAGATCTACGATGCCCGCGCCAACACTAAGAAGCACCAGCTATCAGTTTCAGTTTCCTCGTCCGATGTGAACGTCGCATCTTGGTGCAGTGCGGTACCGCATCTTCTCTCGACTGGAGCGGATGACGGTGTTTGGGGTGTTTGGGACCTTCGGACATTCCCAAATACTCTTAAGGGCGAGCATGTTTCTGCCACCGCTTCTTTCACGTTCCACCAGCAGCCTATCACGTCGATCGAGTTCCACTCGACAGAAGATAGTATCGTTGCTGTTGGGTCGGCGGATTCAACGGTCACATTGTGGGATTTGTCGGTAGAATTGGATGACGAGGAGAGCAGAGACACTGGTGGTGTTGAGGACGTGCCCCCGCAGCTCTTGTTTGTTCACTACTGCAAGGACGTGAAGGAGGTTCATTGGCAGAAGCAGGCACCAGGAACAGTTGTGGCTACGGGAGCAGATGGTTTCAGTTTCTTCAAGACGATCAGTGTGTAATCCTGTCGGGTGGAGTGTGTCCTTTTTTTTTTCTCTTTTGGGGGAGTGAGTATTTATTGTGGCTACAATAAATTAGCGGTTCGATGCAAAAGTTTCTGTAAATTTGTCAGGATTTGAATTTTATACGAGTTTACTTTCTTAAACACAGAGGTATAATACAAACTGTTTTCTTTGTTATTTCTCTTTATTTGGCTAGTTGTCAATTCGCTGCCCCTCTATACAAGAACGAACCGCAAACAATGTCAAGGTTGGATTTGAAAATTACTTCATGATATATCACTCGCATAAATTCAACTGACGCCGCCGATATGCCCATAATGAAGACTGGGCGCTAGTGCAACCAAAGCAGACCAAGCCATACTTGTATGATCTGTTTAGTCATACTGTATACATGTAAACAGCTGGCCGGGATTCCCTTGTTGAGCCATGTCGTCATCTTCTTCTTCGTACATACATGTACTCGACGATCGGAGTGTAGCGTGGAATGAAGCCGTCTACACCCGGTTACGTGTAGCTATCATACATACGAGATGACTCAACAGTACTAAGGTGTCCCGGGGATTAGCATACGGGGCCCTTTCCAAAGGCTCTTTCTGTCAGCTTTTAGAGCCTACGTGTATGTTCTCCCGTGCCTACCGGCTCCCACAGCTTCTCCCTTCATACAAACTTGGTGCAATTCCCCCGGCCTCTATCGTAGTTCGACCCCAGAACTACTCAAATACGGTAAAGGCGCCGGGCCTGGGGTTAAGGTTTCTCGAAGGGCTTTTACCCGACGCAAGTCTTGTTTATCCTAGGGATGCACCGGGTACTACCATCGGGCCCGCGGGAATTCTTTCCAAAGCTTATTTCTATCTTCTAGGGCCCATTTCCCCCCCAGACCCGAGGCTGTCGGCTCGGTACTGGTTCTCTACCGTAGATTCCGTTCAATGGTGAGGGTGCTGGGAATAGGGCTAGGGTTCTCAATGGTTTTGTCCCTTTTTATATACGAATTATTGTAGATGACTGGTGCACATGAGCTTGCTGGCTCAACGGTATCCACATCACGATTGTGTTGAGATTGAACAAGCTCGTACGGGCTGGCCTGAAGCCTAAGAAAATAATTATATAATTGAGCGCTTTATAGCATTAGTACTTACGATAAATCAGGTTTTGAGGAATTACGATACAGTGTCGAGTGATATTCTGTGATTTACTGGGTGTACCTGCTACTCGCCCGTCAATTTTTCGAGATGGTTAGTGGAATGGGAAGGACATATTCATATACTTTACACACACATTATAGTATATATAATTAACCTAGGCCTATAGCTAGTACATCTTACTATCGATATATCATTAAGATCCCTGAGTGACAGTATGATATATGATTTCTCACAGAGCAGTTGTTAACTCACTAATTGGTTGTTGCATATTAAACAGTATCTGCAAACGTTAACGTTGATGTAATACCCGGGGTCAAACATGAGACATACAGCTTTTGCTTGTCAACGATCCTGCAGACGTGGCTGACAAAGTGAAAGCGGGAAATATGCAATTACCAGGTAAACTGAACTAGAATAACGGCGTCATGAAATCAAATGGTCGGTACATAAAAACTCTAACTTGATCAATAATAACAACACAAAGGAAATTTCACATTATCTCAATTAAAGTTACACCAAATGCAATGCAGTAAATATTACGAAGCCTTAATTAGAAGGTGGTGCGGTATGTGGGGGATCGGGGCCATAGATTTTCCAGTTACAAATAGAAACTGGTACCAAGCATGTACACGTACATTACAAGGTAGAGCAGATCATGGGGCGAACCCACATCTCTATGTGCATGTATGTACAAGACATGAGTTACCGCTGTATTTGAGAAAATTCGTTGCGCTGCAGCAGGGTCTTCTCTACCAAATCTTGCATATTGACGTCCAAATACTACCTCTAGTTAGCTCATACCCCTGCTGTAGCGCAACGAATTTTCTCAAATACAGCGGTATTAATTGTGTACGGAGATGAAAACCATGACTGTAACTGGTTGCAAAAGAATGAATACAAACGGCGTGATTTTCGGACTAATGAAACTCGAGGGACTACATGTAGCTATGCCGGCTTTACCACATGCCTTCTAAATTTTCCACATGGCCAACGGCCGGCTATAGATGAAGTGTTTCTCCGTTGTGTAACAAGTACATATGGCGTTTATGGGTCGTGATTATGATGATGTGTTTGCTTTTTCTTCTCGGGGTCAAGAATTGCCCCACGCAGAAAATCATCTGGAGACTGGGGATGAAGGACTATTCTGATCGACTATGGCGCGAGAAGGCCTAGAGGGCGGGTGTGTCAACTTCAGAGGAATTTCGTTTGTATGGGAATCTGAGAAAATGCCAGGGTTAGTCTAGGCGCTAGTACCATTATGGCCAATTTCTATAGGTTTGATTGGCTGATTCTTTAAAAAAACGCCGAAGTTTACACACCTACCCCCCATAGCTTCTCGAGCCATAGTGTGAAGATTTTCCGTAGTTTCTCCTTTGTGCGAAGAGGGAAAGAAGGAAAAGAAAAGAAATATGCAAGGTATATAATCGATGAGTAAAATAAAACCTGTCACTTTCGGGAAGAATTGACAGGTATCAAGTAGTACCAGGAATAAGCTTTCAATACGGATATGTACATGTATGTAGTTTTCCGTTGGGAACCTAATTTTCCCAGAGTAGTTCGTGGGCTTGGGTGCTAAGTCAAGATTTGGTTCAGGTAGCCCTTGGCGTGCATTTTGGCGCTTTAGCGAGGACACCTATGAGTGCGCCATACTTTTGCTTCGGTGGTTTCTTCTTTTCGCGTGCCCGTCTGCCTCTTTATGCCTACAGTGCTAGTGTGTGTGGATCCAGGGTGGTGTTTCGAGGGCATGTAAAGATCCGGCCTTCTGGCCTCCTCCACGTACGTGTGCCCCACACACATCAAATATTCGGAAAATGGCCCAGTTATTTCATTCTTGAGGTATCGACTGTGCCAAAACCCTTTTTCGCATCCAAGAGGGCAGGGATCGATGGCTGCATGTAGTCATGCAAAACCCAACACGAGGTTCATTCTGTTTCCTCATGTCACGAACGCCCCCGCTGAGCGTTTAAGCATCGGCCTCTAGACAATCTGAAGCTGACGGCAGCGAAAGTAGAACACAATTGCGCGAGGGCTCACCCACACGGCCGGCTCCATGGAATCACTTGGAACAGCGGAGTTTCCCGGGCGGCAGTTTCGAGGCTGTTAACATGTCCTTATCACTCAATTGCTAGCGCACCGAGACATTGTTTACCGTGAGCTACAAAGGGTTTATTTTAACATTTTTCATCCTGTGACTTTGGAATGCGCGGGCGTGCTGTAACCCAGGTTTTAAGGCGGATCATACGAGAATATTTGTACCAGCTGCAGAAGAACACACTACATGAGTACGAGCACCTACATGTATGTGCCGTTCAGTTCCAATTATAATCAATGAGTCGGTGCTTAATTGATTAGTCTTCAAGGGTTAGGACTTTTGTTAAACACTAACTAGTGGACCCTATTTGTGATACCTAGTAATACTAATATCAAGACTTTTAAATTCTTGAATCCTTCTCTCAATTTTGGACATTATATTTTGAAAAGAGTATCAAACAACAGAGAGATTGGAAAGACTCACTGTGCAAATAGAATAAGGCTCATGGCTCTTATGAGTTGCGGCAGTTATAAGTAAGGCTACTCAAGAAGAGTATTTCAAATTAAACCCTGGCTTAAATCTTTACCGATATCCGATACCTATTTCCTGAAAACCCCAGTATTGGTTGAATGCCAATCAGCTACGAAACTACCAAAAGTTGGTGAGAGGAGGCAGTCGAGTGACAACTCATGATCGTCCATGCTGCTCCATACCAACGCCGGTTTTTACCCCGACCCGCTGTTTACGCCTGATCCGCCTGCTAACTTAAGGTATGTCCCACAAAGATCACAAGATAATAAGAGAAGATCTGAATTCGGTATTCAGAACAGCAAAGATTACCCTCGCGCACCTGGAAAATATGTGAGCGATCGTAAAAACAATCAACAAAGAAATGGCTCCAAACTTTGATGACGTGAGGTAGCAGTCGTGGTTTTTTTTGGGCTGAGGCCGCTTAGACTCTTACCGTTAATTCTCGCCAAATCCACTATCTCCGCATAGGTAAATGGTATGTCCGGACCAAAGAAAAGAAGGCTCGGCATGCGAATGTGCAGAAACCCTACTGATGCTGCCATTTCTTTGGTCTGGACATACCATTTACCTATGCGGAGATAGTGGATTTGGCGAGAATTAACGGTATATCAGGAAGTAAAATCTCGAAAGAGTAAAGAATCTGGCATGTTGTCATTAGCTCTTTACGCCCACCAGCTAACAGACTGGTATAATATACTCTAGTACCGAAGAAGGCAATACTGAATAGATCTAGAGACGTTTGTGGAACTCGAGGAAAGTGTTTTGGGTATAGTGGTTGACGATACGAAAATTTTAGCCAGGCAAGAATAATTAGAGCTTGATACAGCCCATATCTGCCAGCATGAAGGTCAAAAAAAGCAAGAAATCGCTGCCAAGTAGCTTCTTTCAGACACCTGTTTCCAAACAGGACCGCCGGTGTCACTTACAAGGGACGCCACTGTTTCACACAAGTCACATATCAATTCCTCGGCTGATAGTGATTTATTTGGTTTCCTCAGAGACCCTAGATCATAGAAGTCGCATTCACAGGCTTCAATGTGAGTAGACTTAGAACAGAGACGTCGATGTTCAAATAAGGTAAACGTTCTCAAGCATGGAAATCAGATAACTTAGAAAAAAGAATGCGTAGTTTAAGAAAACTTCATGAACCTAGGAGAGTTACCGAAGGGCGGGGGATTTTGTGGTATCCTTAGTATTAACAGACTGCTTCCCATTTCTGAGCTCCCGACATAAAGCGCTGACTACGATACATGTATATTGGCCGGTACACGCTGGTATGCCGCCGTGCCGCAGTTGCGAAAATCGACACAGTAAGAGGTTAAAAACCCACAGCGAATTCCCTGAAGATCTTTTCTTCATACACCACTAATTAAGCCGCAAGGGTCGTCAGTCGTTTCCATGTCAAAATGCTAAAATGGTTGCCTCGATCGAGGGTTTTGCATTAATTCCGACACAGAATAAAGGAATTTTGCCATCTAATCTGCAGAGATTTGACAGGGTCAAGTACCACTTTCGCAGCTTTCCCTATTTCTCTAGCGGAGTGCACCCAGTATTTTCTTCATAGAGTAATAAACGGACTATCAGGTGTACTACTACTTTCTGCCGAGCATGGCCAGTTAATACGATGTGAGACATAGTAAGCACGATTGCCCGTACGTTGGAAGCATCCTACTACCTAGGTAGAAGTAACTCAAGTTAGCCGACCAGGAAGATTTATAGGTTTGGTAGCTGGAACTACTCGCGGTCGAAGAATAGAATGGTTGAAAATTTATGAAAGTAGTGTTACGCCCTGAACGGCACAAATGTAAATTGCCTTATTATGTATCGCAGGCATGCATTGATTAACGCATGATTGGGTAGGAATTTTGTTTAGGGGGTGTCTTATAATCCTTTCCATCTGGCCCCAAAGAAATTCGTTGGGTTGACGCTGGTTGTGGTTTCAAAACGAAATCCCGGATCTTATTGGCAGAAAACCTATCCCCAGCCCTTGAAACAACATATATCATCAATCAAAGAGATCGAACTCTTATAGACATATGCGCCGGAGGTTCGGACTCCCCTCATATGTGCGTGGTGGATTAGTGCGTGTTCGAAAATAAATCTGCTCTTATCTCGAGATAAGGTGCGCACTGGCCATTCAACAATTGTTCGACTTTGGGCAGACGTCTAAGATTATTGGGGATAGTGTAATTATAACGTTCATGGTGTTATGGTCTACTGGCCACAGTAGCTGTAAAAAGTTTAGTATACATCTCAATTTCTTCGAGACTATGACTAGATCGACTACCAGGATGAATGGCTGGAATTCTGTTTCCTACTCAATGAAATGTTATACCTTGAAGCCAAGAACCACACTAGTGTCGGTAGAAGCATAACAATCTAAGGTTTCCGAACTCACATCGATCATTATACGATTTCCCTGACTTATTTCCATACCCAAACCCCTGATAATTTGGAACAATATTCAATGATTTACATGACTAGTTATCGACTTTCACCTGTTGAAGAGTTGCTTTGTGAAGGGCACAACCCAGCACTCTGCACATAGTAGGATCCAGCTTACAGCTTGTCAACAGTCATCAGTACAAGGCTGATATACACACAAGGGCCTTAGATCTGTTGAATCGTTCTAAACCGTTGGGAAGGCGATGCTTTAATCATTTGAAGTGCAAGCTTAAGTGTGTGACTGTGATTGGTTATCATGGCGTAAGTTTCTAGCAGGTGCCCCTAGCTCTTCGGAGGCAGGAATAATCTGAATTTACGATTAATTGGGTCAGCCAGAAGCACAAGAGCATGTATATAGGTGTATATATAATATATTCCTCGCATACCTCTATCACGATTCTAGGAAAATAAACTAACCTTGGGACTCATGTGTTCAATCCGATACCATTGATTCTCATTCCCACTGAATATCTCAGCTAGCCGGTCCGATTACTCTTCGAGCTCACTTTTAAATTTATACCCTCCATACATATACTTTCTGGTTCGAAACTCGATCCCCTACTAGAAGAGCAGCGAAGAGAGGGAACGCAAAGATGGCACAGACTCAGAATCCCCCCACTCTCTCTACGCCAACTGGAAGATATATCCGTAGGTTATATTCAAGTCTAGGTGTTATTATCTGATGTATACACTTATACTGAATGGATTACTAGTCATTACAAAGATATCCGCTAGGAACTTGAGGTCATTACAGACCGGCGAAAGGGGGATGATGTGTGCGTTCCTCAGACAAAAGCCAGAAGAGGAAGGAGTTGTAGTATTTTCGAGAACGCAATCACAGCTGCCACAAATGGGGCCTAAGTAAGTCCCAAACAGACTTCCCGACTCGCAGGTCGAGGAGTATAGCTTACATATTTTGAGAAACTTAGCTTATAGAGGCAGTACGTACGGAAAGAGGAGATGGTTTTGTTGAAATTTGCTATAAGCATATATACTCGTATACGTGTTTATGGGGCGGCGCTACATACATTATACACATGACGTAACTACATGTATGGTAGTCAGGGCTGAATCGCTCCCGTGCAAATAGAACATTTTTTCCATTGGGTTCGAGCTTAACCACAAGTAGTCGAACTCCCTACATATAATTTTATCAAACCATGGCAGCACATGACGTTATTTGTAGGTTGCAATACCGAGTATTGATTTTCTTTACCCCACAACTGATGATGGCCCGCAATCCCCAGTAATGGATATATTGTAGTGGACAACTAATTAAAGACATTTAAATGAAGGACTGTTTGACTATTCATCTTGAGGGAGGATTGGGTTCTTGCCCGGAACTCAATTGCGCAATTTGCGGAGCTGGATTAATGTAATCGTGTTTGACCAATTGCGTAGGCGGTTCAAAATCGACCACCACCGAATTGCTTACCATCATATACTTAATTTATACTATATTTGAATTAAATAAGTCTTTTGTACGATTAAGTAAATTTGCGCGATTGTCTTATTCCAGTCGTCGATAGGATTCAACCCGAAATCACCGTTCTACTATGTAGGTGAGGTAGGGCCTGTTGACGCATTCGGGAAAGCGTCTGAGTTTATCCAGACTACATGTAGCCGGTGCATGCATCATCGACCTACATGTACTTTATTGTCAAAAATATAAAGTTTTTCTCTCTAGGGACGTTGACATACAGCTAGGTAGGAAGCAAAAACTGCAGCGATTGATATGATACTGAGTCCTTGCCCTGAACGAAGTGAAGGGCCCTGTAAGGTAGGGACAGAGTCTGGGGGTGTCGTGCCGAGTGACATACAGCTACACCTCGCTATAAGAAACCTCGCTATAAGAAACCTCGCTATAAGAAACCTCGCTATAAGAAAACTTTGCTGTAAAAAAGAGCGCATAGGGTACACGCTCACAGTTCTACACTAAAATCTTACTTGCTATAAGAAATATTGGTGGAGATTTTGCTATAAGAAACAAAATCCGCTGCCACCTTGGCGTTTCTTATATCGAGGTGTGAAGCAAAACAGCCAAGCACAGTTTTCTCTTCTCTTATTGGTCAATTGCAAAGGCCTCTGCCCGTTGTGTCGCACATGCACCCCGCCTTCCTAGCCTTCATCAAACTAGGAGCTCGGCCAACACGATATCATCCAGAAACGCGGGCGATAAACTATGGCCGACGGTTTAGGTCTCGCAGCTAGCATCATCGCGGTGCTTCAAATCACAACATCGGTTGCATCTTTGAGTTACCAATACTTGAATAGCGCAATACGAGCGCCCGACAGTCTTCGCGAACTTACGCTAGAGTTTCAAACACTCATAGAAATCCTCTCGCGTTTGAAAATATGCGCACAAGACCCACAAGCAGTAACTTTACGGACAGTAAAAAACTCTTTGCATGTGTGTCATAAGGAGATGTTGGGACTACAAGAAAAGTTGAAACCTAGAAAAAGCTTTCTCGGCCGGCTACGATGGCCCTTGGACGAGAAAGATATTCAGGGATATCTAGGACGAATAGAAAGATTTAAGAGTTCTTTTTCACTTGCCCTAGAGATAGAACAGTTGTGAGTAAAGCCCTGTGTGCAATAAATTTGAAATGATTTAATTCGGCTGTGGATGTAGGGCTTGCACAAACCTAGTTGCGGACAGCGTTCAAAAGATGGAAATCGAGATCGAAAATATATCAAATAGTCAGAATTGTCAGACAGAAAGAGAAAAAGACGGTAAGATCAACTCCAATCGAAAGAATTCAAAGATATCCCAGCGCTAATATGGGACATGGGAATCCCTTGTGATCTGTCAGAAGCCCGACGGGATGCTCTGAATTGGCTATTTCCAGCGCCGTGCGACAAAAGGCATATAGAAGTCAGCAGTCAAAGAAAAAAGAATACGGGTCAGTGGATATTTAAAACACAAGAAGTTCAGGATTGGATTAAAGGAAATTCGAGTTGCCGACTTCTGTGGGGCAATGGTATCCGTGCGTACCCAGCTTATAGATCGATTCAATCGTAGTACAGTGTAGCAAGACTGATGTACATTACATGTATCTCTAGCGGGTGCCGGTAAAACATTCCTGAGGTATACCCATTTATAATTGTCGTATATAAAATTGCTCTAATGTTTGGCAGCTCGTTGATGATTGATCATATCGAAGCGATCAATGCAAACTACGGCGTTGGGTATATTTATTTTAATTTTCAGGAGCAAGGACAACAAACACCAATCGATACCTTTTCAAGCTTGGTGAAGCAACTAGCATTCAAAGCCAAAGTCCTACCTAAAGCAATTGAGAAAGCACACAATGACAACAAAAGGCTTATGCTTGATAAATTGTACGAAATTCTCTTAGAGGTTACGAGGTCATTCGCACAAACCTTTATCATTGTAGACGCCTTGGATGAATGCGATCAGGTGCTTCAGCGAGAAAGATTATTACCAATGTTTCATCGTCTAGGAAAGGCTGGTATAAATCTGTTTTTGACAAGTCGTGAACACCCAGAGGATATTCAAGAGTCATTTGCAAACATCACAAAGCTGAGGCTTTGGGCTAAGGATGAAGATATCTCAAGCTATATCGAACAAAGAATAGCAGATAACCCTCGAGCCGAGCGTCTCATAAATCGAGGTAATTCGGATTTGAAGGAAAAGATAGTTTCAGCCCTCCAAGACTGTGCCAAAGGAATGTAAGTTAACCTGAGATCCTTGCACGTGGGGCATCATGTCACCAATGAGTATAAATCAGGAGCTTAAGCAAATTTATTGTGCGTAGGTTTCTTCTCGTTCATTTTCATATTGAGTGTCTCTGCCAGCAGACAAACTTGAAACAGGTCCTCACGGAGCTTGAGAGGATCAAAAACTCGTCGAACGAAAATTACCCCATGGACCCCACCTACCGCAGAGCTATGGAAAATATCCGCATGCAGCAAAAGAGCGGCGTTAGACTCGCATTCAGAATCATTTCATGGCTTATAAAAGCTCAAAGAGTACTTACAGTTCGCGAACTACAACTTGCGGTATCAGTGGAGGAGGAGAATATCATTTTTGACGAAGATAGTCTACCAGACCGCAAGACCCTACTGGACGTCTGTGCCAGCTTAGTTAGTATTGATGAAACAAGTGATTGTGTTAGATTTGTGCATTACACAGCTCAGGAGTTTCTCACCAGAAACCAACTAGTCCCCGATGACGCGGATTTGCAAATGGCTATAGCTTGCACGACATTCCTTTCCTACGATATATTTGCTAAACCTTGGGCCAACAAAGCAGCCTTGTCTCGCTCTTATCCACTGCTGAGATATGCGGCCAAAGAACTACGATACCACCTTAAACAATGTGACGAGCCTCTAACAGAAGCGGTCATCAGTCGATTTATTCCGCGCAAAAGAAACATTGCTTTATGTCTTTATATCATCTCCAGGAGCGACGATGACACTGACTGGGAAAGCCTCATTCGTGGCTTCACTGAACTTGAGTTTGCAGCTTTTCTCGGACATTCCTCTGTTGTCATGCGTTTGTTGAGACAAAAGAAAGATACCAACTCACATTACCCGAAATTAAATTTAAACCAGTCATGTTGCTTTGGAATTTCCAGGAGTTATGGCGACTTCCGCTCTGCGGCACACAGAGGCAGTCAAGCGATAGTCAAACTACTTCTTGAAAACGGCGCCGACCCCAACTCTCATCGGGATGGAAGAACATTGCTGTACATGGCAGCAGATGACGAAGCCATAGCCAAGCTACTTCTTGAAAACGGTGCCGACCCCAACTTTCATCATGCGGATAGGAAGACAATCCTGTGCAAAGCAGTAGGTAAAGGCAATGAAGCCGTAGTCAAGCTACTTCTTGAAAACGGCGCCGACGTCAACGTTCACAGCCCGCACGGCCTGAACGGAGACACAGCACTGAGTAAAGCAGTACGCGAAGACGAAGAAGCGATAGTCAAGCTACTTCTCGAAAACGGCGCCGGCGCCAACACTCAAGATGCGAACGGAGACACAGTTCTATACGTGGCAATGGATAACGGTAATGAAGCCATAGTCAAGCTTCTTCTTGGGAGCGGCGCCGATCCCAACGCTGAGAACAAATCGGGAAGCACGATCTTGCACCTGGCAATAGGCAAGAGCAATGAAGCCATGGTCAAGCTACTTCTTGAGTATGGTGCCGATGCCAGAGCTCAGGGTAGATCCAGAATGTCGCCCTCAACTGTGCAGAGCTTAATGGCCATAAAGAGATTATCGAGCTACTTAGGGGGTTCCATCAAAACTGAGATTCAGCATCCAAAATCCAAAGAAAACGACGGTGCAGCCAGCATAAAGTAATATAATCCCCGCCATATTTCTTGGGACTTTTCTTTTTCCTCGCAGACCGTCATCTCTCTGCATCGCACGTACACACAGAGGACGAGGCAATAGGGCTTATGGGTAGATTTTGGGCGGTGGTAGTAGTAGTCGTGGTAATGGGCTACTCGGGGGTTCTGGCCCGGGGGGGGGGGGGGGTAGGATTGATCCTGGCGATATGTTCCGGAAGATGCTCGAGTGCGATCCCATGATTCTACTTTTTTTTCTTTTCTTTTCATTTCATTTTATTTCTTGTTCTTTTTCATTTTTCTTCTTTTTCTTTTTCCTTCTCTCCATTTTTACTCTTCGGGTGGTGGAGATTGTTTTTTTTAGAGTGGAGGAGAGCGCAAGGGCGGTTTTGGATATATACGGTTGATGGATGCCATTCCAGTTGGCCTTGAGGGGTGGGATTTCTTGGGTGCGATATGTTGGACTGCTATACACTTTTGAATTTGGGAATTACTTTCGAGCTTGGGTCGTGTTGAGGGAGGAAGGGAGTTATGGCCCGATGTCCTTATGTTTTTTCTTTTTTTCTTTCATGGAACAAGGCGGTGTCGGAAGAGGGTGTTTACAGTTTACACAGCTTTCTAGATGCAACCTTTTATTCATTGTACTTTTTTTTCTTTCCAGCGCCCATCGCCTGATATTTTCCGCCCTACCTAAGCAAAGACAGAAAAAGAAGAAAGCGTAGCGCAACCATCCATCCATCCACCTAACCACACCCACCCCGCAATTCCACCTTTTCCTCTCCCCTCTCTCCCCCTACCCAACAACAACCTCCTCCCTCTCCTCCACCACCTCCTCCACAATCTCCTCCACCACGCGATCCTCCTCGACAACAACCGTCTCCTCCACGCCGCGCTGCACACGCACCTCCGCCACGACGCGCTCGCGCCACGCGCGCCACTCGTTGAGCATGCGCATGCGCGCCTCGACAACCTCCTTGTTGGCCGCCTCGGACTCGAACAGGTCCTCCTCGTCGAAGGCCTTGGAGTACTCGCGCAGGTTCTTGCGGATCGCCTTTTGCGCGCTGGGGGTGAGGAGGGTCGGCGGGCGGGGGCGCCACAGGAGTTGCTTGAACTTGTCGATGTGTTCTTCGCGCAGGAGGGCGCCGCGGAAGTCCCAGAGGTGGTAGCCGTTCTCCATCTGTGGGTGGGGGGAGGGGTGTTAGTGTGTGGTTGGGGGTTATTGGTAGGGGATTTGGGGGGGGGGGGGGTTGGTTAGGGTTGTGGGCTGTGGGTTGTGGCTTTGGTGGGTTGTAATTAGAGGGTGAGTGTAAGGGGATGAATGATGGGTATAAAGTTAAATGAATGATAGTTTATGAAGGAATTGAGTAATATGTAGTTTGCGCAAGGAAACGAGTGATATTATGTGAGTGGCAGCCGTGTATGAGCACATGAGTGATAGCCCATGAAGCACAAACCATAGCAAAGAGCAACTCAAAGAACAACCACAAACGAAAAACCAAAAAAAAAAAAAAACCAAAAAAAAACACAACATACCGGAGTCTTCCACATACTCGTACTAGTCGCCACATACCTCCCCGTCGGATCCCACTCCACATCCGTCACGCCATAATGCTCTCCGGTCCCCATAAGCATCAAATTCGCCGCCACCTCCTTCCCCGCCTTCCCCCCCTCCAGCTTCATCTTCTCGCCCTCGAAATCACAGTCCCAGAACTCGAGCTCAAACGACATCTGGCTGTGCACCGTGGCAACCAACACGAACCGCCCCTTGGGACACCAGTAGATTGCATTCGAGTTCTTCCGCTCCACCGTCTTGACCAGCGTAAACTCCCCCACCGCGCCCGCACCCCCTCCCTTGAGCTTCTCGGGCGCATAAAAGTGCACCGCCATCTTTGGCGCTGCCGCGGCCCCCGGAACGGCGTCGTCGGCGGTGATAAACACGAAGCGATCGCCGTTGGCCGGCTCCCAGGCGAAATTGACGATGCTGGCTTTGAGCTCGATGATCTCGACGGGGATGTTTTTCTCGCGCAGCCGAAAGAACTCGAGGGAGGTGAAGGTGCTCTTTTTGGTCTTTGTGTGGCGGTCGACCTTGACGCAGAGGTATTTTCCGGACGACTGCCAGTGCAGCTTGCAGTCGGAGACGTTGACGAGGTTGCGCGTGCGGATGACGGTCTTGGAGGGGAGGGACATGAGCGTGACGCGCGCGGTCTGGTTGTTCATTTCGGGCGTCCAGAAGGCGAGGATTTGGGTGGTGGGGTCTTTGGCGTCCTTTGTGGTGGTGGGGGCGGCGGCGGCCTGCGGGGACCATTCAAAGTCGACGACGCCGTCGATCTTGATTGCCTTTTTGCCCAGGAGCACCATGGAGGGGGTCTCGAATACCTGGATCGCCTGGCCTGGCACAACCCTGGCGACATAGCGGTCGTCGGCGCTCCACTTGAACACCGGCCACGACACCTTCTTCCTCACAACCTCAATCAAATCCTCCTCCGGATTCTCCAATATCGCCGCAAAACTCCGCAACAGCCCGCCCGTCTTGATATCCCACACAATAAAGCTCTTCCCCTCCTCGTCCGGGCCAAGCGGGAACCCCGCCGGCAGCGTCTCGGGGAGACTAATCGGCTTGTTACTCCACGTCACCAAATACCGCTCACACGGCGAGAAGTCCACCAGGTTCACCGCCGGGTGCGCGAACCGCATCACGCGCTTCCACGTCGGCCCGCCCCACAGCTGCACGCCCTGCTCGTGCACGCTCGTCAGGAACGTGCCCTGCGGCGACCACTGCACGAAGCTCTCTGTCCAGCCGAGACGGTCGACGTCGGCGTCAGGCGTGTCCTTCTTGCGGTTCCAGAACACGCCGACGCTGTCGCCGCGGTACATGGCGAACTGGTCGCGCGCGGAGGGGTCGGAGAGCCAGGAGCGCAGGTGCTCGCTCTCGCTGAAGGGCTCGATGGACGGGGGCGTGTAGGTGTCGGAGATGCGGCCGGCGCGGCCAAAGTGGTCGATGTCGGTGAGCTTGTTGATGGACATGGTGTGCTTTTTGTCGAGCGCGATGCCGTGCAGGGTTTTGATGGCGAGGAGGGCTTGTTCGGGGGTTTCGTACTCGACGAAGGCGTAGCTGCGGTGCGTTAGCGTTGTCTCATCATGTAGATGCGATAGCATCACGCATCGTAGCATCGTGAACACGCAACAGCACCGCAACACCAAAACCACACCCCCCCCCCCAGATAAGAATCACAACACTCACCCCTCCGTCATCCCACTCTCCTCATTGACCGGCATAAACACAGCATCGGGCTTCGTGCGCCCGGCCTCGCCGAGCTTCTTGCACAGGAACTTTATGAGGCGCGGCTTGTTCTCCTCCGAGACGACGGGGCAGCCGTCGACGACGACGAACGTGTCGAGGCCCTCGTCGAGGCGCACTTCGTGTTGTTGTCGCAGGTCTGTTTGGGGGTGTTATGTTAGCGGGGTGGATGTGGGGGGGGGGGGGGGAGATTGTGGTGGGGGATGGATGGTGGGGGATGGATGGTGGGGGAGATGGAGGAGAGACAGAACCGGAGAAATCAATATCCTCATCATCATCATTCGCGTTGCTGTGGGGCGGCATTGTAGCTTGGTGGATTTTTATTTATTTATGTTTTTCTATATCTGGTATAGTTAGTGTTGGTGGTGGGACGCTGTCGATGTGAGGATTTTTTTTCTGGTTGGTGGGGGTGGGGTGTGGGGAACGCAAAGCAGTCCGGTTGTGGTGGGCAGGTTACCCTGTCTAATGTTGTGGGCGATGGCTGGATGTGTGGGTGAGACAGGGGTGGGACATAGCATGACCGGGTGTGTAGAAGCTTCCCCCATCTTTGGCGATCGGCAGAGACCTGCAGTACTAATTGCAATAGTAATAATATAACCGGCACTCGAGAATCTATTAACCACGGTACTGCAGATATCACTAGCCGTTACCCTGCCCTCATCCCACGCCCTGTCAGTCAACCACCCCTGTCAGTCAACCACCCCTGTCAGTCAACCAACCCCACCGTGGGGTCAAACCTTCCTTCCTTCTCCTCCTTCTCTTCCCTTCCTTCCTCCCCTTCCCTCCCTTCTCTTCCCTCCCTCCCTCCCCTTCCCTTCCTTCCTTCCTCCCCTTCCCTTCCAACCAACCAACCAACCAACCACACAACACAACACTCCCCCGAAACCCCCCCCCAAATGACCGACCCCGACCTCACCGCCAAAGAATGGGCACTAATATCCGGCACCGCCCTTCCTCCCCCCTCACCCCCGACACCACTCTCCCTCGTCTCCGCCGGCGACTTCAACGCACTCTTCACCCTCCCCGAAACACAGTCCCTCCTCACCGCCGGCGACACCGAATACCTACACCGCACACTCGACTACCCCGGCTACCTACAGCAATGCCTCTCTGCGCGCCCCGACACCCCCCCGCACACCCTCCTCGCGATCGGCATCGCCGCCCTCTGGTCCTTCATCCAAGCCAACGTCACCGGGCCGCCTCTCCCATTCACCCCCGCGGCACTCCTCCTCCCCCCCAACACCACCACCGACGCAGCCTTCGCAACACGGCTAGAAAAGGCCACAGTCACAGCACTCACCGTCGACGGCGAGACCGCCTACCACCTCATGCCGCACGCACTCCTCCTCTCACTCTCAAAGACGCTGCTCAACGCCCCAGCGGCAACTCACGGCGTAGCGACGGCACCGTGGTGGCGGCTGCGCGTCAACTTCTGGCACCAGCGCGTGCTGTCTGAGGCGACGGCGGGGCTGCACGACGTCATCTACGAGGACGCGAAGGCTGTTGCCGTCTTGGCCGAGGCGCAGAGCGGCGCCGTGCAGGCGAGGTTCTTGGTGGAGCGGGCGCTGGTCGATACGTATTTCGGGCACGACACAAAGGCGCTGCGGGGGCTGGAGGAGGCCGCGGAGCGGACGGGGATGGTGTATGCGCTCACGGGGGTGATGGGGAAGAGGACAAAGTTTCAGCAGACGGATACGAGCCAGCTTGTGGTGCTGGCGAGGAGTAAGGAGGAGGAGGAGGAGGGCAGCGGTGAGGAGGACAAGAAGGCGGAAGAGAGTGCGCCAAAGGCGTTGAAGCTGGACGATGATACCTTGTTGGAGGCTATTGCGTTCACGCCAAAGAGTACGGCGGTGGTGGAGGATGCGCAGGGACTGCCAAAGGAGCTGCAGGAGCTGGATCCAAACGACCAGCCAAAGCTGCAGCCCCTCGATGCGGCCATCCTGCTACTCGTTGCAGAGACAATCAAGAACACCAACCCCGCCGAGGGACTGACACGAGAAGAGATGATGCCCTACGCCGAGCGGGTGCTCAAGCACTCCACCAACTGGGAGGTCTACACACTCGGCCTCCTCGTGCGCTCCAAAATGGAGGGCTACCGCTCCCGCACCGTCGAGCGCGGCCTCCTCCAGCTGCAGGCCGTCGTCGACCAAGTCATCGCCGACACCACACAATCCACCGACTCCACCACCACCACAAACACAACCACCACCTTCCTCCCGCGCGCAAAAGAAGACGAGGCCGCGCCCGTCCGCGACCGCCTCCTCTACATCCACCAGCTCACAGTCCCCACCCGCTGGGACCTCGAAGCCGAGCTCGCCTCCCGCTGGATCTCCATGGGCGGCCTCCGCACCGCCCTCGAGATCTACGAGCGCCTGCAAATGTGGCCCGAAGTAGCACTCTGCTGGGCCGCCACCGAGAAGGAGGAGAAGGCGCGAAAGGTCATCCACGCACAACTCTTCCACCCAGACACCACCACCGACGAGATCTCCCCCCCCCCCGCGAACGCCCCGCGGCTGTGGTGCATCCTCGGCGACATCGACAACAACCCGAGTCACTACGAGCGCGCGTGGGAAATCTCGGGCGGCAGATACGCCCGCGCGAAGCGCTCCCTGGCGCGTCACTACTTCTCGGCAAAGGAGTATCGAAAGTCCGCCGACGCGTATGCGGCGTCGCTGCACGCGAACCCGCTCAACCATGCGTCGTGGTTCGCGCTGGGGTGCTGCCACCTCGAGATGGAGGACTGGGACGCTGCCGTCGAGGCCTTCACGCGCACCGTCTCCATCGACGAGACCGACGCCGAGGCATGGTCAAACCTTGCCAGCGCGCTCCTACACCGCACCACGCAGCTCCCCGCACAGCCGGAATGGCACGCTGGTGACGGCGACGACGACAACGAGGCGCAGAGGCAGGACCAGGCCGACTTTGAGCTCGTCCAGAAGGAGAATAATAAGCGCAATGCGCTCGCGGCGCTGAAGCGCGCGAGCACGAGTAAGTACGACAGCTGGCGCATCTGGGAGAACCTGCTCATCATCGCCGCCTCTGTTGTTCCGCCGTCGTGGACGGACGTGGTGGTGGCCATGCGCAGGATCATTGATCTGCGGAAAGACAGCGCCGGCGAGAGCTGCGTGGACGTGGACGTGCTCGAGATGCTAGTGCGCCACGTCGTGACATCAGAGCAAGACGCCAGCAAGCCGGGGCTGGCAAAGATGGTGGTGGAGCTTGTGGAGAAGGAGGTCACGCCGTTGATTACGCACCAGGAGCGGCTGTGGCGCATCGTGGGCAAGGTGGCGCTGTGGAGGGGGCGGCCGAGGGATGCGTTGGAGGCCGAGGAGAAGGCGTGGAGGGCGGTGCAGGCGCGGCCGGGGGTGACGGATTCGACGGAGGGGGCGTGGGATGGGTTGGTGGATGCGACGGTGGAGTTGGTGGGCGCGTATGAGAGCTTGGGGGGGATGGAGAGGACGGAGGGGCTGGGCGCGGGGGAGCCGGTGGCGAGGGATTGGAGGTTTAAGGCGAGGAGTGCGGTGAGGGGGGTGATGGGGAGGGGGAAGGAGTCGTGGGAGGATAGTAGGGGGTGGGAGAGACTCAAGGAGGCGTTGGAGGGGCTGAAAAACTAGGGGTTTTGTTGTAGATAGATCTTTTCTTTATCGTCGTTCCCTTTGTTGTGTGCTTTGGTCTTGTCGGTTTAAATAGGGTAGAATAAAAGTTCTTTTTTTTCTGGTTGTAAACTCTTCCGCTAGCTATATGTTATGGATTCCTGTCCAGAATTATAAACTGCCAAGCTTAAGTATATTCCGTAGTCCAGGTCTTTAGCCTGTCCTGTTGGTATTAAATATTTGGTAGCGAAGACGGGGGCGGTGGGGTGAGATAGGAAGGGGTAATGGGGGATCGGTCCTGTACATTAGCTAGAAGTCCCCCCATCTCTTTCCTTAGCGTTCCATCAATAAATTATAAAGAAATTTAGATCTAGTAGATATACGAACGAGTCGAAAAGGCAGTGTAGAGCGAGAGAGTTAAATGAGTTGATCCGTCTATCGACATGGAGCCCAGTCAGCTATATAGCCACGTATTGGACAGTTGAGTGTTGACACGGCAGTGGCATGTGTCGAGATACATGTAGCAATGATAAGTTTCGACAGAGACAGGTTAATTCGGACAGCTCACCTGCATCTACGGCCAACAATGGGATGCCAAGCCCCGAGTGACATACCATGACCCTACCCGTCCCCGGGGGGGGGGGGTATGCAACCCGTTCGATCGTGGAAACGCTCATGAAAAAAACCGCCAGGAAATAAAGTTCCCACAACCGTTTATTTGGTGTAGATACAACGGCTAAAAGGAACAAAGAAAATATAATAAACGGCAGAAAGAAAAAAGAAAAAAAAAGTTGTAGATGTGGTTCTGGCCTGGCGGCGTGTCCAAGTCAAGTACACCTATATATATACATGGCTGCTTATACTGGGCCGCTTTTCAACCCTGGGTTTCTAGATGTTATTTGGGCGGTTGCCATATAGATCTATCCATTCCCTGGTACCATCCGGCCCCGCCCTGTACATGTGTCGAAGCAAGCACCATACCAAGCGTCAGACCACATAACCACACGGCCCAGTCTAAGCCGAAGATACACAGATTGGCCGACGACATGTATGTTAAAACACGTTCCTCAAAGGCTACGTGGCTGATCTAAGCGGTGAAGCATACGTACGTATTAGCCTCGATGTCTATATGTTAAGCTGCGACTACGCGATTCAACCATCTTGATCTCGGCCATCATTCATTCCGCGGCTGTTTTTGTTTTTGTTTTTGTTTTGGGTCTCGTCAGCGGGACGTATGTACGGACTGTTCTCATCAGGGGAGCTACAGGCCTGGGAGGGTGTTGTTACATGCACCTTGGGGGGGATTGTGTTGCGTTGCTTACATGTACTTTATAGTCTGGCCCAGCTGCAGGTATGCATGTCACATCACAACCCATCACTCGGCCCTTACGTCACGTGCACGGCTGGCCGTGGAAAAAGAACCAGAGCAAAAAGTACACCACGATCAATCCACAACTACACACCCAACGAGATACAGATATCGATAAATCCAAGAGTACGTTTTGGTATAAGCTAGGCTAGATAGATAACCAGTACTAAACTACACATGTAGAAATCCCAAAAGAGACAAGACAAAAAAAAAAGAAAAAAAGAAAGATATAATGCACAAATTAACCATACTCCACACTGTACCACTAAAACCCCGTCCTCCTCTTCTTCCTCCCCGCCGGCTGCCGCCCCCCATGCCGTCCCCTCTCAACCTGACTCATCACCCCCATCCCCGTCCCCACCTGACTACTCGCTATCCCAACCCCCACACCCCCCCCCTGCGTCGCCGCCCCCACAGCCACCACCGCCGGCGGCTGCGACCCCCCCGCCCCCAAACTCCAACTCTCCACCTCCCCCCTCAACCTCCCCACCTCCCCCTCCCCCCCCTCCCTCCTCCTCCTCCTCCTCCTCCGCGCCCTCGCCGCCTCCCCCTCCTCATCAGCCACATACTCCACCGCCGCAGGATCCTCGCCCACAACCCACCGCCCCAGCACGCCCGCCAGGTTCTCTGGCAGCGTGACCCGCGTGGCTACATTGGCGTACGTGCGGATGCCGAGGATGTGCTCTGCATCTGCGTCCGCGTCTTGTGGTTGTGGCTGTGGTTGTAGGTTGACGCCGAGTGTGGCGAGGAAGAGGTCTGTTGCCAGCGCGCGCGAGAGACGTTCGCGCCGGAGGCGCGCGCGCGGGGGCGTGTGTGCGGGGAGGGGGGTGACGAAGGAGTGCAGGATGTGGGTGTAGGTTTGTTCGATGCTGATGCTGGGGGGTGTTGACTCTGTGGTGGCGAGGAAGTCGTCTGCGGCGGCAGGGGAGGGGGGGGAGGGGAGGAGGCAGCGGAGCTGGTACGGCGCGAGGTCGGGGTCCGCTGTGAGGAGGGTGTGTATGGATGTTTGGAGTGCAGCCAGATCGTCATAGAGCATAGCGGGGCGGTGCAGGTTGAGCAGCGTGATGATCCCGAGGTCGCCGCGCGTAAGACGGTTCGTCAGTGCCGTCTTGAGGCGCGATGTGGTGGCGGCGATGGAGTGCTCTGGATCGTCTTCTGAGGCGGTGCGCAGTGTTGGGTCCGTGCGTGGGAAGGCGTGTTTGTAGAGCGCGCGGAAGTTGACTCTGTTTTCTTCGGCGGGCGCGGAGGAGTGGGGGGGGTCGTCGATGTCGATGTCGGAGTCGGAGGAGTCGGGCTCGGCGGTGGTGGCGGGGATGGTGTGTGCGCTCTTGACCTGGCGGGTATGGCGGTTGCGGGGGGGCGCAGTGTGGTGGAGAGGACCTTGTTGCTGTAGACGCGCTGGATGAGCTCTAGTTCGGGGCCTGTGCTGAAGGCGGTGAAGAAGCGGAGGTGCTCGTCGGCGAGGAGGGCCTCGCCCGCCTCGTCTGTGGCGCCGCGCTGCTTAAGTGGGCATTGGCGCACCGCGAGGCCGAGCTGTACGGGGACCGATGCGTCGCGGGGGGCGAGGGCGGGCACGGTGGTGGGGCGGCCGAGGGTGGTGGGGAAGTCCTCGGCGGTGTTGGGGTCGAAGCGGAAGGAGGTGATGAGGCTGTTGAGGCGCGAGTAGAGCAGGGCGGTGGTGGTGGTGCGGTTGATGGTGAGGAGGCTCATGGCGAGGGAGATGTCGTTCTGGTGGCGGTAGTGCGGGAGGGTCATGATGGGCTTTGCGGAGTGGCGCAGGTCGAGCCAGGAGAGGGTGGCGGAGGTGAGGAGGAAGACGTCGTGGGTTTGGGTGGAGGCGGTTTCGGGGCCGCGGTGGAGGTCGAGGAGGTGGCCCTGGGCGATGCCTTGGTAGACGGGGAGGGCGATGTCTGCGCGGGTGGAGGGGACGTTCTGGAGTGGATATATGTGATTAGTGTCGTAGATATAGAAATAATGAATATATTCCCCTCATCTCGAGATAGCTGTGCGGAGGCACAGATAGCTGTGCAGAGACAGCTCACTCACCCTGATATCAAACAGCCCCGCCCTCCTCCGATCACACGCAAGCACAGTATTCACATCCCCGCCCCACAGCAATCTCCCCCACCCCGTCCCTCCCTCCGCGCCACCCACAAACCCCCGCCCCGTCTCCGCCACCTTCACATCCGACCTGACACGCCAATCCCTCGCCTGCGCGCCCTCGAGATCATACACGCGCCACCTCCCGCCCTCGTCAATGATGCCAAACTGCTTCTCGTACCACGGGTTAAACGCGACATGTGCATGCGCCCTCTTCCCCGTTCCGCCCGCCACACTCGCCAGCGGCACCGCCGCAAGCCGCGTCGCCCGCCCAGGCAATGGCGCCTCCAGCCGCCGCTGGCGGAATAGCATTGTGCTGCTTGCCGTGCGCACGGCCATGTTTGCTAATCACCACACCACACACACATGAGCACAGCACAGAAACAGCTTTTATTGATACCATACAACAACAGCAACGACAGCAACAGAAAAACCCAACGACGACAGCACTCACATTTCAACTCCCCCTCCTTCCCCGCCGTACAAACCTGCCTCACCCTCCCCGCACACTCCGCCACCCTCTCCACCCCCTCCACGCCACACACTCCCACCCCCATCCCCTTGACCCCCTCCACCCCGCGCCACCCCTCCACAACACTCCCCATCCCCACCTCGCTCCCCACCACCCCCATCGCCACCACCGCAGTCGCCACATACCGCCCCGCCCGCCCCTCCTCGTGCGCGCCCCCAAACGCCAGCAGCGCCCCGATAGTGGGATCCAGGATCTCGGCGTGTGTCGTGACGACCTGGCTCTCGGCCAGCAGACCGTCAATGTGGCCCACGGCCGCGCCCGTCTCGGGCGCGTCTTGCGCGAGGCACCGGTACCACCAGTCGCGGTCGAGGTACTTGATCCCCGGGCGGGTGGTGTTGGTGGGGTGGTAGGTGCGCGGGAGGAGAGTGGTGGGCGGGGTGAGGGCGTGGAGGGTGTGGTCTTGGTCTGGCGCGCGTGGTTAGTTGGCTGTAGAGGGAGAGGATTTGGGGGGGGGGGGGGGGTACCAGCTGTGGGTTCGCGGTATTGGTGCAGCCATTTGCGCAGCGTGGGGGAGTAGATTGGCGGCCGGTTTGGGTCGGTGGTGAGCATTGAGGTTTGTAGGTGTGTGTGTGTGTGTTCTGTGTCGCGGAGTGGCGACCCGGGTATGGAGGTTTTAACTTTTTGACGTGAACTGACGTAGATCCCTAACCCTGGCTGGCTAGGGTCCAGTCCAGCGCCAAGGATCTGCAAAATACATCGCAGATCTATGCAGAAGAGAGATGATAGGTTGGTTTGTTTAGCGACTGATGCACGACGACATTGAAACCCCCAGGGTTCCAGTCTTTGCTTGTTGCTAATTGGTGAGGGTGGTGGTGGGTTTGGGTGCAGAAACCAAAAATAAAAAAACAGCCCTTCGAGTATATATTATCCCCGAGTATCACGGCTTTTTAGGCCCCAAGCTGGGGATTAATCAGGGCCCCCCGGAAGAGGTGGCCCTTGGGCTTCAAGGCTTGATTGTATTGTAATATCGGACCTGCAGTGGTTGCGATACCACAACATAGCACCCCCCAGTTAGTATAGTCGGCGAGTGATATCCTGTGATGCGACCGCCTCGCAATATCAGCAGAACATATGCATACTACGTAGCAAAGACGTCAAGTCTCCGGGTTCCGTGACTCTCAATCTTGGTCACCCCGTGGCCATGATGCTAGAAAACAGCCTACAATTCCAAGTGACCCGGGGCTTTGCGTCTTTGCTTTCCAGGCTGATTGATGATGATTGAGTCATGCCATCCACATCTGATCGAGGTCTGAATCGATGATGAGGAGAAGAGTGCTCCACTACGCAGCTAGCCCCCCCCCCCCCTCCCGCCGTCGCTCGATGGATGTGCCACATATCACGCCGCTGGCAGAATTCATAGCGCCCCCATGAAAGAGCTCGTCACAAGCATCATGCACGCGCGCGCCAACCACTCGGTTGAGCTAGTCCCCTTGAGCGGGCTTCATGTAACGACAACTAACTACAAACCCCATCGTTCTAAACACATACAACCCCAGATGTGGTTCTACCGTTGCCTACATGTATGCGCGCATGAAGATACATGTATCCACCTACATAGCCATGCCATGTTACTTACAAGTACGTATGTACATGTAGTTATAGCCTCACAACCCCTACCAGCACAGCAGGCTGGCTGGTCGCCGCGCATACCCGCTAATGGCTATAGGATCTTTGAATATACATGTACCCTATTCCGCCATCTGATAGTAATGGTGTCCAGCATCACCGGTGGTGGTTCGAGTCCCTACAAGGCTGGAGGGCTGTGTAGCTGCGACTAGGTAAAAAGGGGGTGAAAGCAAGGTGTTTTTTTTTTTTTTTGGTTGTTATACTAGGGAGTGTGTCGGGGTTGTTGTTCGCGTTTCGCATTTCTCTTTTTCTTCTCCCCGTGATCGCCGCGCGCGCGCCACAAGCAGCCGCAAGGTTGAAGCGGAGGCACACCAAGCAAGACTTCCCCCCTACCCCCCCAAACCGCACCATCCACCCCCCAAAACTACATCCCCCCGCCCCCATCCACATACGTGGTCACCACCAGCCCACCCCCGCCACCCTAAAATCGTGCGCACCACACCCCCTGCACCCGGTGCGCACAACCACCCGCTCCCAGTACAGCCACGTACGAGCACCCCCTCAACCCCCGATCCCCATCCCGCATGCCAGTGTTCTCGAAACAACAGCTTCCGCCGCGCAACAGCCGGACATCTCATACTGTGGTAGCAGCTGAGATTGAAATTAGGGTCATGGGATATCACTCGCCATGATTAGCTGAGATGTCAATGATCGATCTGCAGGTTTTTCTTGTCGGCCGGCACGCATAGTCCAGTGTAAGAGCTAGCCATAGGTGTCTAGTGAGGGTGGCTAAAGACAATTTTGATTACCGCCATTCTCATAAAATTAGGCCCAGCTGATCAGCGTCGTAATGCATAGTGTGAATATTCCACTCCATTCCCGCTCTAAGTATGTAATTCTCATAGCTTCACTAGACAATCCTGCAGAAAGTTTAAACTCAGGTGAATACCTGAGCTGGTATATACCTAACGAAGTAATCGTGCTTAGCTTTGCAAGATTTGCACCATGCATTACGACGCTCAGCCGGGCATAAGCTTTATGAAAACAGCTGTAACCACTGCAGCCGGTGAACTGACCATCGAGCAAGTATATAGTACGTGCACTGGAGGTGAAAAGTGGATATGGGAGAGATTCTCAAACGAAAAGAAAAAAAAACCTAGCCTAGCTAGGTAGTGTAAAGTAAAACGATTAGTTCCAGACCCCAAACTCTAGAGCACAAAAATAATATACCAAGTGACCCAAGCCAGTTTATGGGCTCAATTCCATACAACACGCTTACCAAGGAGTGAGGCCAACCGGGGGTCTCCCGGTTAAACTACCTTGGGAGCCGTATTCAGAAAATCTAGCTATCTACAGACTGTGAAAACACCAGAAAAAGGTATAGGAGGGGTCACGTCCGGGAGGCAAAAGGTTCATGGGATAAGGGTTAGGTTTATTACCGAGTAAAGTTGTCTACTAGCTCACAGTCGTGAGAAGGGATAGCTTGGTGTAAGGAGGAGTTAAAAAAAATTTAAAAATATAGCATCGGGATGCAAATGGGACACATAAAAGTAGTTTCCACTCGGGGACAAAAGTATATGGTGATCGGTCATATCCTCCCCCAAGGTGGGTGTCGAACACACGACCCGGCGGTATTCGACACGCTCAAGAACTAAGGTCGCATCCCCGACGACTACTGCGCCAGACGTGGTGGTGGCTCTCAGCTCATTTCCGTACTTGAACCGGCCAATGCAGGGTTAGGTGTATAAAGTACTTGCCACAAAGAAACATGTACGATGCGACGGATTTTTTTAAGTACTTGTGTACATGTACCTAACCCCTTCTCTGAATGCTATCACATCAATCATCTCTTGCAAATTGCAAACTACTCCCCCGTCTCTACCTCCCTAGACAAGACAGTCGACCACACATCCAAGATAATACGTAGATACGCAGATGAGATCGTCAACGGCACATGCACTCACTACTTGTACCCTCCAGTTCCTGAGGGCGGGAAAGGAGGCCGGGTTTTGCGACGAAATACGGACCCTATTCGCTTTGATCAGGGTGCCTAACGAGAACGTGTTGCTAGACTGCTACATCTACATCTACACCCACTCCGAAAACCCCGCAGTGAGACACAGACATTCATGAAATTGCCACTACTGCTACCAACAGGTTACAGCTAATATAGCCCTGACTAGGCGCAGCTACCTGTGTCTATAGCATGTTCACTGATGGTGAAAGCCTCGCTGGACACGAATCAAGCTCTCGTCACAAGAGGGACAGCCGAAATCCATTCACATCTGGTGCTCGTGAATCCCGGGTATGGTGCACGATCTCGATGGACAGGAATTATACAATGAAGCTCCATCGCCTTTCGCTTCCAACCCCCTCAGCTAGGGTTCGGTTTAAAGTCGTTTCCTACTGCCGTCTTGAGACGGGGTTAGTGGAGCCGGACTCGTTGCAAATGTTGGGGGCCGCCCCGTTGGCAACCGGAGGACCGGCCGGCGGGCTTCCTGGCCGGGTTTGCCCTCAGCGCTGCTCCCGCAGGAGACATATCACTCCTTGCAGACTACACTGGAAGAAAAGGCTAACGAAATGGCGGTCACACATGCATTGGGGTGGGTGCAGAATCTAAGCTAACTAAAACTTCCCTCGACATTTCCTATGAAATAAACAATAGTATCAAACTAGAAGCAAAATACTAGCATGGCATACACATAAGCCGCGCAATATGGAGGGGTAATAGTTTATGACCCGATACCCAGGAATAAAAGCTCCTAAAATACGCTGGAGCTATATAACCAGCTAGAGAAACAAACATTGTTAATCACTCCAGCTGGAGATGTCAAGCGTGAAAAAAGAAAGACAGACTGAGAAACTTGATGACATCGGAATGTGCCTTTTCATGCGAGCTAGACATGGGCCTTCCTTCAACAATCCGGGGGAAATCTCGCAGGAAAACGCAGGCGGAGAATTGGCTGGAGGCTAACTCGGGTTTAAATGAGATGACAAAAGTAAGGAATATGTTAGAAACACCACACACCTTTGCCCCATGCCTTCTCATAAATTTACTGGATCAGTGAGTGGGAGCAATGATTAGCTTTACACTAAGCTTATCGACCCACCAAGCTGGCCAGCACAAGCCCCAACAAACAAACGTGCGTTCCACAAGCTCGAAGAGGTTATATATCATTTGAGTTTACCAAGAATTCTTTTCTTATTATAGGGAGTAACCGATTCGAAACTGCGCCTTGCATCGTATAGCAAACACATCAGCCCTTCGAGACGAGTGATCTATGATTGGATTCCTTCCGTCGGGATTTACAAGTGGTTACAAAGAGCACTATCCTAGCGATCTAGAGACAAAAACACTGGGAATTCTGTTTAAGATAGATTTTGGCTTGCTTGCCTGAAGTGTTTTTTTTCTGGCCTTCCTCTTTTTTAGCCAGCATGATGAGGATTTTCATTACTGCTGGGCGCGAAATTTAAAGCGTTTGGATAGGACCTGATTGAAACAATTAGCTGGTACTGTAAGACTGTGAGTAATCCAAAAAGCGATTCTGATAATACATATAAAGATCCTAATGCTCTTGAACCCTTCTATTGTGTACCTTATGACCGCACCTTCAAAGACCGGGAGGGTATGATATACGAGGCCTATTCCTGGTACGTACCAGTTCTTCGGTTACTTGTTCTCTAGAAAACGCTTTTCGCCTATGTCTACAGTAGTCAATACGATATATTACCAACTCTTCAATATATTATTAAGGTTTTTCCATGGACAAGAAATCTACACGTTCACTTAGCTCATATACCAGCCTGGATTAATATAACCTTCCTAGGATAGCTGATATCCATGACCCTCTGCGGCATAGTTAGTACGTTCTGTCCTAGAAATACAGCAAGACGATAAATCTAGCAGCGCATTTTACTTTACTATAAACTTCTCTTAATCTAAACCGAACCAAGACGGAACACACCAAGAGAAGTACCGATGCTATGGTTCTGAACCTACTATACTACGCATGTATATATGCCGTTCAGTTAAATGTTATTTTTCTTTCTTTTCACCCTGTAAATTATGTATCTAGTAGCCTCACCCACAAGTCTAAGCCCACTAGTGCTATAGATTTTGTTCCACATATATAGGATTTATTAACACCGGAAGACAATCCCCAGCGTCCTAAACTCTGCAGCTTCCATGAAGAGATAGGTTCCTAGAGTAAGGTTCGCGATCTGGCTTTGCAAAAACGCCCTCTCGATTTCTTCTCATGGAACCTGTCTCATCATCGAACTGGCCACATGCATCCCATAACGGAATAGGTTCACCCACATGTTCATACTACTGCTTCAGCAGTGAGCACGATGATGTTGATGAGCCTATCGTGCTATCGAAACATAAAACCCCCCAGATATCTCAACTAGCCAGATTCCATGAAGAGTCAGGTTAGCCGCAGAAAATGTTCGCAACCTGACTTTGCAGAATGCGGCATTTCCTTCCCCGACCTGTCTCGCCATCGAACTGGCCACATGCATCCCATAACGGGATAAGTCCACCCATGTCACAGATTAAGTACAGCCTATCCTCTGTTAACAGCGCTGGGCCTATCCTGCCATCGGAGCAGAAAACCGAAAAAGACCCTAATGACTAGATCCCATAGTGAAATAGGTCAACTCATGGAATTCACACGAATATTACAAACGTATGCATCCACTTATGACCCATCTCACCATCGAACCAGTGCCCAACCAACCATACATCCCATAGCAGGATAGGTTTCACCATGTCTCGCCGCTGCAGCGCAGAGAACAAAGCGCAGTGAAACCTATCGTGCCATCGGAGCTTAATTGCAATCCAAACCCCACAGAGATCCTAAGCTAACTAGCTTCCATAGTGCAACAGGTTCGGACTATGCAATCCACCCGATAATGTTGAATAACACTGCTGACAAGACCGAACCTGTTGCACCATCGAACTAGTGTTCGACAGAAATAAAAACTCTTTGACAATATGCATCCCACAATAGGATAGGTTTCCGCAACCTCCATAGATCATTAAAGACCATTGTTGAAGGTGCCAGAAACCTGTCCCACCATCGGAGCAACGAACCCCGGCCCCAGATGCCACAAGAAGCAATGTTCCATGAAGGAACAGGTCTCTCGAGAATCCAAGGTGACCATAAAGGCCGACCACGGAGAACCGAAGGACCTGTCTCTCCATAGAACTAGCCAACCAACCAACCAACCAACCAACCAACAAGGTACGCATCTCATAATGAGATAGGACACGTCCTTTCTACTCGATCCATCATGAACCATATCAGAGACAGCCTGACCTATCTCATCACCGGAGCATGCATAAAACCCCCAAAACTAAAACCCACACTCATAGCGAACCAGTCAGCCACAGTGAACCATAGTAAAGTAGGAAAATCCCGCCCAGAAATCCAGTGAGAAGGAAAGATGGGAAGGAGAAGGGAAGGTGAGAGAAGGTACGAAAAGAAAGGAAAGAAGGACAAGGTAAGGGAAAGAAGGAAGGGAAAAGGAGAAAGAATTACATACCATAGTGGGATAGGTTTGAACATCTAGCTATGCAGTTGAGCTGAGTTGACTTCAGCTGCGGATGTACCAAACCTAACCCACTTATGTCAGAGCACAGTAGAGTGGTGTTAGGGAAGGAAAAAAATTAAAAATTAAAAAAAAAATTGAAAAAAATTGAAAAAAATAAAAATGTAAAGAAAAAAAAAAAAGACAAGAAATATAACGAAAGAGAGTAAAAAGAAAATTGGGTAAGAGAAAACCGCCCAAGAGGAAGTTGGTGAAGATCGATGAGAAAAGGAATAATTCCAGGAAAGAAAAAAATGTTAAGGGAAATATTTTTTAGGCGGGGTTTATAAAACAACATTGCTAAGGCCACCCCGGAATGTTACTACAGCTTAGGGCAGGATGGGACCCGACCCCGACCCCGAGTTACATAATGTAGATTTCTCGGGGGGCTCGGCACATGGGCTGCGGGATGAATCTTGGACTTGTAGTTTTGGGTTGGGTTGTCGTGTCCACTGTACTGGGGGTTGGATATGTGATTTTTGCAATTTGGTCTCGTTCTCAATTTGAATTAGGGATTGTGAAAATAGAAGATAAAAGATTATTATACCTTGATTTAATAGTTAGAATAATTACATATATACATCTTTAAGCTTTTTTGGAGGGTGACGAGTCTACTCCCTCTCAATTGCTATTCCCAGCCCACAATATATCCACCACTCTGTCACAAAGTTCCCTCACTCTAACTCCCCGCCAGTACCTATCTGTCAAAATATCAGCCACCAAGGTTCACCCAACCCAGAAAGAAAAGCTCCTCTTGCAACGAGCTACCTACAACCCTAAACCTACCACCAAAGTAATAGCGCCTGGAAAGTGTTCCTAGTAATCACCAATTCTCACCCGTATTGAGCCCAACCACCCTGCCATCTCCCGCCGCACAGGAGGTACTCTCCGTCGTCTATCCCGTTCGTATCCTCTCCGGCGTCTGTAGTCTTGCGGGAGATGGGTAACTAGCCTATCGGATTCGCTTGTCGGGTCGATCGTGGTTTAGGACTTTGGTAGAAAGTAGTAGCTACCTGTGCTACGACTGCGGCCGGGGGGGTGTAGGATGTTGTGTACCTGTAGATTGAAGTTGCGACCATGCCAATAACGATGTATGGCGGTCTGTTGATCTTTGGTTATGGGTGCTGCGGTGTACGTGTTCTTGCTTTTTCCCACAGGATGTACCGCTCGGTGGAGAGTCTCTATGGCGGGGTAGCTAGCCCCAAGGCTGGATGGAATAGTGTGTATTCTCTTATCGATCGACCCCTGGAGCTGGCGGAGGACGCAAAAGTTGAAAAGCTGGGGTCGTATAAGCCACTCGGAATATCAGCGGTCTTCATTAATTCGTCATATACGTCGGGGAGTGCAATATCTTACCGCCTATTAACGTATTATATTAATTTTTGCACCAATAGTAGCAGGGACGCAAAGTACTCGGGTCACGTGGTAGGCTATTTTCTACTAGCATCATGGTGAGAGGACTAAGGTTGAGAGCCACGGGACCGGAGTCTTTGCGTCTGGGGGAAGAGCATAAGACGCAGGGTACAATATCTCGATGTTATTGGAGTCGACCCTGGATAACGACGTTACTAACGTACATGTAACTCCTAAACCCGAAACCCGGCAGTGTGGGTGGACGTGGACGGACATTCGCGGCCTTGTGTACATGCAGGTAAGCTTAATTAAGGGCCACTCAGGGTCGGTTAATTAAGGACATGTGTATAATTGACCAATGAACAGGACAACGGGGGTGTTAAGAAGAAGAAGACGGGGACACGCCGGTCGCTTGCTATTATATTTACATGTACCGCCCTCCTGTCCATATATCAGTCAAGTCATCATCATGCATCGATCTTGGCCATCCAGAAACATGCATATACACTGCGTCACACATGTCTAAGCTTACTGCAGCACATGGACACTGATGATAGGCGGTTATAGTTGTATATCCCTTCGCCTGTTCCCGGTAATCACTCCCACGACTGCGCTGCGTCGTGATCATAGACAGTACAATTTTACGAAAATGAGCATTTTTTTAGAGAAACCTTGCGAGACAAGTAGGTCTGTCTTGCACTGCCAGCCGACATCTACAGCCAGCTTTTACAACCAATTTTGTATAGTAGTCGCAGGCCGGCCACCAATCGCCACATATATGCTCTGGCCTGAAGACGCACGAAGGGATGGCGTGCATGTGGGCGCGGCGGTAAGTGTCCCGAACCATACTTATGCTTGTGGTCCCTGCGTTTCTGCACATGGCAGTTAATGTGTGTGTTGGGTTGGCTGATTGTGATGCGTGCTCAGCTCAGATCTCCAAAGGTTGCATCGAACTGCCGGGATCGTGGACGGTGGAACAGAAACATGCAGTGGATCGACAGTGCAGTACTGCGTCGGGACGCAAGCTTAAGACGCTTCTAATTAGAAAAAAAGTAACTCCAAATCTGGCTTACATTGTTAATATATAGTTGATTATATAATATATCCATCATTTATATAGGGCTTGATTAATCTGCGTCCCGGAGTACCAGGTCTGCGCGCGTCCCTAGCTCGGAGGACTGAGACACCAGCACTCCCGGATACGGTGAGTGATTCGATCTACGTGAGTCAACCAGTGGCTATTTACGCACGTTGATCTCCTATATACGCAATATGGATATGACGCACTCTGACGTCCGGTCGGGAGCTATGCGGTCCAAAGGATCAGCATTTACCAACGAACGGGTGAAGCAACACATATTCTGGTGCACATCACGCCCAGATCTACAGAGACACATATATTTCGGTGTCTTACAACCCCCGGCTGCTCATAGTGGCTAGACATAAACCACCAGGACACCATTCATTCAATCATTGACCTAACCGAGTGACATTCCATGATGAACTGTTAGTTACCCGGTCTCCCCCAGAATTTTCACGCTGCATACCAAGTACTTCCGACCGACCTCTCCACCCCCGGCTACTTCTCGCACCCACCCGATTCGGCCAATATCTCCAGCCAGCGGCACACAGCACCGGCCACACCACACCGACCCAGCACACACACAGACACCGCTCAATTGGGCCCTCACCCCCCCCCCCCCCGCTGCACCACCATGTCGGCCGCCAAACGCTTCTCCCCCGCCGCTGCCCTCCTCCGCCGCTCCCGCCTCCTATCTATGCCCCCGCCTGTCCCCCCGCCGCCCTCCTACTTCCTCACTAACCCGGACGTCGCCCCACACCCCACCGTCCAAGCCATCACCACCCCCACATCCTCCCACGCCCGCGGCAACTGGGGCCTCAAGCGCGACCTCCCCACCAAGACCCGCTACCCATTCCTCCGCTACACCGCCCTCGACACGCTCGAGCACTTCACGACCTACGAGTCTGCCTCCGACGACGTGCTCACGCTCAAGAAGTGGCAAGAAATGGATGTCCCCATCCTCCGCGGGCCCACAGTAGAAACCTCGGCGCTAGCAAGCATGTACACCATTCGCCATAGCGTCTTCGACTTTGCACCTGACGCCCCCCACAAGGAGTGCTACACATGGCGCTTCAAGGGCCCCTACATCCCCGATATGCCCGCCGGCGACTTTGCGCGTTACATCGAAACCCAGGTTAAACCGCGCCGCGCCGAGTTCCGCGAGTTCGTCGCTCGCAACCAACGCCGCTTTGCTAGCCAGCCGGAGGCCGGCCTGCGCCCGACCCACCACACCTCGCCCACCACCGCCGCCGCCCAGCAGCCGGAGGTCTACCTGCACCAGACCCACACCCCGCCCACCACCGCTGCCGCCTCAGACGCCCCGGTGGAGGTGGACATGCTGGCACTGCGCGCAGACATGTTCCTGCTTGGTCGGCTGGTCGTGGCGTTCCTGGACCTGCCCACGCTGACGCGGCCGCACCGCACACACCCGTCGGGCGGGCTGCACTACACGCGGTCCACGGCGGCGATGCGGAATGATCCCGAGACGGGGCCGCAGGGCGAGCCGAAGGCAGTCACGGGGAGGTACATGAACTACTCTGGGGCGTACGGGACCATGATTGGTGTTGGAGGATTTGTGGCCAAGAGCGTGGACGCGATGCGGATGGAGGATCCGCTGAGGCTATACAACAACCGGCAGCACACGAGAAAGTATGTTCCGGACAGGGCGCGCCTGGATGCGCTGGGACGCGTGCTGCTGGATGTGGATACGCTGAATGAGGAGGGCGGGAGGGGCATGTTTGGGCAGAGAGGAGGCGTGGGCGATGCGGCGGCGATATTGAAGGGCTTTGGCGCGAGGAGGAGTTGGGGTTCGTTGTATAATGCGGATAAGGAGATTAACGGCCCTGCGGGGGGTACGGGCGGGCAGGAGGGGGGCATGGGGATGGGGATGGGCATGGGCATGGGGATGGGGATGGGGATGAGAGGAGGGCTGGGTGGCAGGAGGGATGGGGGTCATACGGAGGCTATTATGGATCTGTTGGATCCGAATAAGAGGCGTTAGGGAGATAGATAGAGAGGTTGTTGTAAATATTACTACTGCTACTTAGGCTTCTTGTGCTGTACATTCATCTTCTCTGGGAAACTTGCAATCGTGAATTGGCTGTCTATAATATACTTCTTCTTATATCCTTTTTGTGCTATGCCCTTCTCTTCTCTAAAACCGTCAATTCACTCTACAATAATATACACCACCCTCTACCTCTACCCACCACCTTCTACCCCCATCCAATACCAACAACAACAACAAAAAAAAAGCCATCCATTCCTATCCTATCTACCATCAGTATCTACAACTCCCCCCCCCCCCCCACCCCTTTCGCTCCCCCTCTTCTATCCTCAAAGTCTCCCATCTAATTAACACCATTCTCCGTCTTCCACCTCTCCAAATACAACCCCCCACTGGCAGGACTAGCCCCGCTATACCTCTCCGCCCCCACCGTCGGCGCCATCCTGCGCGTCACAAATGGCGTCAACTATATTCCACCCCCACCCCCCCTTCATTAGCCCCCTTTCTCTCCCCAGTACCCCAATTCCTCATCCCCATACCCCCTCCTCCGGAGTCGGAGCAAACATACCTTAAACCCCTCCAAGCTCGGCACAACATACGTGCGCACCTTACTATAATCAACCACAAAGCCTCCGCGGCGGGTGTGTGTGCCCATGGAGCCCGTGCGCGTGCCCTTGTAGTAGCCGCCGTTGACCATTTTTGTGGTGAGCGCGAGGCGGCGGATAGCGCGGTGGAGGGGGGCGGTTGGCTGCATTTTTTTATTTTTTTATTTTATTGGTCGGTATGTGAGGGGTTGTGTGCTGTGATGGTTGTGTGCTGTGAGGTTGTGGGCGGCGGTGTGAGATTATGCGGCGTGCGTGTGGGGGGGAGGGGAGCACCTTGCGGGAGAGGCGGCGGTGATGTGAGGTTTGGTGGGTTAGGGTTTGTTGGGATTGCAGAATAGTGCACAAACCCCTAGGTACTCTACTGGGGTTACCCGGACGGTGGTGGGGCAGAAGTGGAGTGGGGTGTCATCCAAAGTATGTGTGTCCAGTGACATAATCAGTCTTAGCACTGATTATGCCTTAAAATCACTTTTTATCGTGTAATCTTGTAGAACAATCAATACAATTTTCTTCCTTTACGGATTCTCGTATTATAGGGGGTGAAGCTCTGTGTCATGACTCATGGATTATCACTCGGGTTGATTGATTATGCGGCGGCAGCGCCATCTCAACACACCCCAACAAATAATTGAAAGGGGCCCATGTAATGGCGTAATTAGATTTGTAATTCGTTATGGTTATTTAATTTAGAGTAAATAGAGCACTCATGCACGACATGCGGATTGTCGAGCCTGATTACATATCCCAAAACTGAAAAGAGGCGTGCTGTATGGATGCACGGGCCAAGCCAGTCAGTCAGGTACATGCAGGTACATACGTGGACCCTAGCTCGAGCCTGATGGCAAACAGGACACGACAACACAATGGCATCTCAGGAAGTTTCCATCTGCTCCTGAGGTTGGGGGAACCGAGGGAATACATGTAGTGTACCTCCGAGCTCATCATGGAGTGGCTTCAAGCTCATTCTGAAGTCGAGCCTGATCCACTTGAACCTGAAAACGCACGGACCGAACCCCACAACTGCAGCTGCTGCAGGCTCGAGCCTGACATACGGCACACAGCACACGTCAACACATCACATCAACGGCCGGGTCCGGGAAGGATCCTCGCATCATGATTAAGGGGGTCCGATCCTCGTGAACTCACTTCTCTCCACGTTTATGCAGCGGGTCAGCCGGGCTTGGGTGAGTCGTTAACTTAGGCTCGAGCCTGGGGATCGAGCCTGCATATGTCTCTAAGCCTGAGCGATGGGGGTCTCAGGGAAAACCTGGTAAATAATATGCAGGCTCGAGCCTGGCAGAATGCATCAGGCATCATGGGAAATCTCTGGTGCCAGGGACTCCCGGCTTAGGGGGAAGAGACTACTGCAGAGCACAGCCAGACGCCCCAGAATAAACCTACAACTGGGTTCGAGCCTGGCAGCATGCAGCAGAGTTCTCGAAACTGTTAGGTAATCCCCGCTTCGGAGGAGAGGCTGTTACAGAGCATCACCAGAGACCCCAGAAAAAATCGGTAACTGTGCTCGAGCCTGGCAGCATACATCAGAAATTATCGAAACAGTGGTGCCAGGTACTCCCGACCTTGGGGAGGAAAGACTATTGTAGAACACCACCCAAGGCCTCAGATCGGATTGGTAACTATGCTCGAGCCTGGTAGCATGCATCGGACAATATCGAAATCTTAATGTTAGATGTCTCTTGGTGTACGGGGGAGAGACTGTAGCCGAGAACTATCACAAGTCTCAGAAGGCGATGAAATCGATGTGCCAAACCTGATCGCCCAGGGTCTCAACATGAACCCGGGAACTGGGCTCGAGCCTGGCACCATGCATCCGACGTGGGGGCTATCGCGGAAGATCACCATGACTCGCAGAAAGCGGGGGAAAATTTTCGGGCTATGACACTGGTCAGCCACGCAAGCCGTCGTCTTAAACTTCTAGTCTGCTGGTCCAGGTTGCAGATACCAGCCAGGCTCGTGGGGGTTTGGACTCGATCTGGTATTAGAGCTTCAGGCTTGGCCTGGGCTGGATTACCAGCCGGGAATGCGTTGGAAACATATTCGTGGCTGGGATTGTTTCACCACTCTAGCTTCGCCAATTTTGAGTGTCGTATGTTCGATAGAGACAGGAGGAGGTACCGAGCCTGATGCTGTGCTTCTCTCTGATGTAGGAATGCATGGACGGGATACGAGGCAAAAATGAGTTTGATTAGCCTCGATCGAAGGATGAGAGGTGGTGGAGATACATGTGTATACTTGCCCCGAACTCTATTCGAGAAACGTCGTATCACGCTAGGCAATAATGTTTCTCTTGAGGTATAAGCTATTAGAAACAATGTTTGTAGAGGTTACGTGTAATGTTGACGAAACCAATCTGAGGATCTAGTCTGACAAATACAATGTATAACGGATGCCGTTCTATATCAAGGGTTGTGAATCTCTCTTCTTTTTTCATTCTCAGCTGAGCCTACACATGTACATACGTACTTCCAGCCTTGGATATTCGGTAATTTCGTTGGCTGATCAACGGGGACTCCGATGAAACGACATTGTCTTTTCTGCCTACTTGCTTTGCTAGTACTCATGCATTACCTATTCGCTTCCGTGCTTCTTGCTCGATGGGTGAACGCATTCTGGCCTGTGGCTTACACAGGGGTATGGTGGGCGTGCGTGTCGGTTGTCTGGAGTTGCTTATGGAGTGTAGTGGGATCGCCTGATATGGTAATACCGAAAATTATCAACTTATGTGGTTAATTGGACAAAATCAATAGCGAATCATACATCGGAAAATAACTTATTATGCGGTACCAAGACGTTTCATCTCTACATATATGCAGCATATTACTAACTAACTATATCACCCAGTTAAACTACTACCGCCAAGCACTGTTTATGCCGGAACCAAAATCTTGAGTCCACAAATGATTGAAGCTACTCAAATTGTTCATAGACGTGACAAGTGCTCTCAATCGAAGACACTCGAAACCCCGCCCACGAAAAGAGACCGATACACCCTCTCACGCAGGAACAAATCGATCCATCTTTTTGTTTCAATTGAAACTCACCTTAACCTTCCAGTAGTACCACCTCAATGCATAACACCAATGTATTCGGCGATCTGCCGCCTACGCGCATCGACCACGACGTTGACTGGCAATGCAGGAAGTCTGAATGCTGCAGAAGCGGCCTGACACTGGTTTGCTGATAATTATGAAACACCCAATAATGTCAACCAGTCGCTAGGAATTGAGGAAAGCCTACAAGTAAATTCGATGAGGTCACGGCGCGTTTGCGGCAGTTACTGGACTTCATGTACTCCGATTGGGCAGCGAAGCGGTGCAGTACCGCTAGCACTAGAGTTGTACCTACAGCTTCATCGGCAAGAGTTATTGCCTAGTTGAACTGTGAGGAATGCTAGCTACATATCTAAATGGGATCAATAAAGACGTACTCGTTCTGGGTTTGACTAATTTGGCCTTGAACTTGAGCGAAAAGAGCAACAATCTCCAGATGATTGGCATTCATCTCTTGTTGCGCAGCATCGATTTGTTGTTGCATCGTAGCAAAACCCGCAACCTGTGCCATATTCGGTACCAAGGCGACTTCACTTTCAACGCTGTGAAGATGGTTGGCAATAGCAGCAAAATTCAGTTGAGCCATTGTACGGAAGGCACGAAGTGATAAATCCTAGAGAGCAAGTGCAAAGGTCTATCTTCGGAAGGAGTCCGGAAAGTTCCTCGAGCGTGAAGTGTGGACCCCGGCGTTGCTGCGAGGAAAGACGTTATTAGTTGTCCCCCATGAGTATGGTTGGAGACGACCTTGGTCTGGAGACTCCCAATCAGGTAATTATGCTCTAGCATACCTCCTAATCAGGTAATCATTTATCTAAAAGGGAACGTATGCGCGACATTTAGTTCACCTCTCACTTAAAACCTAACTTCTAGCGGCTCAGTAGTTCAACAACCGCAACAAGTGGAGTTCATTGGGATCTGTCGCGGTATTGTTCACCTCTTCCTCTATCACTTGATAGATCTTTTTAATTTTAATGTGCTGTGGTGGTTGGCCATTAAGCCTCAAGGTTCGGCAACTTTGACACCCAGGCTCGAGGTGTCCCCAACTATCATACCCCGTAAAGGCGGATTGTATCTTACCAAAATAGAGGCTTATCCGGTCACTACTTGACAGATCAGAGGATTAAATGTGCTTTTAGTTGCCGTGTGTCATATCTACCGAAACAACACTAAACTCGGTGATCTACACTGTTCCTGCGGACATATTGCAATGTATCATCTCTAGCTCTTGACAACAGTTTTGAAAGCTTTTAGGTTCAATTCCGATTCAAAAGGACAAATATCAGGACGAAACGGGTTTGCCACTACATGTATGTCTTACACCAGCGCAGTTTGAATCTCTTCAGGTCTATATCTAGCCAGCAATGCATGATGTATCGAATAAAACCATTTTATTGGGCTTACCTCACAAACACATGATGTGGCGGTCCTGCGGGCTCAAATAAGAGCGCGCTGTTGCATAAGGCAGTCCGCAATGCATCTCAAAGTCTGCAATTGCAACTGGTTGTGTCACATCGCCAATCGGTGGATACAGAAAGGTACTATAGAGTATACATGTACTCGTTTACCACGAAAAGAACCAGAAAATGCAAGTGACGGAAACAGGGATAGTTTGTATGAGAGACCACCGCCACTCCATACAAATAATCCTTGCCTTGAGCAACTGCATTTTCTGGTTCTTTTCGTGATAAACGAGTATATTTAACAGAGCCTCGAATATTCCGACCATTAAAAGCATTATTTGACTGATTTATAGAGTTCAGATGCTCCGCAATATGTATCATGTGCTGATCCTCATTCGTAGATCGACCCCGACCAATTGTGAAAATTCTAGTGATCTCAATGGACCTTTTCGAAGTACGTACCCCCATCCCGCATCACTTAAACCCAAGGCCCAAGCAACCACTACCCAATAACGATGCCAAGCCGAAATATAGAAAATGCATCTATATCCAGCTAATAAGCCGCTTTTTTTTTCGCCAATAGCACAATAGTAGAACCTCCCGAGAGTGCTTCATTAGGAGTGAATATGTAGCTTACGCACACAAAAGCGTGAACTATGCTACCTCCGGGCACTTCTATTTCCCCTCATTTGGGGATACTGTCTTCAATGGCTGTGACAATTGTTGCAAGTATGTTATGGGGCTTTATCCTATCCTATCCACTCAATTCTCTTGCTCATGTACGTCGGTATATATGTAGCTTACTCTTACTGGTTATAGCACAATTTGTGGGTGGTAAATATGGATCAATGTCTCTCAAGAGTCGGAAAGTAGCCGCAAGAAAGATGAACGCAATTAACAGGGCAGTGAAGATAATTATATTCCTCCGTTTATTTACCGCTATTCTCTCAGCATACAGTCTCCGGAATTGAAACAGATATCTCGGAGCGAGTAAAGCAAAGCATTGGACATACCCGCAATCAGGTTTCTACACGCTTCTTTACAAAAGCTTCTTCGGTCAAATCAACATGATAAACTGGTTAAAGTCTTGTTCATCAACATCCAGCCACAGAAAACCGGCATATATTAAAAGATCTGTCATGTATGATCATTCTAGACATATTGGAGCTAGACTGTTTCACGCCCCTTCTAAACAAAGTGTGTAGAGTCTGAGCAAGGATTCTTCTACAGCCCACCCGGCACATACATGTCTGGACGTTATCAGTGGCCAGCCACTCATGCACTATGGAGTCTCACCTATCCCCCGTTCCGTTCTAAAGTCTCTCTACCCTAGCTTCTATATTTCTCATGATCACATGTGGAAAAGTGTATACACTCAGCCAGCCATCACAAGGCAGCTTTGAGGCATCCGATGGGACTCCGGGGAGATATCTAAGCCATGGCGCCAGAAGGCTCAAATTTTACGAACAAAGGCCCATCGTCTCATCTGCCTTCCATATATTAAGTTTATAAGGGCATTATACACAATCCGGAAGAACTAGACCCGAATACAGGGTACCTTACGATGAAAGATCGCATTTCAGTGTGGCTTTGACGGCATGTCGTTTAGTAAAGTACGGGCCCCGGAAGTCGACGACGCGATTTGGTGCGCACAGTACACACAGAAAATACTTACAGTACGAAAAAACGAGGTGAAATCAGTACTGTATGACTACGGGATTTAGCGAGGAATATGGAATTAAACCGGCATTACAAAAAGAATACCGTAGTAATGCCGTATTCTTGCTGCATTACTAGCGAATCCATACCCTTTTTTGGTATTGTATCTACATAGCAAGCGAAGTACACAAACCCGCAAGTCACACCCTTGCAATGAGTCTTTATCCTTGTATATTTATCATTGATATAGCAATTGGTGGTCAGCCTTAGATCTTTAGGTCATGCCGGGAATGGAACACAAGTCAGCCCCCCTTTGCTTTAAGAACTGAAGCTATATGAGTTAGTGGAAATTTTGTTTAGCATTATTTTAACTTTTTTTCACATCCGTCTTTCCTCAGCAAGCGTTACCGGTTACTTGGATCATACACAAGTTGCCCATATGTACGTGTGGTTGCACTACATGTACGTACACAACAGCGGCTATGTAGCTAGATACTAGTATTTCGCTGACGTTTTTGAACTGGACCATTATTGCATACACCCAAAATCATGAGCTTGGCGTATTTTTGTATGGCATGCAATATCAGTCGCGTCCACAAACGTCAGAGAAATACGAGTACATATAGGCTATTCAGCCTAAATTAATTGTAAACATCATCACCCCTTCTGCAGGTCCCCGAAGATCGCAAAGTAGGTACTGCTTCAATATTAGATTCTCAAAATTAATGTGCAGTTCACGGCGAAGCAAAACATCTTTCCGCTCTTACTCCTTAGATATCGACAGTAAAGCATTTTGGAGACGTTGGTTGGCGTGGACAGCTCAACCAAGTAGAAATATAGCCCCGCCTGCCCTTTACCAATAACTCAACCAACTGCATATATAAAGTATACTACATGTAGTTAGACAACATATATTACTAGGGTCTAGGTACATATAAGTACATGTACTTAGGTGCGTGTGTGGTTTGTGCTTTATAGGTATTAAGTGTTCTAGAAGTTAATGTCAGCTAGTTCAGCTTAAATTAAAGCCCTATCGTACCTGCAGGAAAATCCTGTGGCGCTTTGGAACATATATACGTTCTTCCCACGTGCTAGAACGGTGTTTGGTGGTACTAGGAATGAAGGAGATTAGTGGTCCTGACAACACTGAGACACAATAAACATGGCCTTTCCGAAGTGATTACTGTTCCAATAAGGTTCCCCATGAAGTCAAGTGTTCGGGTCTCGCCTTGCAGATTTGCTCGCCCCATTGTTTACTACTAGCTGGTACGAGCCTTAAAATCAAGCCAGATCCAGGCTCGAGTTGACAAAAAGAAAAAAAAAGTCTTGGTCTCCATTTCTATAAAGCACCCCCCACTCCCCAATCTGTTCCAAAACTCCATACTTTCACCAGAAAGCAGAAGTTCCATTAACACCTTACATTTGCCTCCACCCAAGACTCTTATATCGTATCGTGCCTACAACGACAATAGGAAAATTCCCTTACAGCTATTAAATCTTTCCTTGTCTGCTATATACCTCTAGCTCCAGATTATATTTACCATATTCTTTTTCACTTCACTTTTTATTTCAACAATGACCGATACCAACATTACCCACGAAACTCAGCAGACACTGAACAACACCCAAGGGCAAGCAGGAGCTCAAACAACCAACCCAGCCGCCGGAGCTGCTAGTGGTATGTCATCTCTCCCTATTTCCCCGAAATCAAGCTCTGACAGAAATACAGCAGCTGCTGCTGGCGCACAGGGTGTTCGTAGAAACCCAATGATGGAACGATTCCTGGATCAGACTCCAAACGAGGAATCCGTAGCTGCCATTGCAAGGAACTTAAGCCTGTTAAACCAATGAAGGGTTCTGACTACTTCTTAACCACAAAGACACTGCTCTATCCAGATTCAAGGTATTTTTTTTTATATATCCCCCAATTGTTTTCCACATCTAATTTTGTTATAGGCCGCGAGTACGGCAGTTCTGAATCTCCGCTCAGCGCAGGGGGCACCATAAACGCACCGGCCGCGACTACGATGGTTCCAAAAATTACTGCGACCTTGGTACTCATGACGCTGCCGAGCGCGAGAGACACTAGGCGTTGTGTAATGCTCACGGTGTCGAAAAAACGCCCTGTGAACGGGAGAAGGCTCCGACTCAAGACTTTTTCTTTTTTTACTTTATTTTTTTTTTGTAACAACTTAATTTAAACGGATTTGATGGCCATATGGGTCGCTGATGAATTTTTCCAGAGGTTGCTAGCTAGATTGCCAAGATTTTATCGTTCTCCCTAAACCTGCGCGCCTAGTAAAAATTACTCCGCCTGGTTGGATAGTGAATTCAGTCTTGACTCCTTATTTTCAAGTACCTGTATATATTTCCATCGACGTTATGTCTAGCTATAGCTAGACAGGCCTAGGACTTATGTCAATGGGGGGTTTCAAAGCTAGTGTCGCGCTAAACGTGTAAGGTACATCGGAATATGTTGGATCCAGTTATGACCTTAGAAAGGCGTTTTTATTATTATTGCCTATTTGCGGAGCGATATCATGGTCCTCAAGTTGTGGTGAGAAATTCAACACTTTTTAATGTTGACGTTAACGTACATACGTTGTTGTCTACTATTTTGTCTTAATTGGGATTCGCGTCGCAGCTGTGACTAGTGCCGTTGTAACTGAGACGGTTGCGCATAGAGTACCTACATGTACATCCGGCGAGTACCTTGGGTTCGCACCTCAGAACTCAACAAATCCGTTTTCCTATTCTAGCGCGGATAACTGCATAAAGATCGTAGATGCAGTGCGCCTACTCGTAGTTTTTTGACGTTTCCGGACGCGACCACTATGCATGCCATACAAAAGATAGCCTTGGCGGGTTTTTTCTGTGTATGCAATATGAGTTGCGTCAGTACAAAGGTAGCATGCCATGAGGGTAAGAAATGCGCCAGTTTCTGGTAGTAAGATAGAACATATCCCCCAAAGAATCGAATAATTGTGAGCTACACCACACCGCATCACATAAAGCCACGCGATCTGTAGGCTTGATGCTGTGCCCCAGGGTTGCGATGGTGGGGCCGGCAGGCAGAGCTGCAGAGGGATCCTAGAAGTGCCGAAAACCATAGGTAGGTTGATCGATGATGTCTATTGACCTTCTTATGCTCGCTAAGAGAACATCAGGATATCGCCAATTAGAAATATGCCCAAGCTCCCCGCATTTTCTAGAATCCGGGACAGCTCTTGTGTTTTATTCCTCAGACGGAGGGTCCTCCGTCGTGACCGCGGCCCTGTTGCCTTCTGTTTGGTTGGCACGGAGCAACGTCCGTGGACTCAAAGTAACGGGCCTGGGGCCCGTGACTAGAGGTAGCTATGTAACGCCAAATGATAGCTGTTTGCACTTGTATATATCCTTCAGGCTCATCTAGAGATGCATGTAGGTACTAGGTAAAGATACGGGACATAATAGCTAGTTGTAGTACTTGTTAGACGCACTATTATTTGACGGGGGTTGATGAGGCCAGAGTTTGAGCCTCTAATGAGAAAGAGTTTGGCATCGTTATCTAGAGTACATGTAGTATCACCCTAGAGTAGCCTGTTAAATTAAGATAGTAGCCACATACATGTTCTGTATGCCCTACCTAATGAAGGCTGATTTGCACGGCACGAGCCGGCGCACAAGCCGTTGTAATCCGATATCCGAGAGTCGAATCGAGATCTGGCAAGGGAGTGGATCTTGGAACCGTCCATGCACAAAAGATGAGCTACATAGGTACAACCCCATGCAACACTGATTCTATCGTCTACTTTGATTGAGTCAATTTTCGCACATGGAATAAGCACTGTTAAACGCATGGACCCCAGACCGATGTAAGGATGCCAGCCATACCCCAGTTAAAGGAAACTTTCGGAGAATTCAACTAATGAAAGAGTGCAAAATAGCGTCTGATTTGTTCTTTCCACAGATTACACATCTTTTTTACGAGGTTTTTTTCTTCGGTGCAACATCAGGTAGATAAGGCGTGGAGCCATCAGCTGCGAACCAGGGCTAGATTGGCGAGAGCTTAATTAGTAGCTTTCTTTCTGTTACACCGATGCTGCGTGCTGAGAGATTGGGTTACAGTTTTTAGTATGACGCCTGACAGCGTTTCTACGCATATATCATACCATCACTATAATTCATCCTCGTGTGATGCGTGTGTTAAACTTCATTCGCGTTAGAAAAATATCGCCAAGCGCCAAGAGACCTGGTATTTTCAAAAATTATTCGCACACAGACTTTCTGTTGTGGGAGGGCGGGGTCGGTGGGGGCGCGTTACATATTCAGCCGGAATAAAGAGTCCTGGTCCTAGCTTCAAAGAACAATTGCATTACAGCCGGACAGCCCTATGTTTCATGTTTTCCACCCCACAAGGGCCATATAGATAAGTTTTAAGATCTTTTCTGGGGAAAATACTGCTATAGGTGGTATCCCCCATTCGTATTAGACTCTAGATTCCAGAACTAGAACAGAGGATGAATGCTGACACTTCTTGGATCCAAAATAAAGCCAGCTCCGGTGGCCCAAAAGATTGGGGTGGGGGGGATTTTATGTGCGCAACTGGCAATCTTGTTCCTCGAGACGTACCATGTGATCCGAAGGGTTCCTTTCAGCTGAAGCAGGGAATAACATTCATTTTTCCCCGCTATGGAGAACATTTCTTTTTCCTAACGGTAAGGGAAAGTACTTATTTCCGAAATTTAATCGGACTAGTTACGTCATTATAGAAGTGTTTGTTTTTTCTTTTGTTAGTTACTACGTATGATGTATGTACCTGAAAATATGCTAGATTATTTAAAAATGCTCCTAGCAGATCGATCGTAGGGCGGTCATTTAGTTCTGCAAATAAAATCCTGTGTGAAACAATTCAAGGTGATGTTTGTAAAATATGATTGTGAGACAGAATTCAGAGGGAAGATGACTTGTTAGGAGTTCAGCTCTGCAGCCTTCTTGACACCATATACATAATGCTAAAAGCAATTACACATTTATATGTAGTCCTTAAGTATCCACGCCAAATAACTCAGTATCTTTAGCTCATAGTACGTTGTCTTGCTGTATGACAGGTATCATGCTGCTTTAGCGACCAAGCCCCTGAGTTTGGGTGTCTGACTTTGTTTCTCTTAACTAAATTATGATCCATCGTTTTAATCTGGGAACCACCGTTTCCTAGTCTCTACATGCAGTACTCCACTCCCGGTTCTACAGCATGCTGTACTTTCTATCCGTTTGCAATCGTCTGATATGGGCCTGGGGCCCCCCTCGTAAGGCATTCAGCATGCTCAACGTTATAAACACCAGAAACGAGACAAGCATTATGTACTATAGCCTACTTTTTGCGTTACCGGTTTAGTAGAGTTATACAGAATACTTGAGTTTTAAATTTTCGATCTGCAAATTTAGCCCGGGGAGTCTTTTGGCGAGGCAGTGCAGCATCTCAAAACTCGCCCACACCTTTAAGCCAACGGGAATTATGTACCTTTCCTGGGCTTGATCGGATCGGCCCGCACTATCACCCTGCGCCATCGATGGGTCCACTCACAGTCTTTTCCCCTCCAAGCATCCCACAGGTGCGGTGTGCGGCCAAGATAAATCAGGTCTAGTGCAGCGATCGACGGCTGTCTACAGTATTAATTTATGATCTGTACAGATGTGAGTACATGTAGGTAGGTACCTGTATATCACGCAGTGCGACAACAAAATGGTCTGGGAACGAGACTACCTATACATCATAGTAGGCACATGCACTATGTACGTTCATGATTATGAAGTGCTGACTTGACTATATTACAGAGTGACATGTTGGTAGGGCGCTGGCTAGGCCCCAGGCCCAATGCAAGTATCACTATGAGAAATTGGCCCGTATTTCTTTTTTTCCAGTACATTTTAGATCAGGTGCTTGCCTCCTCCCCTCCACCAAGTTAACCCTAACCCTAACCCTAACCAAATTTAACTAGGGAGTGGATCACACTGATAAGTACAGTCGTTTCTGGGTCAACGACGAACCCGGCTCGATGACGAGTGGCTACTTTTTGGGCTGATAGTCAGTCAAAGCAAAGGGGTCGGGGCGCTTTTGTTGGCTTTTATTGGCTCCGATTGGCCTATTCGCCATCGAACTGGTTTCGTCGTTGACCCAGAGACGACTGTACTAGCGCCGCGAAACCGGGTCACCACGTTACACCGCCTAGTGTTCTTGCAGAAGAAACCTTCTGTATATTACACTCGCTATAAACATATAGATATCATAATTATATGCCGTCTACTCCATTAGAGTATAATGCATATTATGAGGTACGCCGTACAATACCAACGATGGGCCACTACCACCCCCAGAACTGATGTATACATATATTTACGTCTTTCGAGTATATGAAGTAGAGTCCTAAAATATAAATACAGATACATGTATATATATATATATAAAAACATGGAGTCGGGGTGACTCTACAATAGTCCAAAAATACCCCCCTCCATAACTTAAGTGGAGCTTAAGAAGAAAAGACCCGATATAATTATAATTACCATAATCCCGAATTGTCCTTATATAGAAACTACATGTACATGTATATCGATACCGTAACTCTATCCATCTAAATTTTCTGCCGAATTTCTACGGACTGCAAACAATGCAAGATGAATCATATAAAGTTATAGTAGTGAGATCACCAAAATAGTCCTGGCTTCCTCGAGTTGTGTTGGCCAATTATAGAAACATCGGCGTTGCCAAGGCAACCCGCATCTAGGTACTAACCGCCGAGCTCTTACATACAACTCCCCTCTCTTCCTCTTGCTCACCTCTTAATTCACCTTACCTTCTTTTTCTTTCGCCCGACCCGGCCGCGTACTAGTACCTGCTCATCAAGTTGACCTAGCTTGAGCCTGAGATTACACAAGTTCTTTTCATGCAACAAATTAATTTACAATCCCGGCAATCATGACTGAGCTACGTTATCAGCCCGTTCATGGGCACCGACCAGCTGCAG